AAGTAAACAAATTAAGAGAGCTTCTGACAAACTTTACGTATTTAAGTTTTAATTTGTTTTTGATTCAAAGTCATTCGACCTACGCAAACTTAACCTAATACAAAAATTATGTATGGTAAAGATAGCTGCCATCAAACAACCGCTTTATTTTCGGATAGCAATCTTCTGCATATAAGACAATTGTACCGTCACGAAATTTTAAAAAAAAATATGAAAAAGGATGAATTAATATAAGCCTTACTTCAAACCACTAGACAGTGATATAAATTTATGCTTTGTATTTTTTATGTCTTTGACAAAATAAACGTTTGTATTATATGTGGGAAATATTGTTTATCTTTTTTCAATAGCTGTAATAGTTTTGGAGTTTTGGGTTGTAAAAATTTCAATATGTCATTTTTTCTCAGTCAATTTAAATGGAAGAAAAACATATTTTTACCTAAAATTTTGACGGATTTTTATAGAAAACCATTTGATAATATGAAAAAAAAAATACTTTGGCGTTTACCGGAAATGCACTGAAGATGGGACTTTGTAGTACTATCCCGCAAAAACTTCCTAAACTTTCTATTTTCGATGATCAGTTTAGAATAATTACGAATAATTATTAATTTTGAAGTCAAACTAAATTCACCACCAAAACAATATTTAAAATGGCCGTGACAACGACTGTATGGCTGCTGAAACATAATTAGAAAATGTTGACAGTTAGTTTGTATTGCAATTTGTTGGTGCCTTATTTTACGAAAGAACATCAAATCGACAGGTTGCCTATTTACGGTGAACTAGAAAAAAAAACGAAAGGTAGCTAAACGCATTTATCTGCAGCTGTCCCTAGCAAGTAGTATTTTCCTTGGTTTGAGCGTCATTTGAAAAATGAAAATCATCAAGAACCTGAAAATATTGAAAACAATTTTATTGTGAGTGAAGCAACCGAAATAAAAGTGCTCAAAAAGTGCAAAACATGCTGCTTGAAAAAAATGTAGTTAGTTTTAGGGTTTTAAATCCTTTAAATATCAACTACACCACATGGTGGTTGAGGGCAACTTTCGTAGAAAAATGGACGTTCGTAACTGGTACGCTTAAAAACAGCATTCCTTATTTAACAGAAATAATTCAAGGTATTGGTTTAGGAACAGTTCATATTTAATGAGAGTTTGAGCCTTCCTAGACAGGGTAGGAGTCAATGTTTGACTTGAGGTTTTAAGAGATCGTTTTATTGCACCACTTTTTTTTTTTTCGAACTGTATCTGGGATTTATGTAATAACCAAGTTCCTTAATGAATTACCAAGTAAATTAAATAAATAACTTCATCAAAAACTAATAAACCACTTTTTCTATATCTTTTTCAAAAACAGTGGTCGCTAGTTAATTATAGATAAAAATAGGTATAAGTTCAAATAAACGATATTGTTAAACGATATATTTTAAAATTACATTGTGATGATACTTTTTCATAATTGTGCTTTTCTTAGCCCTTAAGTTTGCAGGTTAGGTGGAAGAACAGGTTAGTGATACTTCACTGAACTGAACCTCGCCTTGTTCTAAATTGATTTGTTTTTTTTTATTATTAACTTGTTGATTATTGAGCTTTATTATTATTATGTTAGCTAAATATCAAGCGAAAAAAATTGGCGAAAACTAGAGAACTAATGGCCCGGTAAGGTGGCCGAGCAGATCACCCGATCCTACATCATTGGACTTTTTTTTTACTGGAGCCACATTAAAGAAAAGTTGTATGATACGCCACCTCAAAATCAGACTGGTCTTATAAATAAAATTTTGAACCATAATATTTGCAAAACTATTAGAGCTATCAAAAAATGATATTTGGATTTACCCGTAGAATACAAAAATATGCAGGGTGTTTTGTTTAAAATAATAAACTTGATGAGTGCTATTCAATAGTTTTGTGTGTCATACTTTATATAACTTCAAGAGTTCAAAGTTTTTTTTTCTTACTTGCTTTGACAAGTTTCAATGATGAACGACATTTTTTCTCAAAACTTTTTTATTTTGCTACATGGTCTTCTTGTAATTACATACTATTCACTTCTCCCAGCGATGCTCCCATCTCTCTAACCCTTCCAATGGTATCCAGCGTTTTTCTCAGCAAAATAATTGTTCACGAAGCCGATTGCCTCCTCATTTGACGAAAATCTTTTTCCTCTGAGCGCAGTTTTCAGATGAGGGAACAAAAAGAAGTCGCTTGGGGCTAGATCTGCGGTTCAAACCGTAATTTTTTTTAATAAATGTGGCCGTTTTTTCGCAATTTCTGTCCTCAGCTTGTCAAGTAATGATACGTAGTATGCTCCTGAAATAGATTTTACTTTTTGAAAGTAATCCATTAAGATGACTCTGTGGCTATCCCAAAAAACAACCGCTATCTCTTTCCCAGCAGAAAAAATAGTTTTTTTTTCCCCTTCGCAGTCCACTGTTTTGAGTGTATTTTTGATTTGGGAGTATAATGCTTTATCCAAGTTTCATCTACAGTAATTAATCGTTGGAAATCTTAACTTTTCATTTGTGACGAACACGTACTTCGGATTTTCATAATCTCTGATCTCTCTCACTTTAATTCGACGGTCGTTTAACACCATTTGATGAACTTTGGCAATATTATCGTGCTTAGTTTTTGGACATTTCAAACTTCATCATCTCCTAAGGTCTTACGACCACGTTTAAACTAGTGCCGTCATCTTCGGGGTGAGGTAGGGAAACTTTTCCCGATTTCAGAACAAACTAGTTTGCGCTAGGCCAAATCAATTATTATATTATTATTAATATATTATAAGATATGAAACTAGAAAAGCAGCAAAAACTAATCAAAATTGATCCAAACGTAGTTGATCGTAAGCCAAATGCGAAAATTACATATATGATTATAGTTTTGGTTAATTTGGTTAGATTTTCCTCCGTACGTTCTAACGAATGAACCACTCGACTAGGCTCTTATAAACTGATTTGGTCTCGGACAAACTAGTTTAATCTGAAATCGGGTTTGGTCGATAACATACAAATTAAAAGCCGGGATACAAAATTACAATATAACTGCAAATATACTGCAAATATTAAATTTGATTTATTGTTATCGCTAAAGAATTCAGTCAATGCGAAACATAGTTTTGAATTATTCTTATCGTTTTTTTTCTCTCAGGTAAAAGGTTTGATTTATACCTAGTTACATAATCATGTTTGTGTAACTAGTCAATCAACAAATACCTGTTTTTAAACAGAAACATTAAGAATCCAGTGCGTACATGCCAGCAAGTGTCACAATACTATTTTCCACGCGATAGCTAATTCCAAATATTGAAGGCATGGTAAGCCATCGGTTCATATTACTAGGATTTATCTTCAGAGCTTAGCAGTATTTTGCTAAGCTACAGTTTGGCCTCCAATCAAGCCTTTCATAAGCCTAGAAAGGAAATATACTTTGTTGTATTCATTTCCACGCCATTATATGTAAATCTCAGTAACTGGTCTGTGGGGTTGCCAAAGCCATTGTGTTTTAGGCATATTTAAAAGAAGCAGATCGAAGGATTTTATTATTTTTGAACGGGTTAGCAATGAAGAATTCATAATTTAGAATCCAATTTGCGTGTTAGTTTATAAAACGTTTTCCAGAGAAAACTTGATTTTAAGGGCTGCTATTTTTGGGGTAATTTTGAAATAAAGTGAAATATCTTAATTATGTTTTTAATATATACAGCTATAACGTGTTACGGTTACATTTCAAAACTATATCATGTTTAAAAAGTTCCTATTTGTCTTTTTTTCATTTCATTTCATAATTAATATATTTCATAATTAATGTATTGTTTGACATTTCGCTAGATTTGCATTGTATTTTTAACGGTTAGTTATCGGCAGGCAAATTAAAACAAAGGGTTATTGGTGTAACCACGCTTTTACCAGCAGTTGACTAAGAGCTGGTGTTTAATCAAATGTTTAATATTCCGTGGTCTGATACCGACTTCAATTTTATCTTTAACCTGACGATAACAGGAGAAGTTCTGTCGAGAAGGCGCTGTCGGAAATCTTATATTTTCCTATGTGGAATTTGTCCATCGGAATATATCGAATTTATCTTGGGCAGTTTAAATCCGTAGCGACCTATTTAGCTGATTATTTTTGGCAATCGACGTCCTGGTCGGATTTCAGTTGACAGAACTTCGAAACCCCCAAACAACATCGTGCGAAGCTAGCACGTATCAAACGGACACCCTTTATAATCTATTTTGAAAATATCACATCGAGTACATATCGCATTGAGATAGAGGGCCATAGCTTTAAGTCTCCATTTATAGATTTTATTTTCAAATGTCAAACTTTATTATGACGGATATGTAACTGCAAATATTTGCAATAATAATAATAATAATAATAATATTAATAATATTAAAAATAATAATAAAATAACAATAATATTTTTAACTATCCAGTCTTTTACAAGTTTTTTCAAAAGCTGAAATTTTTGTATATCGTGTATACTGTGTATAGGTGAAGAGTTGTAGACTCTTGGTGCGACAGGACGTTGCGAAGCAGTTTTTGATACCAAGACAAATTCATAGTTAATCTTCATTATTGTTGAGTCATTTTTTATTCTGTTGCAACTTAATTTTTGCTTTACCTTTAAACAACTTCCAATATTTCCGTTTCTTGGAAAAATAGGTCTGTGGGGTTGTTTCTTCTTTTACTATATATTATTTTCAACAACCAAGAAGCTTCCGTTTCAAAAATTTTTAATAACTTGACCAGTACGATATCATGAGTGGGTGTTCTAAATACATCATCACCACGTAACTTAAATTTTATATTAAGTATATATATTAGCATATGGCTTTTAAACAGTGTAAATCGGACCGTGCATAGTTTAAACAGTTTCTGAGGGTGTCAAAACAGAGTTTTGGTGAAATAGTGAGAAATTCCGAAGTGTTTCCAAAGTGTTATCTATAAATCTATATAATATCTATATAAAAATTCTGATTTGTTGCAGAGTACGGTTCTGGCCGCACCAAACTGATTTCGTAATTTGGTTGGCAAATTGGACATTAAAACTGTTGCCCGAGAGCTCGAGGACCAGCTGATTGGGTGTGCGGCCATCAAAAAGGTTGAGACGAAATCCCAGGGTCAGTGGTTCGGTTACCTGCGTGTTCGGTGGTTCTCGATCGGTATACCGTTAACGGAGGAAGAGGACAGACCCGTGAACAGAGGTAAGAGCCGTGAATATCGAGCGTAATGGCGAAAAACACGAATTTTTGCTTTTTAATTCGTAATTTCTCGGGCATATGGCAATAAAAACCGATCTAACCGATATAGCGAATGAATGAATAATAACAAAATAATAAATTTTTCGCGACTATTTAGTAGAAAGGTGGGTGTATGTATGCTAATTAATTGGATTGTAGCTAACAAACAGCAACTAACCTCAAATAATTTAAGAATAATAAGTACTTTCAAGTGCTTGGGTTCAAGATTGCTTAATGTAGTGTAATATTAATAATGCAGACTTTCCTTTCGAATTTTTAATTCATTTTACTACTAGATATATACGCTTATATGATTTTCCTTCAACTTAAGAACTGAGTATAGTTTTTCATTTGATTTAACATTGTCCAACCCAATTTGTTTTGAAAGGTATAAAATTGTTAGCTTCAAATTTCGGACATAAACACGCCTATGTTTGCAGGGAACAGAAAAAAAAGTTTTGGTTCAATTTCTTAGAAAAATTACTACTAGTTTTTCACTGACAATAAATTCAAGAAGCAGTTGATGAATTTCTTTATGAAGCAAACAATTCAACCAAATCATAGAATTTGGAGGTTATGTTTCACTATCTTTATTGTTGTTTATTCATAACAATGTAAGCTAATTTGTTCTACAGTAAAAATAACAATTGTAGACGAAATAAAAAATGAAGACAGGTTAAAATTGTTTTTAAAAACGACTCTGGGCAGTTGAAACAATGAAGGTTTTTACCCGGAGGTGAAACTTATCAAAGTCTAATATAAGCTTCCCCTAGAGCTAAGAAAAAATGTTTTTATTGTATTATGACGCAAATTAGATCAAGATCAAGTATATCGATAAAAGAAATTCCTATAACATCGGTTACACCTGCGCGGGTCTATTTAAATATTTATATCTATATATTATACTATATATTAATAAATTATATTTTATTGCGCATTGGTAAATAAATTTGGAAACATTTTTTAAATATTTTGTTAGCCAATAACTTGAAAAGAATGATTAATAATCAATTAACTTTAGACTTTGATCCCAGTAAAAAATAATAGTAACAGTTACAGAAAAAAAAATCATCATCTACGTCGACCAGAATGACCATCTTTGTGCGAAAAATTATAAGCATTTATATGTTCTTCAATGTTGCAAATACCTTTCCATTTACAATAGAAACCATTGTTTGAGATGGAAATCTGATGAAGTGGTTTATTAATATTCCCTTCTGAAGTGATTGTAGAAAAATATTTATTAGAACACCTTGGAAATTTGCAAGAATATTAAAATGGACACTCATATGAAAAAAAAAATACAATTTGATAAGGGTGCCGATAATAATAGTGCGAAGTGGAAGGTTTACAGACATCAACTAACCTAAACTAATATCTAACACCACTTACTATACGCAGAAACTGTTGCGGACACCATGGGTATGATTTCCTATTTGAAACAGTTTGTTGAAAACAAACAAAATGGCAATAGCGGATTCTAACCCCTTTTTTAGACCTTGTGGTCAATTCCACACAAAGAGATTGTGTAATCTGTAAAAAAATGCTTAAATAAATAACTATTTAATGCAGCCCTAAAATCAGGAAAACTTTCAGTATATTGCTATTAGCCTTGACTTCCAAGTAGTAGCCAGCATTTTAACGAGGACAGGTTAGGTATGGTCTGTTCATAGATATAAGAAAGTGACTAATTGCTTTTGAATGGGATTATCCAAGGGTGGTCATTAACATACAATGCAACAAGATTATTACCTAAAGTTTCGGAATTTAAATTCAGGTAAAATTGTGGTCCGTCATAGAAAATAATTGTAAATCTACCTGTGTTTAATATTCTTTGGTTTGGTATACTACTTAGTTTAAGTTTATTAGTAATCATTCTTATTTCATCTGTAATACAGCGTGTGCGAATTATACAAAATATGTGTGAGTCTAGTGTATTTCAGGAGATGCTCCCGCCCAAATGTAGAAAACACTATTCTATTGAGACTAAGGAAGTTATAAACAATGTTTATTTGACTCTCATTGAACGTGGTGCCAGCAAGCAAGCATCTTTAGAAGAAACGGCCAGTTTAGTATCCTTCCTAACAAAACCCCAAATAATTACATTCTAAGTAAAGTACGGACCTGTTCGGCCATATTTCATTCTTACAGCTTGCCCGGGTCTTTCGTTAATTCATATCAGTTAGTCACTTTCTTATAACTATGAACAGACTTTACCTCGGAGTTTGGACCAAAGAGTGAGATAGTTAAACTTTCTTTTGTATGTTGACTTAATTAACGAATTGGTACTATCGGTTTATTAGATCCTCTTTAAGACAATTTGAAAGTCGGAGTTGTTACATATTTTGAATTACTTTAAACCTGATCTATCTTACTTATCTGTGATGACTACAATAATAAATAATATCATCTTCTAGAGTGTTTTCATTCACGACTTGATTAAAAGTATTGGATCTCACGAATTAACCAGTCTCATGTTCGAACAGCTCGTGTGCTAGCACGTAGTAGTGGAATAAGCGGAATAAGGGCAAAAATCAGTTTATATTTAATTAATCCCACTAAATAAAAAAATCTTTGTCTTAATATTAACATTTTAAATAACGGAAGTAAAATATTTTAATATTTTAAAACCATTTGTTTCACAGCAAATAAAATTCCGTAAAGTTTGTCTTATCGATAACTAAAGCTAAAACTCAACGACATCACCAGTGCTTCTGCATTTAGGACCTATTTTTCTTTTTAATAGACAGCTCTTACCCATATAGTGATCAAAACAATGTACCCGGTCTTCTAAATGGTCACTGCAAAAAATCAAGTCCACTAAGCACTAAAATATTTGCAATCCAACACTTCCAGGAATCATAAGAAACATCCCACCCAATTGAAAATCAACAAATGGCAATGGTAGCGCCAGCATTTGTACCGTACCGATCAGCCAACAATACTAACTCTGTATATGTGTCACTTCTTAAAAAAAAGTTACTTATAGCGCCATCTTTCAGCATGGCGGACATTAATATGAGACCTACATAGTGAGAACACCAGACATTACTGATCTCGAGATAACCAATGATCGAGGTGTATACTTTCGTAAAATTCGATTTCAAATTTTTGCTTTTCTTACTCATCTAATTGGTACCTTATGTGGGATTCGATTTTGTATTACTATTGTATTTCGTATTGTTTTTTTTAAATGCAACTTTTTCGTCTGTCAAAAGGTTTCTCTTTCTCTCCTTGTCGAATCACCTGTGATCGTTTCTTCGCGTCCGACCAAGTGGGAACCAAAGTCAACACAGATGGGTACCGGGCAGAACAGGCCATTTCATCGAATCAAGAAGTGAAAAATGTACTCGAATCAGGACACGTCGTCGTCACAGCAGGATAACGACAATAACGCGGACAACCAGCAGGGCTCCCGCTCGCTCCAGCGTCTGGAGACGTTAGCCCAGAAAGCGGGCATCCACGACATTTCGGCCGAGGACTGCAAGTACGATGTCGCGAACACTCTCCTAGACTTGGACCGTACCAACTTAGAAGGAATGTCAGCCACGATGTCGGACATCAACAAACAACAGCAACAACAGCAGCAGCAGCAGCAGATGGTGAATGCAAACGCACAAGCCGTCCAGCAGCAACAACAACAAAACCAACAAGACCAGCAGCAACAGATGCAGCAGCAACAGCAACAACAGCAGATACAGCAGCAACAGCAACAGCACATGGTATCGACGCAGGGCGCTCACATCCAGCAGGTGACGGTGAACGCGCAGGGTCAACAGTGCATCCAAGCGCAGCCACAGGAGCAGCACCAGTCGCCGATGCACCAGCAGGTGGCGCAGCAGGGTCAGCAGGTACAGATCCAAACACAAAGCGGACAAGTGCTGGCGGCGACCGCTCAGTCCGGCAGCACCACGATTACGACTATGTCGCCGCTCCAGCAAGGCCAGCAGCCCGCTCACCCTCAGCAGGTCGACTGGAGCCACGGCAGGGTGCAGGTGATACAGCAGTCGGCTCAAAACCCGATGTACCTGCAGCAGCTGTACAACGCGCAAGGCCAGATCTTAATGCCCGGCAACATAGCGTTGCATCAGAGCACTTTGAATCCCCAGCAGATCCAGGTCATCACGAAACCGTTTCAAGGGAACCAATTGGCGCCTCACATGCTGACCGCGACCCAGGGCAAGCAGATGTTGCAAGGGAGCCAGGCCGTAACCTTCCCGGGCTACACGACCATTCCGACGATACCGACCACGCAGAATCAGCAGACGATCGTGTTCAGTCAGTTGGGCGTGATCAATCCGCAGGCGAACATCCTGCCGAACCACTCGGCCCAAGGGAACGGTCAAGTCGCGCAGCAGAAGCCGCAGGAGATGCACAAAGTGTTGAGCGGACAAAAAGTGCAGATGCAAAAGGTTGCGGGAGGGACCGGAGCCGTGGCGCAGGCCCAGCAGCAGGGTCAGTGCGTGCAGGTGTCCCAAGCGATGATCGGGACGCAACCCACGGCCCAGATCATCAGCCCTATTCAGCCCGGCGGCCAACCGATGCAGTTCGCTTCGCCGTGGCAGTTCACCAACGGTATTCAGCAGGTATGGGCGAACAACGGACAAGCGTTGTTGGCGCCCAACCCGATATTCATCAGGAGTCCGCAATCGGACACGTCCAACATGTTCATACAACAGAACCCGCATACGGGTACGATCCAGGCGGCGCAACAGAACCCGACGATCGCCGCGCAAGGTACCGTCCAGCAAATTGCGAAGGCGAGGCCGGCCAACGAGAACATTCAGCCGAAGCAGACGACCAATCGTCCGTTGAACATTTTGCCGTCGAACGCGGCAACGATCCGCCCCGCTAGTTCCGTATCGACCCAGACGATAGGGGCGCAGACGCCGGCCTCCATGGGCGGGAAACCGGTCACCAAGATCAGGACCAAAACGCCGCAGATAAGGTCGCCGGCACCGAAAGCGGACGCGGCCAATCAGACGCAGCTCAAGTCGTACACGAACCTCCAGCAGCACCACATAGTTGGCAACAGGATGCTGGTGATGAACACGTCGACTGGGATGACGACCGCTATAAATCCGGGCTCGCCGATGACGCCTGAGAAGCAGCAACAGATGGTGAATCAGCAGAACAAGGCCCAGCAGCAGCAGCAACAACAGCAGCAGCAAGCGGCCGGTCAACAGAGACTGCAGCAGCAGCAGACGATGCAGCAGTATCAGATACAGCAGAACCAGCAAATCCAGAATAAGCCAATGATGACGGTACAGACGGTGCAAGGTATACCGCAGCAGCAGCTGCAGATCGGCGGCGACCGCTCCATCATGCCGGTGGTGTCGATGGCGGGGACCAACCAGCAGCAGCAGCAGCAGATCCAGCAACAGCTGCAGCACGGGATTCCGTTACAGCCGAACCTCGCTGTCACGCAGCAGGCGATGCAGATGAACATGCAGCAGATTCATCCGCAGATCAACCAGATGGCGCCGGCAGGCGCCATCCTCACGGGTTCCCTACAGGGAGGCGGCGGCGGTATGAACCCGGTGATGGCGAGCGCTGGTCAGCAGATGCAGCCGCTGCAGCAGATCGCGGTGCCGGTATCGCAGCTGCAGCAGGTGCCGTTGCCGCCGGCGGTGCCGCCTATAGTGAAAGAAGAGTCGGCGGGCGTGGCCGACGCCGTACCCGCGGTGATGCCGGCCACGGTGCCGATGACAGACGTAAAGGAAAACGGCGGAGGAGATTCTTCGTTCGGCGATAAGGAGGCGGCGCCCGCGGGCGGCGACGTCAAGGTCGCGGAGATCGACTCCTCGACCGCCTCCCAGGCTCCCGCGGCCGACACCAACGAGACGACGACGGTTCAGGTGGCGGCCATCGCCGAGGAGGTGAAGGAGAGGTGTCCGCCCAAGGCGATGGTCAAGCCGCAGGTATTGACGCACGTCATCGAGGACTTCGTCATACAAGAGTCGTCGGAGCCTTTTCCGATCACGCGGAGCAGCCTGATCGGCGACTTGAAGCCTAATCAGACGGCGGACGGCAAAGACTTCGACGAGCCGCCGCGCAAGAAGCAAAATCTGGACAAGGAGGAGACGGCCAAGTGCGAGGCCTGCGGCATCGTCGATCACAAGTCCAAGTTCAAGAAGAACAAGCGTTTCTGTTCGGCAGCGTGCGGCAAAAAGGACAAGAAGAAATGGGCGAAAGAGGAGGGTATGGAGGTGGACGGGGAGTCGGGCACGGAGAGTAGCGGGTCTGCGGTGCAGAACGACGACGACGGCCCCAAGGTGGACCCAATGAAGTGGACAGTCCAGGAAGTGTTCAAGTTCATCAAGAACCTGCCCGGGTGCTCGGAGTACGCGGAGGATTTCCTCATCCAGGAGATCGACGGACAAGCACTTATGCTGCTCAAGGAGGACCACCTGATGACGGCGATGGCGATGAAGCTGGGTCCAGCGTTGAAGATCGTCGCCAAAATCGACGACATGCGGATAGACAAGGAGCCGCCGAAGCAGAACTAAAAACTGTGTGACGTGTCGACAGTGAGTACTTAAAAACTGTCGGGAACCGGAGGTCGACGTACAAAATGACACTATTACGATTTAAGTATATATAATTACGCAACGTTCTCTTTATAACTACTATTATTATTTACACAGCATACTGCCACTAAGTACGTTTAATGTTTAAGTGTAACTTTATTCTGATTAGGTCGCTAGGTGTAGGTTGACGCGCGCGAGAGACTCCGACTCCGGCATCAAGTTCCTCGAGACTGTTTGAACCTGTGATATTAATGTAAGCGCGTAAAATCAATTCTCGTATCGCTAAGTCGACGCCAAATTATATTTATTGGTATTCGTATTTATTTGCAAAATTTCTACGATTTCGGGCGGCCACGGATAGTTCGTTCGTTTTTTTTTTCGCTCCTGCGAAATCGGACGTGCATCGCGAGCATTGTAAAGAAGAAAATGTATACCCATTAAGAATTCTCAAAGTAATTAAATATACATTGTGTATAAATCCAAACATTTGATAAATTTATTTTCCTCTAATTCCTAGGATATTATCATTTATTTATAATTCATTAGTGCAACTGCAACTGAAGGCACAAGGCAGGCTGACTAACTAAACTAAATTTAAAAAAAAAAAAAAAACTAAATAAATTGGTCCTTCGAGCCGGATCTCTTGTTTATGCTTCTTCAATTATATATTTTATAATTTTAGACTTAGGTGAAGAAAATCCATTTAACACAATTAAATTAAAACAAAAAATGTTCAGATTGTCACAGTTATTTATTGGTTTGGGCAGTTGTTTCGGGAACACCGTGCCTTTATCAAATACAAAATATGAAAATATTCTGACATCTAATAAGATCTACTAATAGATTCGAATATCTTATTATTATTTACACTTATTATGGACCTTTTATAACAGCACCATCAGACTTTGCAAATGAGATCCCAAAAAGATAGGTTATCAAAAATTAGCTCGAACTATTCAACAAAATTCCTCCTTTCCAGTTCTAGTTTCCTTTGACGTTCAAAATCTATTTCCTAGCATTCTACTGATTGACGTAATAAAGGTAATAGACAAGATTGACACTCATATCATAAAACAAGACTTGTTAGATACTTTAGTTTAATAGTTTGTTAAGACCAAAATTATTTTGAATTTAATGGTCAGTTTTATATTGCTAAAGAAGGATTAATTATCGGAAACCCACTCAGTCCGCTACTTGCAGAAATTTTCATGGACAATGTAGAAAATATACATATTATGTTATTGCTTGTTTCATTTTCATTGGAACGGAAAGATAACTATAGTCCTCTTTGAATCATAACCTTCATGCATAACCGTATAAAATTTACCATAAAGACGGAACTAAATAACTCTTTCTGAACTTAAATATAACTAAATTACAGAGCAAATTAGATTTTTCTACTCCCGTTTGTAATATATCTAATTACGCACCGATCTAGCGTGCGGGAAGCGCCACTTTACCACCTCAGTTTCGTTTTCTACGAATCCGAGCCACTTCGGACATTTCCGGGATTTTACCGCACAGGTTTGCGAGCAATCGGATGTTTTCGGAGATATTTCCCACGCTTTTAATTTTGACGTTTGTCAATTCTGACCGTCATGTCAGTGAACGTATTCGTGTTGTTTTGCAAAAATGTTCCTAAAAACTAACGGTCGTAGAAAAAGTATAGTGTGCAACACGTTCGGTAAACTTTTTAACTCACTCGTTTATTAAACACTCGTTCCGCTCGTATCAAATAAACTGGTGAGTCAAATGCTGTTTGCATAATACACTATTTTCCATTTACCATAAATCCCCACACGGACTTTTTCCTCTTCCCAAAAGATAAGAAACCCATCAAAGCAAGGGGTTTGTAATGATTGAGGAGATAAAGAAAAAATCGCTGGAAGAACTCTAGGCCTCTGGTAAGCACTTTCTGGTATAGAAAGTGCTTAACGACATTAAAGTATCAGTCTGGGTGCGTAGGTTTTCTATAAACAGAATGACCCAATATTAGGTCTGATTTTCTAATGATAATAACATCTAAGATAATTTTGATTTTAGATGGAAGGTCTCGAGGGCTTTCTTCCCAAAGGCGTCCATAAACATATTTTCGTGATTACTGGCGATAATGGAAAACTTATTCTTGACGTTTGTCCAGATATTTGATTGTTAGTTTAGTTCCAAATTCTCAGATTGTAACATATCTGAAATAATGTTGAGAGTTTGAGGAATAGAGACTCTAGTAAACAGGAATTCTACGTTCAAAATAACCAGAATATTCTGTTTATCTAATATTAAATAAAATGAAAGGAATTAAGTATGAAACTCGGTTTTCCCTGTACAGGGTTTCAAGATATTTCGCTAGAGAATATATTGGAGAATCAATGGTGCCAGCAATAGATCGAAGGGGTAATTCTGGTTTGTGTTTCGTAGAGACGAGCAATTTTAGAGTTATGAGGGGTGACTTTTTCACAGATTCTGATAGAGAAGAAGCCTTAATAATAGATTTAAGGTTGCGATCCATAGATGACGTAGGATCTTTTTTAAGTTGACGATATGATCCGTCTGTAAGAATATCTTGAATCTTTTCCTGATAATCATTTGTGTCCATGTCGGTTATCTGCTTTTAGGATTGCGACGTAGGGATTAGGTTTTGGAGCAATGCGCTCAGGCTTTGGAATATTAAATTTAGGAGGTTTTGATTCTTTAAAGCATTTTTGCCGTTTCTAACTGGAATTCGTTAGACTGTTTGAGATGCCAATTTGTGTAGGATAGCCTCGATATTTGAATTGAGTTCTTCTTTTGCCAAGTACGAAGTTGCAATTTTACAAGAACTGATTTTCACACGTCAGAAAGTTGGTGCGATGATACATTTACCACAATGTTTGGTAGTTGAGAAAAATTTGATCGTTTCACTAGACGTTCATTTTTTTTTTCTCTTATTTACATATCCGTCGAACCGTCTCAACCCGAGCCACTGAACCCAGAATTAAAACAAGTTCCATCTGGTCTTCCCTCTGATAATTTCCACATAAAATTATCAACTAAGCTCAGAGAACATGAAAGAGCCTTAAAACTAAGACAAATAAACTCATCAGCAGTGCCGAACAGAATCACGTAACCGGACATAAAATTTTATAGTATCATATTAACATTCTGGTATGTAATTCATTCTACCAACGAAAAATCCGAGAATCTATAGAAACCTACGAGCAACAGTCATCCGAGACAATGTTCATGTCCCTCTGTTGATTAACCGGCGAAATCTCGATGCTTCGTGACGGTTCCTTAGATAGGGTTTCCACAGGACTGGGTGATTTTCCTCGGGCACTATATTTCTCGCGAACAGTTAAAAAGGGAAGGGACAGAAGCGAAACGGACCACACCCTTCTTTAGCTCCGCTCCCTCAAACAATATATAATCAGGCACAGAGTAGAATGTGTCAGTTTCAGTCAAGCTCTGAAGAAGCCAACAGGATGACTTTTCGAAACGTCAGCAAATTTAATTTGTAAACATCCGGCACAGGAGGAATCCACAAGTTTTGTAACACTAACGCAAGAAATAAAGTTAGATCAGATTTAGAAATCTCGAATTTCCTTAACTGCGCCCGATAATTCGTACATAAGGTTCGTCGTGAATTGGAAGCATCACCTGGCGATGTAGAAACTATTGCGAAACCCAAGAGACATGAGGAACATTCGGACACTACTAGAAATACACAATTTGTCCAACAAGTACAAGAGATCGTTCACAAAATCAATTCAAAATCCATAAGGGCCATTGCGAGGGACCTTAATGTCTCTGAGGGTTTAATTCGTCGCGTTGTCCACGAAGATCTCCCCTACAAGTCCAACGTTTGTCGCTAATAATAAATAAATTTTAATGTAAACGCCAAATGGTAAAACTCAGGACCAAAATCCAATTGGGGTTCGCCTTAACTGGCACTGTTCTAGTATAAAGAAAGTAATGCATTAAAAGAGAATGAGGATACTAGCTATTCCTGTGTTTTCTAGACACGTGAAACGAATGGTTTTGTGTTATTTGTTTATTACAGCACAAACGAAAATGATCCCACGAGGACGTGGTGAAGAGTCGCCTGGCCCACTGTAAACGCCCCATTGTAAACAGGGTTACATGCTGTACAATACGTCCACCACCAGGAACTCAGAATCGTGATGTGTTGCTATAGAATACGCAATAAATAAAGTTCTGACTGTTAATGCCAAAATCTTATTTTCATTTAGGGCGGATATTTTGTACACTTGGACCAGAAATATAGTGCTTTTATAACCGACGTAATTAACTTTGCCTACTGTTTATTACTCCAAAACCGCAGCCCCTTATAGAACACCATGCTGAGCAGACCCATACCCGTACCAACTCCAGGACCGTCCTAGGAATTTATCTACCCACAATAACAAGCGGGATATAAGTATGTTTTCAATCTTTTTGTACATAAAAAAATTAGTACAAAGTAACAATTTATTACATTCTATTTCATCACATTTCCACATAGTATCATTATTAATATACAACATATTAAATATAATAATAAAGTGTCACTTAAAAAATCGTCACTATCGCTACTGTCGTCACCTAGTTCAATGATGAACTCAGCCACTAATCGTTCTCGATAAATATTTTCTTCTTTTATTACTCGTTTTTTACTACCTTAGCTACCTCTTGCCGACTTACGTTTATGGTACTATCACTAAATTTTGTTGCAGTGTTATTTCTTCTTATATGCGCTTCCAACTCAGATCAAATCATCTCCATCCGGTTAAATATACAATAAAACGGGGGTAATCTCAAGATTTCATGTCCGTTTTGTTTTTCTATCCAATCGATCTTGTAGTCTTTATTGAAATGTTTTATTTTTAATAATTCCAAAAGTTGTTTATTCGTCTTTCCTCTTTACTTGAAGAAGTATTTGGAATTTTTCTAATTTGGGCTGAATAACACGAGGCATTATCCAACACAATAACAGTATTTGGCAATAGTTTTAGCAACAATTTACTTTCAAACCAGTCCTCAAATATTTCCGCGGTCATGTTTTCATGGTAATCTGTACTTGGATCTTTGACGTTTTTGGCACACAAAAATAAGGCCCCTTCCATCCAACAATTTTTGAACCCAGCATGAAGAATTCGTTTTCTATGTTACTGTTATCACATCCTCTTTTTACTGTGTCGTGAGTGTTGAACCACATTTCGTCTATTTTGCTCTCTACATTTTTCAATTACAGGTAAAGTCTGATACGACTGATAAGACCCCGGCAAGCTGTAAGAATGAAATATGGCCGAACAGGTCCGTATTTTCATTAGAAGTTAATTATTTGGGGTTTTGTTAGGAAAGATACTAAACAATATGTATTTATTTTTAAATCTAAAATAAAATTACAAATTATTTTTATTACCTACTTAAATTACTTAAAATTTTTCACATAATATATCAGTATCACTATCGCTATCATCGCCTGTTCTAATTATTATTTGTTCTATATTATTTGCAATATGGATGTACAATTGTTCTGCTTTTTCTATATGTTTAACAGAATTTGCCCAACTTTGTGGAGGGATGTTAAAAACTTCGGTTTCTTTAAGTTTGAGGACATTGGAGTTGACACGGGGAAAAACATTGTTACGACGAATGGCAAATTTCAGTTGGTGCCAAACATGTTTGTTTAATGGGATTAAATATACATTGGTAAGGTGGAAGCCTTAATACTGTATGCCCTAGATTTTTTGTATAATTATCACAGACGTATTCCTTTTGTAGGTTCAAGCTTTGTAGAACCTCAATTAATTGCTTTTTGGTATAATTTCCGTGAAAATCAATATTTATTATACATGTAGTTTTGGATTGTTGTTTTTGTGTCACATGAGGAAGGGGTTTTAGTCAACTGTCTACTGTGATAACTTGCATTGTCCATTACAATTACGCTATTAGGAGGAATGTTTGGAACTAGTTTGTTTTTAAACCAACTTTGAAATAAATTAGCGGTGGTGTCTTCATGGTAATCCAGAGAAGAATATTTAATATTTTTCGCAGACAGAGAAAGTCCATTTGGAATCCAAACATCTTTAGAGCCAGCATGCAAAATAGTTATTCTTTTACCTCTTTTTGATGGTGCGTTTGTTTTACACTTATCAGTTGAGTCGACCCAACCCTTTTCCGGGGTATCATAAGTGTCGAACCAGGTTTTATCCAAGTAAATAATTGGCCTTTGTTGTTCTCTGTAAATCCCAATTTTTTCTAGATATTCCAGTCGCCATTGCCGAATTCTAAAAGATTCCATTAAAACTTGCCTTTTGTCATTTTTTTTTTTAACTAAAACCCATGTGTTGAATACTCTTCCATAAGGTAGTTCTTCCACATTTAACACGGGTTTCATCTTTTTCAAGCCTCCTAATTAAGATATCTAATGTAGGCACGTTTTGTTCCTCGTATAACTAGCAAATTTTACGCCGTATTATATCTTGATCACTCTCATCTACACTCGAGAAAATGTCAGCATCGTCAGCATGAGAGTCAAATAAACATTGTTTATAGCTTCCTTAGTCTCAATAGAATAATGTTTTCTACATTTGGGCGGGAGCATCTCCTGAGATACACTAGACTCGCACATATTTTGCATAATTCGCACACGATTCAACACAAGCTGTATTACACACGAAATAAGAATGATTACTAATAAACTTAAACTAAGTAGTATACCAAACCAAAGAATATTAAACACAGGTAGGTATACAATTATTTTCTATGAAGGACCACAATTTTATCTGAATTTAAATTCCGAAACTTTAGGTAATAATCTTGTTGCGTTGTATGTTAATGACCACCCTTGGATATTCCCATTCAAAAGCAATTGATCACTTTGTTATATCTATGAACAGACCATACTTACCATTATCTTGAACTATCAAGTGAAAACAGCCTCGCAGGGTCAAAGCTCGCGAATGAGGTACATAAATATATACTTCAAATGCCTCAAACTCTTAAGAACGATACATCACTTCATGTTAAAATAAACGCTTCTACTTATTCGAAAATACACCGCAGCATCAATGCTTAATCAAATTTAAAACGGTCAATTTACGTTTCAAATAAATATTTCAAGCTTCTAAAAATATTAGGTCTGTCTGGATGGGTTTGACCACGGCCCTGCGAAGGTCTGCGATTAAGGTACTGTAAAATAGTTAAAACGTCAAAGTAATAAACGCACTACATTTTTGGCCGTATTATACATTAATATCAATTTGTCCTCAAATATCGTACGCACCCTCTAATTACAACGGTATTCGTCGCTCTCTTCACTCCAGAACGAAACGCCCAGTAAAAACAACTTATATTGACACGAAACAAAGATTTAAGCACCTGTCCGTCACAAATACGAAAAAGCTACACGTAAAAGGGCTTCGGCAAAGTGCGTGGAGGGGGCGCGACCTCTTCAGTACACCTTCAGCTGGTGCTTCTCGTCGAAACCGGCCGAATGGCCCGCGTTCCTCACTATAAACGTAGAACCGTCGTAGTGCATCCTTCTCTCGCCGCGACGCACGAACAGGTGCTTCGTTTCGCCCAACGAGCCGGTGCAGTGCATGTACGGCGACGAGATCGACGCAGATCCGTTTGTGGGCGACGTACGCAGCGAGAACTTGTTGCTGTTGCGACCGACGCTGCAAAACGCGACCACCGATTTATTAACCTCGAAATCGGAAGCGCGACGTTGCCGCACCGAACAAGTCCGTCGACGGTCTGCGATATGCGGACGTTGTTTATGATCCAATTCTGGGTACCGTCGTCCGTGTACCAATAGTTGGTCGACTGTAACACGCGCACCGCCTCGTTTACCAGCCTGCTACTGGTCGTCGGCGACGGATTTTCTTTCAAGTACAGCGATTCCCTACGCATAAAGACCGTTGGTCTTCGGTCATTTTCAACCGACACGCCCCTAAAGTCGGAATAACCAGGGGCCAAAAAATTTTCGCTTTCCCTTGGCAAGATAGAGGAATAGGACGGCAACATCGCGAATCAAATGGTCTATTTCGTATACCACATCACTGTTCTCTCTTTACTTGGCGTTAAATGTTTTACCGTGATCCAATGTTCCAGCTGACTTTCTGCATTTGAATTGTATAGAAATAAACAAATATAGTCGGTACGTTTGCGATGCCACAGTCGGTTATGGAACCAACAGAGAAGGTGCCTCAGTGTTTACCTGATTCCACTCGTATAGAGTTCTCCAAACCACATACCGTTTTTACAACCTTTTAAAGATGTTAGCCGACAAGAACTGTGCCGTGCAGACTATTGTATTTTAAGAGCAGGGAAATTTCTGTGATTACACTGCTATATTAATCCATATTAGGGTGCTTTTTATAAATCTTCCTAAAACTACCTCAAATCCTCACTTGAGGTAGCTCGATTTCAAGTTAAATTTGCCCATTAGATATGTTGATCGCCTATATTAAAAGATATTACAAAGCTTAAACTTCAATCTCACCTGTGAAACAAATTCGTCAGCTTTCGCCATTTGTATGCACGAAGTACTGAAGTACCGTTCTGGAACGTCATTGTGGAATTGCGAATCTATTTATTGAGGGTTACCAAGAGAAACCCAAGTGAGGTATTTCTGCGTTTAGGTCTTCATAAAAACTTACCAAAGTGAAATACCGGATTATGTCGTAGAAACAGTATATCGTTCGGAGAACTCTACCAAGAATAGTACCAATTACCGGATTACAGTAGTTTCCACTACAAAAATTGTGGCATTTTTGAAAAACTGTTCCTCAAACTCTTTAATAATTAAAGATAATGCACAATATCATTCTAGACTTAGTGAAAGTGTACCAAATACGTCGATAAGAAAAGAACAATTATCAATTGGCGGCGCAGTAAGAGTACCCAGAAAATGGCATAAAATGTGAGTGGTTAAACTTGCCGTATGCGACAGACAAAATTATTGCTGAAATGGGTCATAGGGTTTTAAGATTAGTTCTTTACCATTGTATATTTAATGCCATAGAACTGGTGTGGGCTCAGTGCATAATATTTTTTAATAATACTATTGTAATGCAAGGCAGGATGATACTGCAGCAGTATCTGTTTGGAAGGGAGTTGCCAAAGAAAATTGGATCAGTTGTATAACATATCCAGAAAATATAATACTGGGAAAAAGAGAATATACTTGATATAATGGTATCACCACTTATTAATGTATAATGATGAAGATGTTTCATCGTAAGTACAAACTAAATATGATTTAATTGTATATTTACTCTTGCCCATTTCTTTTATACGCTATGGTATATTTTTTTAATTTTCCGGCAATTAACAAATTATCATAATTTTTTCATGTAGTTTCACCTACTTAAATATTCACATATTATTAAAGAACACCCTGATTTATTAATACATAGAAAATACATGAATCCACCTCTGTCAAGTACAAATAAATCTCTTACTCCCAAGTAATATACTCGTGATCGTTAGTGACGGTTGTCTTGCAATGCAAGACGATCAATTTATTTTGTTGTCTCGCATTTTATTGCCGACTATGCCATCACAAATCATACCGACTATATTTGGTTAAATTCTGTTATTCTATTGTTGAGTTGTTAAAATACGTACATGGAAGATTGGCGACAATGGACTCGAACTTTAACACCTTCTGAAAGAATTGGGGTGGAGTTCTTTTACTAGCAATGATTTCACAGATGAAGAAGTTCATTATTCACGAATCTGGGTAGGTGCCGAAACACCTTAGTCCCATAAAAATAAAAAGAAGAAGCAGTAACCTCACTTTTTGACTACCACCAGAAAAGTTTTTGAATTGACAATCAACAAGGTAAAAACACAACATATTTAACACGGGGTTAAATTTTATTTGAGATCTTGAAATTAAAATATTCATAGTAGATCGATACAAATCTGTATGGAAAAGAAGTGTTACAAAATAATTAAACCTGCTAAAAATCGGTTAAGGCGTTCAGTTTTCATCTTTTCATCTGTTCTTCAATACGTGCCCAACTTATATCCAAGACAAATCCTTAATATTTCCGATGACACAGCGATCATATTCTAATTCTAATGATTATTCTTGGAATTTTAGATACTTTGAATTTGGTTAGTTTTAATAGGTAAGCTACACCAATGGTGACCTCACACGGCATAAACTGAAAGCTTTGACATTTCCAAGCGTAGAACGTGATTGGCCGAACCAAATCAAGGAAACTGATAATATGATAATTAAGTGTCTGTTTTGAACATTTTCACTTGATTCTGGGTCACCCATCTTAACACGTAAAACAATTCCAAAAGAATGAAAGCTAGTCACAATCCAAATGAAAAATATATAAGAAAAAGTTGACATGCTACAAAGTTACAGGAAGAATGTTCCAGGGCTTTTTTATAGATTGCTCTTTATATCTAAATGTACATATATGGCTAGCACTTCGCAAAGCTTGTTATATTTATAAACCGTGCGTCACAAGATAGTGAGAAGCAAGTCCTCTTCCTATAGTATCAAGATAATCCTCAAAAACCCCAGATGAGTAATTTCTTTCTTGAGTGCTGGCAAAGAGAAAACTGCTTCCTCACGCGGATTCGACATAATTTTGAGGTTCGATTTAGATTTAATTGGGTGGGCTTTATGTAGTCAACCTTGGGCACCTAAATTTATGTATCCAATAGAGTAACTGAGTTAGGACTGACTTCAGTATTCTATCAAACCAAAAGTCTCTCCTGATATCCAAACTAATTTGTTACCCAGTAGTCCCTAAAAATGTTGGTAATAACGGCTGAATCAATATCAATAGACACCTAACTTTAGTTTTTATATGTAACCTACACCCACAGTGACGTCATTCGGTGTAAACTCAAAACTTTCACATTTCCAAGCGTAGATCGTGACTGGCTGAACCAAATCAAGGAAAATTCGTTATATCGCCACGAATATGGGACCAACGCATTCATAAATGTATACGGTATCGACTCATTTCATCAATGAAGTGTCCCGTGAATTTTGGTGGAAAACTTATCCTCGACTCTACATGCAAAAGAAGGAAAACCTAGTAAAATCCCAAATGAAAAATATAATTCTGACATCAGACGACGCATACCACAAAGCTACAAGAAGAATGTAAAATGTAATTGCATTATAATAATACAAGTAACTAAGACAGGGTGGATCGCAGGACAGAAAGAGGAGTGGTTCATTGTATAGTATCTAGTGCTGGAAAGGGAGACACAAATATTGACTACATTGACTTAGGGACAAGTTTAGTAGTCAAAGAAACTAAAAGCCTGTCCTTACCTAGACCCATTTGTCATCTAGCGTTAGCTATCTGCTAAAAATGTTGACAGAGTTGACAGTGAACTTTTGGCGATAGATATTTTATGATATGTAAGGGATAGAAGTGGTTCCAACTGATGCATTGGGTGTAATTTCACAATCTGATCGACCCAATCAGGATTTTCGTTCAAACATAATTAAAATATAAAACTAGATCTCCAGAACCACTTTAATGCGACCGCACTCACTCGTTGAACACGTTGAGGGTAAAATCGTGCTGGGAGAGGTCGTTAAACAGGTCGGTGGTGGTTCTGGTGCCGGCCGCGTCCACCAGGTACACCAGGGCGCACTGCATACTGCTGAAGCTCACCCCTTTGTACCACATCTTCGCGAACCTAGACGAAAAGATGCGACGTCACCTTTTCAACTGGTCTTAGTCATTCGGCTTACTTGTGGTTGCCGTGGTTGTCGTTGGCCATGATCTCGACCCGTGACCCGTACTGGTACACCCTGCCGTTGGGGTGAATGAGGCCCGACGACGACCCGCTCGCGCTCAAGGCCAACACGATGCCGTTCTTCGAGTTCGCCACCCGCACCGCCTTCTCCGGCGAGATGTCGACCCTGATGCGATCGCGCAGACGCAAAGTGATCACGCCGTGCGGCGAGATCACCGTACCGGTGCTTTGGTAATTCACGCCTTCCCCGTAGTAATCCTAAGCGTCGTTCGTCCCAATCGCATTAGAAAATATACCGGGTATTTTAAAATAAGTTGCCGATGCTTAAGCGGGGGAATCTTTATCTCATTTCAAGTTCAAATATGTTGCGAACATGGGGTTAACATTTTTTTACGTAGAAATGGGATTCCTAATAATTGTCACAAATAAGACCTCCACGTCGGTTTAGTACATATCGTAGTTAAATAACAAGTTGCTTTATCAGAGTATTACATCTCACATGATATCTCTGTGTTTCAATGCAGTTTTAGCCATTTCTATTGTACAATAATTAACAAAAGCTATATATCTTAACGAATCCGTTTAATTACACGTTTAAAAGTAAACTAAATTGCCACTCTCTTCCCTCAGGTTTATCACAACACCGTTTGACTAGAGAAAGTTTGTTGACAGAGAAAAAATTTTTGGTATCTCAATGTTAAGTCCTAATACTGAAAAGTTTCTATCTATTCTATCCATAGATTTTTTTTAGTTTAAATTACAGATTAAAAAATCATTTGAGAGAATACTACCAGCGTATTGAGAAAAAAAATCTTTATTTCTCAACAAAACCGTATTAAATTAACTTTATAGGTTGTCCGGTAGATGTCGCCAAGTACCATTTCAAAGGTATTTTATTTTGAATCATGTCGTTTTGATGAAATATTGTTTGAACTTTATTTACAAAATTTTTAACTGTGTCAGTTTAGAAGAAAAAGTAAGTACAAATTGTTTTTTTTTATTAAGTTATGTCACTTCAGATGACTATTTGTTGATTGATGACTGTTGTTGTTTTAAGTCAAAACTTTAGCTATTTTAATAAAATACATAAAATACATTTTAGTGCTTAAAGTACTAGTAATAGTATTATTAGATAATATATCAACATTAACAACGATCAAGTTAATATCGACCACGAGAATTTCCACCTTCTGACACTTTGCTAGTTTCTGATCAAATGTCTAAGACAGAAAACCCTATTAAATCATGCCCCAATGAAAGGCATTTAACTCTTGCTGTTTCTACCTTTGATAGAAAATAAAATGGCATGAGCTGCTAAAGGTGGAAAACGTCCTTTGAAGATAATATCTTTAAGTCTGTAGACATGCTAAAAATAAAAAATACTAAATCTCAGGGTAATTTTGAATCAACTTTGGTTAATCAGTTAGCTCGGGCATACACAATTTACTATTGTCGAAAAACAAAAAAAAAAGATTTACAAGAGTTAGCTGATAAAAATATATTCCCAAAATCTTATTATAATTGTTTTAATGGAAATATCTTAAAATAATTTTATTAATTATTTTTATGTTTTTTTTTAGTTATTTTATATTCCTTCAAATATTTATATTTTTTAAATTTAATAGTGTATTATGTAACAAGTGCGGTAAACGGCATTTGACTCATGAGTTTATTTAACACGAGCGGAGCGCAGCGGAGCGAGTGTTTAATAAACGAGTGACTTAAAAAGTTTACCGCACGTGTTGCATACTATACTTTTTCTACGACCTTTAGTTTTTGGGTACATTTGCACAAAACAACACGAATACATTCACTGGCATGACTGTCGAAATTAACAAACGTCAAAATTGGTCACTGGTAACTTTTTATGTTCCCCAGTGCAATGCTTCAAAAAAATATATAATAAATTTTGTACCAAAACAGAGAGAACATTTCTAACATAGCCACGTTAAATCCTAATACTAGTAGTGTGTTTTTGTTATCTATAGATGACAATAATTAACACAAAATCCTTTTATATACTAACATTTTGTAATTCTACAGGAATACCTTTGGAAAATATAAACATCTATTCTAAAAAAAACATTTTGAGTTGGCAACTGATTTTATAATTGGCAAACTGAAATATTAATTAGTTTAATCAAAATATACGACATTTCGCTTTGGATTTCAACATCCTACAACATCATTTACCATTTACAGAGACTGCATCATATTATATGTAATTTTTGCTTGGTCTCTTGATAAGTTTATGGATTCCCTTTAAATAAAGATAGAACGCAGAGTCTTAATAAAGAAGCATCTGCAATGACCTTTTTTGGCGAGTTATTTCACAATTGCAGAGCACTAAAAAAAATCACCACACACTACGTCGGTGAGTTTTGCCTTTATTTTTGAGTTATGCAATGTTTCGCGCGTAAACTGAGAGTTATCCCTTCTGGTTCTTGGTCTATTCTAATACCCTATTAGAATAAACGTTTTAAAATATTCCTTACTTGCTGTGTTGGAGAATTCTATCTATAGTAGTTCCAGAGATGTTGCAATGATAGTTCAGTAGACGCAGCAATAAGTTTTTTAGGTCAGTTTCTTATTAAGAGACTGTATAAACAAAATAAATGTATCGGTAGGGCTGGATCGGGTTCCATAGAAACCTATAGTTTATTATATTACTCTTGTGGACACATACCGGGCGATACATTGCCGAACAGAACATTGGAAATCCCATGTAAATTTTTAAGTGCCCAAATATTGGCTCCCCTCTATTATATTATTATGTTATGTATTATAACAAAGTTGTAATATAACTTTTTGAAGGGGCTGGTATGATTAACTCATGAATTTGAATAAATTTTAATAAGCCAATATTCAGTTATTGAATTAAATATGATGACAAAATTACAAAAGTTTAATACGACAAAGAGCAGCGACGCTGTTTCCAAAACTTGAAGGTTGGTTTATAACAAAGCCGGCCACATTTACTTTCACACGTTCAAAATAAGCTAAGTATGTAGGTATATCCTTGTTTTTCATAGGAGCAAACTTATACTCGATCCTTAAGACCTCCTTGTCCCTTAAAGGGTTCTTGGAATGTATTTTATTAAAATTAATTAATTACATTAATTAAAATTAAATGTTTAAACAACTCCCCATTAACACTAAAATGGATATTATCAGATCAAAAAATTCATTTCTAACTTTGCTTTGTTCATATTGTGAAATCCTGTCGCATTGTAAACAAAACGTGTTTTGTAAGTCGTTAAGATTTTCAAATTTTACATTTTTATAGATAACACTTATCAAGTGACCCCACAGAAAGAAGTCGTTCGGCGGGAGGTCAGGTGACCTTGGTGGTCAAAAGATTCCGTACCTTGGACCAAAAATATAAAAGCATTTCCCAAATACTCTCTAACCATACGGGAATTGTAGATGGGACAACCATCCATCTGGTACCAGATCTCCTGATCTTCGCGAACAACTGCTTCTAGTGCCGGTTCAATTTCATTTTGTAATAAGGTTTCTGCCGTGAGGTTATGGTCCATAAAAAATGGCCCATTTATTTTTTTCAGAATATTGGCTTGGAATATGAACAAAACGATATTCATTGTTTTGGCTCCAATACCGACAGTTTTGAACATTTGTCCAAGAATTCCCGTCTCCCCACATGTAAAATGTTCAAATCTCTATTATCCCTTTTTTTTGTTCTACTATCGACATTCTCAGCTAAACATTTGCAGTTAGTTATTACGGTGGCTCTAGCCTTGAATTGGGTAATAATACGTTTAGTTGTTCAAATCGAAGGTATAGTTTTAGCAAGAAAATATTCCAGATACTGCTCTAACATTGTTTCCTGCATAATATCACTGAATTATGGTTACTTTTTCTTCAATTCAATAACGGATATTTAGCTTTAATTAAAACACGTTTGATAACGTATGACAATCACAAATAAACATATTTTTAATTTATTCAAACTCGCCACGTGATTTAATCATACCGGCCCCTTCAAAAAATTTTTTGCAACTTTGGTATAAAATCTGCATGGGAGACAATTGGGATTTCCTAAAATTTTCCAATTTCCAGACCAATCCTTACATATGGCTCCGAGTCTTGGATATTGTCAGATAGGGACAAGAGCACAATTGGAGCAGCAGAGATGAAATATTTGAAGAGAGTGAAAGGAATAACTAGAATGGACAAAATTAGAAATGCACATATAAGAGAAGAGTTAAAGGTGGAATCCATAGAAGAATTCATTGAAAAGAAACAACTTGACTGATGGGTCCATTTACAGATATTGGGCAGCACTGTACCGGTTGAAAGAGTTTGGCAGAGTAAAATGCTAACTAAAAAAGGAGCCTTTTGCCATCACATAGAAATAAATAAATAAAGAAGCGATTAAGGACATGATTATTTATTCTATTGCTAATCCGACGACAATTTACCATTTTAAAAACAATTAAGGTCTAATCATGCGTTATTGAGTAATTAAGTTTATTTTATACCAAGTGACGTCACGGCGATTCTCGTTCGCAATTTTAACTTTTAACAATGTAAAATAACTACTACGAATTGAGCGGTACTTTTTAGTTAAAAGTACTTAGCTTAGAGACTAGACCAGACTTACGTTGAAGTCCTCTACCAAATAGTTCTTCACTATGATCGGTTTAGGCACGTACAGTTGCAAATTGGAAGCCCCCTCGCCCTTGCCGACATCACGTGGTTGTACATCGCCACCGGGGTGGGCGCTGGCCAGCACACTTCGGCTTCGCTGTCTAAAGACCGCGTTCACTTTACTATTCGTTACACTATCTGAAAAATCGCTTTGAATTTCGCGACCGCAGCGACCTCTCGACCTCTCCGTCTTACCCTTGCGACGACACACTTTATCGGATTGTTGGTTCATTTTAAACGATTTGCGTGCTGAAAAAATACTACGAGGACCGAAAATGACGTTTGCGCTCGAACGAAAACATTTGTCAAACAAGCGCCTGCTTTCTCGGAGGGGGAGAAAAAAAAACAGCGACGTGACGTGTCAAAAAACGTTTATTTCGAGCGTGGTCTGTGGCGCGTGACGTCAACCGCGTCATCTCAAATTCGCGGAAATGTATCGCTTCCTTTCCGACTGCGGGAGCGGCATGAATTCCCTCCATGTGACCTGCAACAGACGATCGGAGTTTAAAATTCCCTCCGGATCGCGGAACCGCGGGAATTACCGGCACCGGGTTGTACCCGATTTTTTGCAGCTGCTTCAGTTTTTTGGTGAAAGCAGCCAGAGGCATGCTCGTGTCTCTGACGACGTGATCCGGGCCTATTACTACTATCGCGTACCATTTTAGGTTATCGTCGTGATGCGGTATCATGACGTCACCAAAAATGTATCTTTGAAACCCCACAGGCTCCACGAAATTGTCGGTTAATTTATCTTTGCAAAGGATGATGTCTGCAAAATTGGCATCCCGTTACTACATACGCTTTAAACAAAAAGTGATGGAAAAAAGATAAGAAATTATACACGTTAGCGCGTTTGTAAAAAAAAAGTAAAAATACAAAATACAAATTAATTTTGGAATCATTTTAAGGGTTAGATCTGCAAGTAAAGTTCTTTAACGAAACACCAGTCCATAGAAACAAGAAGTATAGATTTGTCGACAAACAGGTTCACAAGATCCTCAAATTGTTCAAATCTTTCGCGCGATTGATTTCAAAAGCTAAAATCGATCGTCACCGCTCGAGAATTAAGCAGATTGCGGACCTGGTTGGTCAATCCACCATCGGACAGGAAAAAGAAGAAGACTCTGTCGACAACACAGACCTCTTTGTTTAATCATTCTCTCAGGTAGAACAGTAGTATACTAGTATTATACTAGAGGGAAAGGGTGAACAAAGAGGCAGATAAAACTCCGCTGAGAGTGAAGTTGGTAGACACGTAATACTTTCTCATGAAAAAATTGCGACTTATCTACGCCATCTACGGCAATAAATTCGACAGATAAAATTGGCGACTACTTTTATGTGAAAAATAATTTAGAATTTGTGCGTGAAAATCGTCACAAAGCGTTTGTTTTTATAAACTTTTAATGTAGGAAGTGTAGGAAGCCTTAGGCCTAGGCAAGCCCATTGTACCGATCAACACTAAAAACTGTCCAACCTTGAAAAACATGATTCCAATAAAATAATCAGGCAATTTTAAATAGGGCAAGTAAACAATGAGAGTTTTTAGTTTACACATAACCATATAACATTAAAGATATAGACGCCTGTGCAATACACAAACTTATGAAGCAAATAAGAACAAAAATTTGGGAAACTGTATTCAACATGCGCTTGCGCGAGATTTAAAATTTTGTTTTAAACCAATAAGCTTGGGACATTTAATAACCAAAATGGCCGCTAACAGATCGTCCATCAAGCTTGGATGCGGCATTTTTACTGCAATATTTTCTTAAAATACATCCAGATTGCATTCAATCTTCAGGCAAAAAGGACTTAAGTGTGTGGATATAGCCGTTTACAAAAAAAAGGCGCAAAGTGCAGTTTAGTCTAGAAAAATATAACCACCCCAGGCGCACCAATATTTACGATGGAAGGCCAACTATATTATCTGTCAACTATATGACATAACCATAACGATGGTAAAAGTAATAAAAAGCGATAAACATTGCACTTACCGGCCCGAGGGAAACTAGGAATCACATGTTCAATAAATAGAAGCTCATCGTTTTGCACTATTCCTTTCACGGTCTCAATTGTTTCTAGATGGAACTGGTCAATAAGGGAACGTGATTTCTTACCATGAGTGGGAGTATAGCATGTATTCCACTTTGCCGCTTTGTATGCTAGGTTCGGGGATAACCTTTTACCCTTATAATCGGGACAATCAATGCGTGCGGATACATCTAGACAGTAAAGGAGCCTTGGCACATTCTTCGCCCCTTTTCCTAAAAAACGCAACTTTCATACATTCCCCTCTAACAGGAGAACAATATTACCAAAGTTCTCTTTAATGTATTCTTCATCAAAAATTTTATTCATCCAGTGGTAAGAGTAGACATCCCTTATGCTCAAGTGGTACAACGAAGTGAGAAAGATTCTCGGGTATTTGACCACTTCCCATAACCTTTTATCGCTAAGAATTTCTTCATATGCTGCCTTGAAGATGTCAGGTTCAATATTTGGTTTGTAATCAAACATTGTTAAAACATATAACAACCTTTCGATGTCTTTGGAACGAATTTTATCGATATTACGACCTAATTTTGCAGCGCCTTTTTGGATCATCTTTTCATGAAACATTTGAAATGACGCTGCCAACAGCATCAGGTGAAGGCAGGCCATGTCTGACAGGCGGTCGATCTCATGGTAGAGAGTGTTCACCAGTTTGCATATCTGAGTAGCCATTTTGTATGAAGATGAATACCTCAATATCTTTAAAATGGCGGTGAGAGAAATTTCATGCACACTTTTGCTGTTCGTGAGAACTTCCTCTATCATAGTTTGCATTATAGAAAGACTCCTAAATTTGGACCTAGTTTTAAAGTAACCTATAGCGACTACCGCCATCTCGTCTATATTCATCTCTTTAATTTTGTTTTCAACCGCGCATTCGTAATTAAAGTCTACCGACTTCTTCCTACAAACGTTAAAAAAGAAAAACACCCTGACCAATTGGTCCTTGGTCAAATGATGAGCTTTGCTTGCCTTTCTATTGAGTAGCAAGTAAATAAAATCGCCTATTTTTGCCAGGTTAAATTTATACCAGAGGTCGGCGACTGTTAACAATTGATCCATAGACCAATTTTGCATTTTCCAACAGCACACGTCATCTAGACAGCTAAACACGTCGTGCATGTTACGCGATTTGTAACTTTCACATGGTGGATACTCGGACAGGCACTGCATTAAATCTATTATATCTTCATATTTCAATTTATCACAGTGGTCCATCAACCCATCCACTAACTTGTTAAACCGTTCATCCGAAATGGGAACGTTGTTGTTAAAGCAAAACTGCTTGGCCCGCTTAAAAGCACTGACGATGTCGGAGGCGTTGGAACTACGCCAGTCTCGATCCAAGAGTTTGGAAAACTCTTCTTCATTGTTAACCCTATCGTTCGAATCGGTTAGCACCTCAACCCAAGGCCGCCTAACGATACTGAACATAAAATCATTTTCACTTTCTACATTATGCTTCAAGACGAAATGAGGATGAAACCACCGTTTTGAAACGCGGTTTACGTTAGGGCTGAATTCATTTTGAGCTGGCAGCGGCGCCAACAACGAACGAAATTTTAACACCAACTGCGAACAGGTCGTTGCTTTATGTAACTTATGAGTGGTTAACATTGCATTTGCAAATTGTTTATTTTAAACTTGGTGCAACCTAACCTTCAATTCATCTTCTTTAATTTTATGTATCTTCCTAATGATTATGATTGCATTTCCGTAATAATAATAATAATCAATTTCTTAAATCCGGTAGACAGGATGCATTTTCTGCATGTACATATTGCAACTTGTCTACTACCAAATTTGCAAGAAATTTGGCATATAAAATGACCAGCTTTTTTCCTAAATTTTCGCGTGTAAATTGGCAAAAGACCATTTCTTTTTCTGTACTACTTTCATGGCTAATAATACCAGGATCATTAGGCCGGCAAGAGCATTTGTTTTGAGAAAAATATAGCACAGATATCTAGTTGTTGTATTCTGTGCTGGGCACATGACAGATTATACCTATTCAGCAGATTCTGTCGGTGGCATGGCGGTTTAACCTCCGTTCGGTTCCGACAGAATCCCATGTACTCGTCCCAAAAGTTTGAAATCGGTGTCCACTGTGTGGATTTTTTGAACTGAGGAAGCTTTTAGTTGATGAAAATCCATTTATCAAAATAAATAAGAACTAAAAGTTCAGATTTTCACGAAATTATATATTTTGACATGACAATTGTTTCGACAACACCGTGACTTTATCAAATTTGATAACCAAAAACCCCTCGCAGGGGCCCGCCACGTTGTGCTCCTCCCCCGTGCTAGAGTACCCCCTTGCTATCAGAGTGTGCTCCGTCCCTTAAAAATCCCCCTTGTGTAACGCCCTGGTTATCTCGGTGCATGTTCTTCTTGGCCCCGACTGCTATGATCATTCGGCCATTCTCGGTGCATGTTCGGGATGCGTCTGTTCCTCCGGTTCTGCCAGTTGCTGCTAGATGTCGCGCACGCGCGCTCTTGCCAGTATTTCAACCGGCGGCCGCATCACCACGAGGCCTCCCCAGCAGATGGTGGTGTCGCGGGAAACGCGGGGTGGCGGTGATGGGGGGATAGGGTCGACGATAAAGAAGTCGAGTGACTTATACAGAGTGTCTCAATAATCAGGTATAAACGTTGTGTCCATATTTAATTACAGAAAAATTGTATACAATAACAAATATTTATTAGTTCTAATGTAGACAACGTAAAGCGTCGCACAAGCGGATGCTGTGGTCCATGAAATTTTCTACTTCATCGCGTTCGAGGATAATTTCGTCGCCATGGTCCTTTTTCAGTATCAACTCACAGCTCTCTTCTTCATTCGAATATCTCACCTCGATATTGTCCCCTATGTAGACTATTATGTTGTTCCAGAACATGGTTTCCCCCACCTCATCCAAATAATCCCAAAAATCTTGGGCTTGAAAATCTATGTGTTTTCATCGACAGTGACCACTTTGTTGCACATCGCGATAAACCGACTGACTTCGGTATCAAATTCAAAAGTACTTATACAGCAACAACCCCCACTATTGGTGGAATTAGGCAAGATATTTACAGCAGGATTAAAATAGGTTTTCGATCTGTCGAGATGTATTCGTTACCGCAACTGTCGTTAACGTCGCCTCTGTTATTAGAATTCTTGATAGCGATCGTTTGCCATTCACCGTGGTCTTCGTTGCTACTGTTCGCGAAAACCAAAAGTACCTTGTAATTTAAATATAGCTTATCTGCGATAGTGTTATTCGACAACGTCAAGCTAAAAGTTTGTAGCTTGTGGATTGCGTTGACCTAAGCGAGTTGCATACGCGTCCACGTATTCGGCCAAATGCAACGATTTATATGATTTTTGAAACAAACGAACGCTTCAATCACATTTTTAAGTTTATGTATGTAGAAAACGTTCTGTACCACCGCCGGCAACAAAACAAACTGAACACTTAACAAAACCATGTTTCTAGCCTGTCCGTTTGACAATCCTCTTTTTTTACGTTGCGTCATAATTGAATTAAATTGAGTGTTTTTATAGTATATTATGCAACAAGTGCGGTAAACGGCATTTGACTCACGAGTTTATTTGACGCAAACGGAGCGAGTGTTTAATAAATGAGTGAGTTAAAAAGTTTACCAAACGTGTTGCATAATATACTTTTTCTACGACCGTTAGTTTTTGGGTACATTATCGCAAAACAACACGAATACATTCACTGACATGACTGTCAGAATTGACAAACGTCAAAATTCAAAGCGCGGGAAATATCTCCGATAACATCCGATTGCTTCCAAATCCGTGCGGTAAAATGCCGGAAATGTCCGAAGTGGCTCGGATTCGTGGGAAACGAAACTGACCTGGTAAAGTGACGCTTCCCGCACGCTAGATCGGTGGGTAATTAGGTATTTTACAGACGGGAGTAGAAAAATATCGTTTAAATGACAGTGAATAGAAATGTGAATTTTGGTATACATGTATAACTTTTAAAAAATAAACAATTTTTATAATTATTTGATGACCCCACTTACTGAAAGTTTTGTTTAAAAAAAGTTTTTTATAGGAAACGCGACATATACATACTTTGTTTCTTTTGTTTTGTTTTGGAAAAAATCGCGGTTTGTCCTTTTCACAAGTTACATATTATGTTGGCGCATCGCTTAGGACGCCACATATTTAAATCACGCAAAGAGTACCGGGAGTTAGAATTCCTGGTACGACAACCATCGGCAAAGGAGTATTAGTCGTGGGAGGGCGAGGTCCATCCCTCTTATACAATAGAACAGCAACAGGAACATTAGTAGCAGCAGCAGGAGCAACCCGGTGGATGTTCGACAGAAATAAGAGAATGGAACATCAGCAGCAGTGTAGGTGGTCGACAGAGTGGGACGCCAAGGGGTGTACTGCCTATTTAGCAACAGGAACACCGGGATGGCCGACAGAATCGACGCAAAAAGAAGATTATCCTGCCAATCCCCCCATCACCTTGACCCCGCGCCGCCCCGTCAACGCCATCTGCCGGTGGGGCCTCGCGGTGACTCGGCGGCCGGTTGGTATACTGGGCGTTACACAAGGGAGATTTTTAAGGGACGGAGCTCACTCTGGTAACAAAGGGTACACTAGGACGGGGGCGGAGTACTACACGAGTGGGGGCTCCCTGCGAGGGGTTTTTGTGATTGAGGTTATGTGCGGTTTTTTGCTCCTTAACGGGCGACAAATTCATGGAATGGTTTATTAGAAAATTGAAAACTATTAAGCAGATATTATGTGGAGGCGAAGGAAGTCGGCGGAAACTGGTTAGTTGAAGCCATCACCAATAGATGGCGACCAAACGGTGCCATCTTTCATTGGGCGCTCACTAATAATTTGTGAGTACCGAGTCAAGAATACACAACTGTTAGATTCGAGCTAATCATAATAAAAATTTCGAGATGATAGCGTCGCTAAAGCTAACTAAGTAGATGCACAGAATACTTCTAATTATTTAATGGACTGTGAAAATATTACGGAATGGATTATATTATCGAGTTTGATTTATAAATGGTGTCCATAGAACCTTTCTTAGGGTTATTAATTTTTGCAAATTTTGGGAACAGCCTCTATTTATTTTGTTTTATTCTTTACATTGGCACATTCAAAAACGATCACAACATTACAATCTGACCAGAACTTCGTTTATAATATAATATAATATATTTAAAAAAAAAGCAAGCTCAAATAAAATTCGATAACTAGAAATAAGCTAAAAGCACCGCAATTACAAATAGCTTTCTAAATCACATGAAGGGAGTCCTTTCTATAATAATGGAAATTTTATTAAATAAATACTTTTTTTTTCAACCATGGAATATTTTAAATTTCAACAAAGGCCTTATAATTCGGTAGTCATGTGACTCGTAAGGGCTTGCACCCTCTTGGCGTTGCAACTTTTACACAAAACGTGTCCGTCCAATGGATAGCAGCCCCTACCCTCCGCTTCCGAAGACAAAACCAAACCGCAGTCCTAAAAGGAGAATGTAATTAAGAAACCATAAAAAAAAGAGGCATGAAGAAGCAATGAATGGAGAAAAAATAGCAGACGAGGGAAAGGAAGCTCCACTAACATCATTGTTTAAAAAAAGCCGGATTTACAGTAGGGAGGTCATGCGTAGATCATATATATACAATTCCACAGTTAATGGAGAAGAAAAAAGCAAAGAACAGACAAGTATACTTAGTATTCATTAACTTGAAAATGACCAATTTCACCAACACCTTTCAAGACATTCCTCGAACATGCCCTGAAAACCTGGACAAGTAAATGTGTCCTGAATGACCAGGTAGTGATAGCCCAAGTTAAAAACCTCAGTTACATGGTCAGGAAGTTAAAGGAAGAATATGAGATTGGAAATAAACTTGAAGAAGACAATGCACATGAAAACGACGGAAAAGAATGCAGTAAAAATAATGCAATAAAAGGAACAAACAACTTCAGATTTGCACTGTCTAAAAATGCTACTACAGAGGAAGAACTAAAGAATAGGCTTGGGCAGACACAATCAAGTATACAACAACTCCATTCAGTTATATGGGCCAAGAACCTCAAGAAAAAAACGAAAACGTTAACATACGATTCAACTGTAAAGAGTAAAATGACATATGCAGCAGAGGTATGGGTAATAAATACAAACTACAAAAGGAAACGCCTAGCTACCGAAATGATGTATTGAAGAAGCTGCAGTGAACTCACTAGAAGAGACCAAGTTACAAATGAAGAAATCAGAAAAGAATGGGCGTGGAAAAAAATGCAGTTACCTTATATAGAAACCAAAAGACTCCTATGGTACAGATTCGTTAGAAGAGGGAGGAAGAGATGGATAAACAAAGTAATGGAATGGAGCCCGAATGGAGCCCAAGAAGATCATGGAGAAATAAGGTAGAAGAGTCAATGCAAGGAAGACAGTTAGCAAAACGAAGATGACTACGGCTGTAGATTCCCTAGATATACTAACCTCACATTTGTAGCATTGTATGTGAAAACTGTGATCGAGTGCCACTACCCTTACGGTTTCCTCCTCGCCAGGCTCGGGCATTATGGGCTGTTTACACACCCAGCATCTCGGGGCGAAGATCCTGGAATTACACCCGATGTTTACCAAATTCTGATCCCTCAATTTACCAAATAAGTACTTGTGAAAGTCCTCGATGCAGTGTACCCTGTTGGTAGCGTCTACGGTGAACGGTATGCCGTCCAGGCTCTTTCCGCATACCACGCAACAGAAACAACCCGGATGGTACGGTTTACCAGTAGCCCTCAGGATACGATCTAGGATCGGTTTCTGACAGACGCAGCACTTCTCCAAAGTGTTCTGGAAAATAGAATCACCCTAGATAACCCAAAACAATTAAGCGACGCCCATTAGACGTACCAAATAGTCTTCTTCGCAATAGGGGTGTCCGTCGAGCGCGTAAAACGGCTTGCCTTGCAGATTTATGGCGCAGTGGTGGCACGTGAAACATTTTATGTGGTAGAGTTGGTCCATCGCCGTACACCCGCTATTCTCTCCCACGATCTAACGGTAAAAATATTGAGATAGAGACCCTGGAGGGGTGTACGGAATATACCTTCTCCCCGCACTTGATGCATATCCCGTACACGTCCTCGGGGTCAAGTTCGCGAGCCCCGCCCATACCTTGGACGAGCATGTCGGTCAAACTGTCCACCTCTTGTTCTTTGTTGTGCCCTATCCGGCTCACCGATTGGCTAGGCCCTAAGAATTTTTGGCCGAACGGCCCAGATGGACATAAACACCTTTACTTACGCAGGGGGAAAATAAGTCCATACAGTATCATCTATTTTGCTTGGTTTAAATTTCTAAATAAAAAAATGATTTTTATAACAATTTTAAAATTACTTTAAATTTGACAGCTTATTTTTTATTAGAGTATATTACTGGAAAAAATTCATGGGACAATTTTAATTTAATACAAAACAATTATTGTAAAAGGTTATTAAAAACTTTTTTTTATCTCCTTGTGACCTTTTTAGTCTTCTTAGGATTTAGAGCACCCTGTATTTGGGAAACGAAGCAATTTAAAATGTACGTTTCAATGGACAGTTTTTTCTTTTAAAAAAATGGTTTTTTATGTGTTGCAATACTAATTTTACACTGACAATTCTTCATTAATTAACCCGCGACGTGGATTCACGAACAAATTTGATCAATTTAACTCACAGCTTTGATATCAAATACTCATCAAAAAAATAAAAATAAATTCGACAATTCAGTAGTAGCTACTGTTGAAATCAATCGAAAAGCAAGGTTGTTATACCAATATAACCAATTTGCTAGCATTAAAACAAAAAAAAAATCAGTTTACTCATTTGTAGAAATTGATTTATGTTTTTTTATATATAATTGCAGAAGAACTGTGGACCCTAGTCCTGGATGTGGATCAGTAAGTAAAAAAAATGGACTAAATATTTTGGGGAGGAAAAACGTTTTGAGTTTAAATCCCTAGAGGAAAACAAGAGACAATCACAAGAAAAGGCAGTTTCTAGTTGTATTACAATCCATCTAGGTTCAGAGTCAAGGCATAATGTAGACTTGGAAACTGAGCCCCAAACATTTACATCTAAAATTCTTAATTAACTTTTAACAAACCCGGCATACCCTTAAAAATCAAAAATAGGTTTACAGAATTACTTTAAATCATCACTATTATTTTAATACAGAATGGGTATAATTACTAAGTTTTTAAAACTTTTATGAATTTAAAAAACTTCTAAAACGGTTAGATAGGCACAAATGCAAAATATAATGTAAAATGGCTGGGAAGCGAGATTTGTATTCTAGTGCTAGTGCTAGTGTATCTAGTGTTGCAAGAAGAAATTGATCACTTACTTATTATCAGTGTAAAACCCGTATAAGGGATGTATATTTCATTACCTGTCATGGTGCTACTAGCGCCGCTTACGTAAGGCCCGTAAAGCGAATAATTCGACCTAGAAGACATCTGACTCGGAGGACGCGGGTTGATTGGCTCGTAGATCGATTCGTAGGTGGAAGAAGACTAATTTTAAAGAAAGGGCGGGTAAAAAAAACAACCTTTAATGAACGTGGGTTAAGCGCGAGTTACCTGCGACATCCCGACGCTGTACAGGGATTCTGTATCCCCATACTAAGCGGCGTTAAAACACAACTAACCAGTAACGTTTGTAAGTCAAAAGGGCGCGAATCCTTACCTGCGAGCCTAAACTATAATTATGGAATGTGGAATCGGGCTGGGTCGCCCTCCTCAGCTCGCTATAGCTCGAGCTGACTGGCGAGGGAGGTGGTAGCAGATCGTCGGGGGGCGGCGGTAAGTTCGTGTTTACCGTGCAGGGCTGGTAATCGGCCAGACCCGACGTCATGTCCAGTGGCGGCGGGGGCGGGGGCAAATCTTCTAATCACAAAAGTTGACGTGAATCTCCTTTTAAATTCCTTGTTCAAAATTAACGCACCCTTTATTTAATTTGTAGTTAGTGTAAGATAAATAAAGGTAATTAAACAATATTTTTAATTAAAGTTGGAAGAATTATACAAAATTTGGCGATTAGGTACAAAAACTTAAAAATTATAGGAATATCTTCAGATTTCCATACAAAATCTGAAATTTGTAAAATTGCAAGTGTGCTTTGGAAAACAAATTAGCAAAAATTCTAATGGCGGTGTTCAAGTGTCAATAATATTAAAGTGCAGTTATTTATTTCACTAGCTTCATTTGCAAAAAAAAAGTTTTTCCATTTTTAGAACTACTTGATATGTTTACTGTTTATTTTGAAAACAGTGAAGACTGAACTGTTTCTGTTTCTAGATTAAAATGCAAACATCTTAATGTCTTATATGTATTACTGTTTTTCTTTTGTAGTAAATTTTATTGCAACATTCAGTCACACGCGAATTATTATTGACATTTTAAAATGTCAATGTTGGTGTTTTAACAGTAAATTTATACTTATTTTGATAAAGTTACCTAAAAATATTATGTTTCTTTTACTGATATCACAGGTTAGTAAAGAGATATCTAGTGTGTTAGACCCTTATTTGGGTCCTCTTTTACAGCAATAAAACTGATATCTAAGATTTCTAACATTACATGCAAATATTCAAAGTAAATCTTTTAAATAGCACACATAAGTCAGAAAATGTAATGGTAAGTGAATTTTAAACAGGAGTATATTAACACGAGAGACTCCGCTTGGGAATTTTATTAAATGCTGTGGACATTTACCACCATTAGGATAAGCACCCGTATTAGGCTGCGGAAGGTTGCTGTATACGGCACCTTCTCTCGGCGGATGCGCTAAGTTACTGTAGATGAGTCCATCTTGATTCCGGTTAGGTGGAATTTGTATATTACTGTAGGTAACCTCCGACTTATTTCCATATGGTTTGGGTGTACTGGCGAGGGTAGACGCTAGACTGAAAATGCCAGAGCCTAGCTACACACTTTGGTTACACCCAATATGAAAGGAGAAACTGACCTGGAGCTTTTGGTAGCGTACGAACCATAACTTGGGGTGCTCCTAGGCAAAGAACTGTTAGTCATAACTGAAGGGCTCCTGGAAAACTGCTCCTGCCCGTCGGAGGCCGTCAAATTGGCGTAGTTGTTATCCTGGGCGGGCGCGGAGTTAGAATAGTGGGATGGGTTAATGAGGTTTGAGTAAAACTGCGCATTTTGTATACGGGACGAGTAGCTGGGCTCAACTGTCTGCTTAAGGGGGTATGATTGCGGCACCTAGACGGTAACAAGCTTAATAAAATCCGAAGCGAATAGCGAATAAAGCATGATTTACAAGAATAATGTAGTTAATGACTCACGTGAATTCGGTTAACGCAATCTAATTGCTTTATATATGGGCTGGTGGGAAAACTCACCTGCGGCTGCGTCTTCTTTGGTTTGGGCGGCACAGCGGGGCCTACTTTTTTGCCCGGCGTTCTCAGATTCGGATTGGGGGGCAATTCCGATTTATTTAGTAGGGCAAGCTCGGCCAGCTGTCTGTCTAGCTCGTTCATTTCGACCTGCCGGAGCACCAATTTCAAAATAATTCAAAGTTCCATTCAATGTTTTCTATTTACACAAACTTAATACCGTTCTAGACATTATTAAATTATTTCGTAAACATATAGTGTACGACCAAAGCGACCTTTGCCCCGAAACGAACCAATAAAATTCAATCTCCGTCAATTTATCATTTATAATCCTTTCCGCAAGGTTATGTTTTCATTTACCTTTTAATTTTATAGACGAAACTAATAAAAACTAAAGTCAAAACGCAAACGCATCAATTAGACGGCACATAAGCACGCGCATCGATCTCATGGCACTGACACTACACGTTTAAAGACTTGAAACGCGATTTTGTTAATGTTTTGTTCCCAGAAAAGTGTTGTCGCCCCGATTCTTGCGATTTCGACAACGAATCCAGTCGGTCAAGTTGTTTGTGACATTGACGATGGCGCACTGCCGTCGAAAGTTTAGTAGGTCCGCACCCAGGTGAGATTTCAAATGAGTAAGCATCCGATGTGCATTCGAAAATACCATTTTAGGATTATTTATTTACCAAATAGAGATAAGAATTGTTTCGTTAAAAGCATGTATACGTTGCTGATAAAAGGCATTTTCTTCGTGCCTGTAGCCTGAAGCACATGTAGATTATAAAGCTTAAACAATTAATATTTATGTAGATGTCTAGGTATTACTTTTCAGCACATAAATATATGAAAAAATAGGCGCGCCAATGCTTTGATATTTTTTATGTTTTAAATACACAAATTTTCTGTTCCATTATGTTACAGCAAGACCATTCTAGAGCAAAATTACTACGGAAGGAATGGAAATAAATAATTAAAATCATTTAATTCCAGATGGCGCGCAAAACGTTGGCTTATTGCACAATTATCCTTGACTAATCTGCCCGATTTGGTAATAAGAAGAAGAGGAGTTTCTGTTGTAACGTTTATGAGTCGAAAGATCCTTGCAAGTTTGGCTATAACAATGAGAAGAAGAAGGAAATCTTTTTTACTTTTTTTTCTATGCTGGAGAGGTGGGAGATATTGAACATATTTTGTTTAATTGTGCTCTGCATCGGAATAACTCCCAAATTTTGTATCAGTCCCTCATTGATGCCGCTCCTATTAGTGCCTTTTCTGCACTTTTTCACCCTGGATGTATGGATCTTGTTGCACGACTTGTGGTTAGATTCCTTGATGCATGTGGTATCTGCTAGCTCATGGTTCATGGGTTGGTTTTAATCATTATGTATATTAGCTAGAATTTCAAAGAACTCCTTCGCTGGAGAAGATCCGAAAACCCTCGACATTTAGAACTTCTGAGATTAGTCTCCTTCGCTGGAGAAGATCCGACAATCCTCGACATTTGGAACTTCAAAACTCAGTCTCCTTCGCTAGAGAAGATCCGAAAATCCTCGACATTTAGAACTTCAAAATTTAGTCTCCTTCCTGGTGAAGATCCGAAAATCCTCGACGGAAGTCCGAAATGGGCGAATGATCCTGGTAGTCGTGCCCAACAGTTTTTTGTGAAACGCTTCATTAAATTTGATTATTTCTATACTGCCGTTTTGGAGAATTTGACAGTGTTATTAAAAACAAAAATAGATTTTTGATATATCCCGTAATTTTGGGTTTAATTCGAAAGGATGTCAGAAGACAATGTCAGGGTAGGTTGAGACAACCGCCAGTGGTAATATTGTGATAATATCTACAATGTGTGTTTTAGCCAAAACTTCAGGCCAAGCACGACTGGTATCAAACTGAAACGGCGGTGGTGATTACTGTTTTGGTAAAAAACGTCAAGCAAGAGAAGTTGAGGGTCAATTTTTCAGACTCGAAAGTTACTGTGGACATACAGATGCCTGAATTCGAAGAATGTAATTTGTCATTTAATTTATCCCATAGAATTGTTCCAGATCAATGCTGTTTCAAACTAACCCCGTCCAAGGTAAGTTGAGGCAATTCTTCGGCACCGAACTCAAAATATTCACTCATTTTATAACTTGGTATACATATTTGTTTTTAGATTGAAATCAAACTAAAAAAAGCGGAGGGATTGCGTTGGGAAAAGCTAGAGGGCGCAATTAAGGAAACAACTGTTAAAGCAATACCTCAAAGTGAGTAGTTCTTGTCAAATATGTAAGTAATTAAGATGTCTCTACAATAGGTTCATCTGCCAATTTGAACGGCCCTCCTTCATATCCAACATCAAAAATAGGTAAAGACTGGTCAAAAGTTGAGAGGGATATAAAAAAGCAAGAAGAGGAAGAGAAACCTGAGGGCGAGGAGGCTCTTAACAAATTGTTCCAAGAAATTTATAGTAAAGGTAGCGAGGATATTAAACGAGCAATGAATAAGAGCTACGTAAGTAGAAATAAAATTAAATGGGTCCTTTAAGGTCTAGGTATTTTTTTATTTTAGATGGAGAGCGGAGGAACTGTACTAAGCACAAATTGGGAAGAGATCTCAAAGAAAAAGGTTGACATTAAACCACCTGATGGCATGGAATTTAAAAAATGGGACAGCTAAACTAAACCAATCCACAAAAGTGTTTTTACTATTTAAATAGCTTATTTTTACTTGTAACTAATAAAAAAATCTTACAAACTATTTTGCTTTTTGCTTCTTGATGCCCTATTGAAGCGAACTCTCATTTCCAATCCATTAATTGGCCCGCAAAGCAAAAAAGCTTAAGTGCTTTTGTTTCTTCAGCTCAAAAAGATGGTCAAATACAATAACTTGATTTTGAAATTACCTCATACCTTATGTTATTTTGTTCTACGCCCACATAACCAATATAAATTTGTGGTAGTTATGACGTTTACAAAAAGAATACGTCCAGCATGACACTTATGTCTAAGCAAAAGAACCGCGATTCACATTCACAATTAATCCGTGTTCTCTACCCGAGAAAAATCCGGTCTTTACATTCCACTATCTTTCTCTGTAAACAAACCACTCGTGTTCTCTGCTTTTGTCTGCGGGCCGACCGAAATTGTCGATCGAAACGTTTATCGACGTTATGGAAAACGCTGCAGTTTCATTTTTGAAACAATAATTATCGCGGGTAAATCATGAATCATGTTTTACTTCGCATCGATATGTCGCGACGTCCGCAATTTCCCTACCAGGTTAGTGGACGCATCTAGTCGGCGTCGGTTATCCCACGTTTTAATATTTGATTAATATTTAATTCGTCCTCTTTAATGTTTGATTACTATTAACCGCTCGCGCGCGTTCGCCTAGAAACACTTATAGGTTAAGAATTTTATCGAAACCGTATTGTGTCACCAGTGCCAACGCCGTAAATTAGACCGGGCACCCGCTCTTGAATTTCGTTCAATCAATTTGGACGCGATGCCCGCGTGTCTAGCATCGTGCTTAATAAACCGGTTGGCCATGCCGATGATTTAAGCGAGCCGGCAAGTCGCTACAAGCTCAGATTCGCTCGAACGTTACGACAGTTCAAGGCCTTTAATTTTTTTTTTTTAAAGTTCGCGGCGGAAGCTTCCGGCTCTCGATTTTGCGGCGACATGCAAATAGCCCCCCACGTATTCGTCAGGTGAAGATCCAGATTCGGAAATGGACCACAGAGTGTACACGAGTGATCTTTCGTACCCGAAAGAAGGGAAGAAGTGCCTGATTTATAGAATTTTCGGTGAGTTTTTGTCGCGTTTTTTGCACGTTGACGTCTTACGTCGTACAAATAACCGTGATTTCAAAATATCGCTCAATATGACAGGCGTATTTAAATATTTATAATTTTTAAAAATATTTATTCTTCCACGGCCCTCTTGTAAATTTTGATTCCCACGCGGGAATATCCTATTTAAGTGGATTTTTTTTGCCAATTTCATCGCTACTATGTGGAAAGATAGAAATACATTGTGTGACGTTTATGATAAATTATTTCTCGGAACCTTTCGAAAGGTGAACTCATTAACATACAAATACTGAAGGTAGAACGCTGAGTAAGCGTTTTTTAAAATCCGACCGACAAGGATAAGACACATGCAAAAGTAGAACATTACGATTGCACTTTGTCGATTTTTGTACAGGATGTCCACAATGCTAAAAACATTTTTTTCAGTAGTAAAAAATATATTGAAAAAATTATTGATCAAAGAATCGGTCAAGGTCCATGGGTCTTTTTCGGTGTTGTGATCCATTGTAAATGTTACCTCCCACCCCTTCTCATAACTTTTTTATTTGACATTTTAGAAAAAATGCCAAAGTTTGTAGGGCTCGATTTGTAGATAAATTAGATAAAATTGGTAGACTTCTATATTATTTTAACAAAATATAACGTTATAGTTATTTTTTACATTAAGGCTAGAATTAGTCAAAAATAAAATCATCACTTTATATTAAATATTTCGGTATCTACATCGACAAGCACATGACTTGGAAATATAATACTGATAAAGTTATTAAACAATTGAGATCCCTTCTCTCCATATTCAAGAATGCCACAGAAATTTGGGATGGAAGACACTTAAAAATGTTGTATAGTACATTTGCTGGACCATATCTCACATACGTTACCCTCTCTACAATGAATATAAAAAGAAAATAAAGGAGTTTGTTATGCAGTAGCCGAGACTTTTATATGCACCAAGAAGTAGATTTAAAAAATAGTTATTTTATTATTACAGCTCATTACGTTTTTAGTTAAGATCTGTGTAGTTTGTTCTGATTTTTGCGAGTCTGTTAAACACCACACTTAAAACCACTTAAAACTTAAATTTTTTATGTATTTATTTTTTGATTTATTCAGCTCACAAACAAATATTCATTTGTTAATATTTTGTGAGCTTATCCCCAGGTTATTTGCTATTTGTGTATCTCTACTTATTTAATGTTCTTCTTAATGTGCTATTTGTAAATAAATTATTATTATTATTATTGTTATTATTATTGAAATATTATTGAAAAAATTGAAATATTGTCATTGTATATAAAAAATGATAAAAATGCAACAATTGAACTGAGGTGGCTTTTACTTGATGAAAATCCATTTATCAAAATAAATAAGAACTAAAAGTTCAGATTTTCACGAAATTGACATGACAATTGTTTCGACAACACAGTGTCTTTATCAAATGTGATAAAGACACTGTGTAAAGGCCCTCTTGCTGCGATCGATGACGAATCGAAGTGTTTGGATCTTCGGCTACACTTTCGCGAACAATGGCAATATTTTGATCTGACCGACCTGCACGAGCACGTTGAGGGACTTTGAGGTTAGTTACAGATCCAGTTTGCTCAAATTCTTGAACCACATTCCAAATTGTCCTCTCGGAAGATCGATTTTGCGCGCCGAAAAGTTCACGTAGAGCCCGAAATGCATTTTTTCTTGATCGACCATTTTTATAATAGGCTTGCACAATTTTTACACGTTGTTCAGTCGTATATTGCTCCATGACTAATTTTGTTTATGTTTTGAGGTTAGAAATCTCATATGATAATACACAAATACAGTGGCGTTTCAAAAATATTTCAGATTGTAATGTGGAAACTCTTATTGAATACCCCGTTACATGTCCAATAGGCATTGTAGGATTCGGTACAATATTATGGCCAGCCAATAGCCCAGATTTTTCAGATACCTTTTTGTGGGGGTTTTTGAAAAACAAAATCTGTTTTGGGCACTATAGCAATATAGATAACGCGAAAGAACTAATTACTAGTGAAATACATAATAATAATAATGATTTGCCTCTTGATTCGATACTTAGCGATTTAGAAAAAGTCAACTGTGTATTCAAGAAAATTTATTTTGTATGTAATTTATTATCAATTGAAATCATTATTCTTTCTGGCCTTAATGTAAAAAGTAACTATAACATTTTCTTTTTCTTTTTGTGAAATAATATACAGGGATTCCAATTAGTTTAGATATACTATAATTTCTTGTCGTGTATATAAAAAAGTACTACAACTTTTGTATTTAACTATTTTTTTTTACAATGTGGAATAGTTACAGTATGCGTCAGTTATTAGCAAAAGACATAAACAAAACTTTTTCTAGGGTCAAAAATTATTTCGGAATTATTTATATGGAATGCTTATTGGAAAGACTCGGTTCAATTTTCTCGTGTTACATTTTGCAATGTAACAAAGCTTCTCCGGTTTTATCGCTAGTGGGAAAATCAACATGCCATCTGATAAGAAAGCTTGCCGATCGGGAATGGCAGGGAAATATCGGTAATATGACGTAATTTATCACGACTTCCGGCCAGCCAAAATGAGAATTTTAATCGTCAACTACAATGACGTCATCAGCACGAAGTTTTACAAACTTTAGCATGGAGTGTTAATATATAGCTATATAATGATGTTTTTGGGGTTGATTAGGAAAATAAACATATATTTAAATCTTCATTCAAAAGTTTTCGGTTCTTAGTTGATATTATTCAGTATTTGTATTTTACTGGTCTTCATGGACATAAAAACTTTTTTACTTTATAGACGGAGCTATTGAGCGAAACTGTTTGAAATTTAGGGGATGATAATTACAAGCTTTGAAAAAAAGTAACTGGTCATCGCATCAATAACACAAAAAAGATTAAAGTTTCAAGTTTTGCGCTGAACTGTTGTAGCAGTGCTTGATACAGCAGCAGATCACCCACAAATGCTACCAGGGGCCGAAAGTACTGCAGATTTTTTTTCTTTTTGTGAATTTGTGAAAGTGTTTGACCGTGTCACTGGTGTCCATAAAAAAGGTAAAAACTTAAGATCTGCTGTTACTAGTTAATCAGATTTTAATCAGTTCTGGATTGAGGCTATTAGACAAAGGTAAAAAAAATTGTACCTGCTTCATTAAAACATTGGATACACACTTTGAAGGGATTTTCTTGCCTATTTGACAAATTATCCAAAGAAAGTATTAAATTTTTAGGCCCAAGATTCTATGGAAAACTTTTTTGGTAAAATTCATCCGTCATATTTTATTAATTTTTTAAATCATTGCTCATTAACTTCCAGTTTATCAGTTTACTAAAAAACTTAGTTACAGGATTTGTTGCTAAAAAAACTTTTTAAGGAAAAAGTATGTGTAGCGTCGTAGGGATTTAGTTGGTAGTGATCGAACAAAAACAGAATATGTAGTTTTAAATATTTTATTTGTTGAAATCAAAATATATCTGAGGTATAAAAAGTTATTCCATATATATTATAAACATGACGTAAAAGAATTTAGCTTAAATTATGTCAGTAAAATTCATTTATTGGTTTGGATTAAGAATAATATTTTAATTTTCAAGAAAAAACAAGTGAAAAATACTTATGATCCAATTAAACTTTATGCCAGTGAGAAATTTGCAACTTATCAAAAATATTAGCAAAAAATTCAGAATGTGAAATCTTTAAAATTGTAACTTCAATGTGTGACTTTGTACAATTAATATATAATTAAGAGCAGTTTATTTTTCGCTTAGTTTCTAAATAAGTCAGCATTAATTTATGCATTTTTATCATTTGTTTTCTCAATAAACATTCAACGGTAATATTATTAATTATTTAGTTATTTAAATTCCCCCAGTTATCGGAGCTATTTGATTTCCACAAACACTAGAGGGCGCAGCGACTGCGGTTTTTAGATTTATACGGCAGTTGCCGATCAATCTCCCCCTTATCTATGGTATCGAAACGTGTCAGGTATGTGTTTGATAACTCAGAAAATTCCAATTCTAAAATGTAACGCCCTATAAGTAAATAACACCTTGCAGAGGGTTTGAGTCTCTCTTTAAATGTGTAGGCAATTGCAAGATGATATTAAGTTTCCTTCAACTGATCGTTTATCGTCTCTTTTTTTCCAAAATCAAAAATAGGGAAAAACGCGTTCGACCAGTATCCAAACTGCGTTCACTGTTTCACTGTTGTTTAATAGATTATCTAAACGGTGCCTAAGCACCTAATAGCCTACTCCAACTGATTTAAAATTCAAAATCAATTCCATTAAGATAGAATTGATAAGACCGCATTAAATGGTGCACTTGGTGTCAGAAAGATCAACAGCCTCTTCAAAAACTGACAAAAAATCGCGAATATAGAGTGATCAAACAACATATGGAAAACGAAACGATGAGTTTTAAGGTCCTTTAACTGCTTTGACGCAAATAAAACCAAAAACATGTCGAACATTGTCAAAATCTAGACTAGCCAGAGAGAAATTTTGGGTTTGACTTGATTGATACAAAAGATGAAATAACAAGAACACCGTTGAAAGTGGGTATAGGAAAAACCAATAAAGAGCGAAATTTTGGCATATTTGGAAAAGATGTAACTGGTTGAGCTGGTAAAATGAGGCTATTTTGGTATTGGGGTTTCATGAATTTAATTTGGACCAATTTAGAATATTCCAAAATAGCAGCACATGAAACATTGTTAAAAAAGTAACCAAACATTTATTAAATGGAGTAGATTATTTACAGAAGTCGCACACATATGTCCCCGCGTCATATTCAGCACACGTTCTGATGTTCTGGCTCTCATTCAAAGGTCTCTTTTGCATGGTAAACTAGAGACGTTTGTTGATTTTGTTTCTTTTCGGCCTCTATTAGAGCTTCGCTTAACCACTTACTAACTGCTGTATTGGTAGAACATTCTTTGAAGATGCATCCGATATTCCCTGTTCTGCTTCGTGGCATAATTTTAGGTCACTTTTGTTTAATTGTTGAACGTTTTGTTATTGTTCTTCTTGTTCCAATGCAAGTTAATCGGCTTCACTAAAGCCATATCTGTCAAATAGGTAAGATACTTCCTGGCGGGCTACGCCATTCCAAACAATTCGACAATGTTATATGCAGTCAACGGCTTATTATTTTGACGAAGAAATTTGTGTACTTCCTCACTTTAAAGGTCCCATAAATGATCTGTCCAAAAGGGGTAGCGTAGCGTAAAATTTATGGAGTAGCGAGCTTTTCCGTATATTCTTGTGGATGTTGTAGATGTAGATAATGTAGAGACCACAAATACAGTAAAATTATTAAACCTCTGACGCTTAGAAACTTTTTGTCCAGGATAGCACGTTCCTCTGCGCATGCACATAAATTACACTAACCTTGTGGCCATGCGCATTTCCACCATTCATCTTCAACATTCTTTGATGTTCGTAATTGCCTGTGTTCAATTTATATAGTTCTTGCGTTCTCCCGTCCTTTTACCCTTGACTTTAATAGTGCATCACCGCGTTCTCCTGAAGTAGATCACAGAGATCTCGGCCATTAAAATCGTAAGAGGTGACAATCATTTTCTAATCGGAAGCAGGTTTATCTTATCTGTGATATTTCGCGTCTTCTTCGCAGACATATAAGAACTCGACGACGATGACAGTACTTAGTTTCGCAGGTTTATCTCGGTCGTCATGATTTTCTCTGCGATATCAACATTGTAAATAGTTCGAGTGGTGTATACGTAATGTGTAATGTTTGTGCGCTGATCGGCCGTAAGTGCGCATTACATAATTTCCTACGTTAAATTATAGAGCATGCACATGCCGGACGCCATTTTGACTGCAACGTTCCAAAATTCCCAAGTGGAGGTGTAATCTTTTTTAAAAGCCCTTTTGATAAAGGAAAAAGGATTTATGGAGCAAGACAAGGGATAATTGATCATATTAGGTTTCATGTTTTGGGCTTAATTTTGAAATTTTTAGATCATATCCCCTTAATAATAAATACTGCTCCCAAATACATTCAAAAATGGCGATTTAAGTACCGCCACTGAGATGCCGTTGGCATGAAACGTCATATTTAATCACCTTTTCTGCGTCGAAAGGCACTAGCAACGATCAAAGAGTTTTTTACTTCGCAAATTCCTTTGACTACCCCGATTTAGGGATTTTTAGAGAATCCTTTTCGTTCGTTTCACAGCTTTTGAGTATTTCAGCGCCCCGTAATAACATAAAACCACTTCCTCTTCCTTTCCAAAGGATGATCTGTTAGTGTCGTGAATCGAGTGACCATGGCGTTTTGGTGGTCTGTGGTTCGTCCCTTCTGGCGTTTAGTTTTATGGCGAGTGACGCTGAAGTGCGGCCTACTTGATATGTCACTTTTCGATATTTGTTGCCAGATTTAATCTGCGCCATTGTTTTTCGAGTGGTCTGTCACTTTGATACCCCGATAGATTAATTTTCAGAGTGCCTTGACGTTTTAGGCCATTTATTTTTCGGCGATAATTTCGTTTTTGGGCGGGCAGATAACGTAATGTACCGATTGCATCAAAGTCGTTAATATTTAAACACGAACTATAATTATATGCATCTATCTGTATTTATCAACATCAAGTATTGAAGTATAAACGTCCTCTAGATTCCAGTCGAAATTTAACAACAAATGAACGGACTAACTAAGAACCGAGGGGAAACCACCTTCTAAAATTTGGATAAATATTTACCCTTATTTCTTGGTAATAACTAAATATTTTGTGTATGATGAAACCTATATTAACTAATATATATCTATTGTTTGTCTCAACAATATCTTAATGAAAAAAGTTAATTCAAACACAAATTAATCCTATATACCCTATTCACCTATAATACACGATATATATTTTATTTATTAACAAAATAAAGTACTGTCATAAAAATACAGAAAATAAATGGAGTTGGGATATTGCACATTTAAACCTCTAGATCTCGTATGTTTGTTATTCCTCAATTCGTAAATATTTCGACAATATTTTTTTGAAGAATGCTTCAAAGTTGTTTCTATCTTCGTTCATTATTTTTCACAAGCAAATTTTAGTTTAAATCGTAACAGCCAATTTCACATATGGTAAATAGAAGTTGGTCGTTTGGAGTCATGGGAAATTTATGAATTAGTAAGACGAAAATTGCTTGCTGCGAATTGGGTCAGTAAAAAAATCATCATTGGATCTAAAGTTATTAAAAAAAAGACGCAATCCAAGTAAATAGAACTTATTATTAATTATTATTTATTTATTATATTATTTTTGGGAATACAAATAGTATATAGGCTTTCAATTTACGCGTCTGTTGTATTAAGTTTTTTTACTTCTTTTTTAAGCCTTGAACACTTTTACTTTTTTTTATGCCCCATAAAAACAGTCCAGGGGTGTCATATCAGGGCTCCTCGCTGGCCAATCCAAGGTCCCGTACCGACCAATCCAAAATGGAAAACGTTGATTTAAACAATTTCTAACAGGTACTACGGTATGTTCTATCTTGTTGAAAAACAATTCCTTCTTTAATATCGTCCGGCAGATGTTTAAAAGAAAAACTTAGTTAGAATAGGATTTACATAGGTTTAGTTTTTTGTAATAAAAACAAACCCAATTAAAGTGCTAAATACAGGGTGTTCCATTAAAAGAACTGAGAAAATGGAAAAGTTCATTTTTGTTTAACAACGGTACGACGGAACACTATGTGTACATAAAAATACTATAATTAAAGTATATAATTAGGGTTACACACTTTTTATATTTAATTTTTTTTCCTCAGTGTCCTGCTTATTGATATCAAGGTAAAGGAGCATCTTGAATGGGCCACTCTGTACTTTCTTATTTCATTCATAGTGTTTCTAAGATTTTTTCTAAAGATCCATATTCTGATCGAAACGTTGGATAGAATTGAAAAAAATTAAAGCATTCTGCTATTGTTGAACAACCTCCACCCAAGATCAACTCTAGTGTTATATATGACTACTGTAAACTATTACCCTTTTCAACACAATTAATAATAATAATATAAATAATTTTTATTCACGTATTGATATACAACGAAAAGGACACGGTTCGGATGAACAAAATAAGATATTTTGTGCCTCCGTTTTTAAACCTATCCTAAGAAGAGAGGGTAGCAGCGCTAGGCACTTTGGATTGCAATTGCAATTGTGGGAAGAAGATCTATTGGAAAAAGAAGAATATCCTGGCTTAGAAACCTACGAAAATGGTTTAATTTACATCATTTGACCTATTTAAAGCCGCAGCTTCCAAAATCAAAATAGCAATGATGATAGCCAACCTCCGAAGTGGAGACGGTACATGAAGAAGAAGAAGACACTTTGGAAATAGTATACAGTAGACATTACTTAAATATTTAATTATAATAATACTTCACGCAGGTGTGTGGAAAAGGTATTGTAATTTTATTTTGGAAATAAATATTTGTAATAAGACCTCACTGACAGGGTTTTGGGCTGATTCTATCACCAATTTATTTGGTAATAATGTTAAGATCGTTTAAGCTTATGCCTCCAAGGACATCAAAATTTCCTCAGCTTAAGAAGGTACTTTTGGAGAAAATTAATTTAATTGAATGTTTATTTATTTGTCAAGCTATATAGTGTTATTAACAATTTACAATTACAATGTGTTGTTATATATAAAATCTCGCTTTTTAAATTGAGACCTCATTAGTGATCCACATACAAGACTACATAATTTATATTATATTTAACTAATTCTACTACTACCTACCCACAGTTTTAAATTATTATTATTATTATATTACTTATCCTAAACTGTGGGTCACAAATGAACCACACCATATTTAATTAAAAATATTTCCATTTCCGTCAAAATTTTTACTAAAAAAGTTAGGGATACTGCAGTCACCACATCGCTAATAAAAGGCACAATGGCACAGGTTCCACGTTGGGTCGGCTTGGGGGGGAGGGGTCCTTGCTCTGCTAGTGATTGAGTAATTCGTATCGAAACTCATTTTATTCGCTTTTAATAAATGTACTTAAATCAAAGAGGCGATTGCTTGATATAATGAACTAACTAAATCGTATTAGTTTTATCTGGTTTAAATAAATAAACAAATAAATAAAAATATTTAAATCCATACAAACAAATAATAAATATTTATTAGGCTATTTTTTTCGGAGTTTTATTAGTGCGGGAAATCCCCTCCTTTTATAGTTCATCGCATTCTCTTTCGTTTTCAGAAATCAGAAAAAAAAACTTAGCATTGTCGTTGTTCCAGTCCAGTGATTTTTGTATACATGTCCTGTGCTATGCGTTAGCAGTATCAACTTTCAAAGTTGGGCGGTTTTTCAATCCAACCTCCAGAGGAATTTCCTTTTTGAGGACACATTTCAGTTTTACCTTACTAAATCTACTCTTCCACTTCAAGAATGAGGTGTCCATGTACGTCCTGAACACATCTGAAATTCTCTTATACAGGTGTCATCAAAATGGATCGCATAATCTGATAAGTGAATGTGGTCCCCGCCCTGATGCTAAAGAGCTGTAAACCCCATTTGTTCCATTTATTTGGTACACGATGTATTGTTATGGTACAAAACTTACCAACAATTAAACTCTCAGCCACTTTGGGATCGGGAATCCGTATCTGTAGTGTTAGTAGACTAACTAATAAGTCCGCTGAATCAGTCTTTAGCAGATTTGAACTTACACTCAGAGGAAAAAACATTTCAATATTAAAAAAAAACACCAACGATTGGTATTATATGATTCTATATTGTCTTCTTGAAACTAACATGTGCTTGATCATTTTTATTACTCATTCTTATTAAAATTATTATTGTTTTGAAAAGGAAACCATTCAAATTCAAATAATAATTTAAACATGTTATATATTTAAAACAAAGAGGCCTTCATTATCACTTAAGGAGAGTCCTGTTTCTGTCCTCAGACAGAAAGTCTTATTTTTTAATTTCAGGCATATGCTATGTTAATGTAACAGGTTTTCTTATAAAATATGTTTTTATTGGAATTGAATTTGCTCCGAATTTGAATTAATAAGTCTTACTTAAAGTAAAACGAATCATAATTAATAATAATTGCCTTTACTTAGCTTTTTGTAATTGAAGATTGTTAAGAATGTTTAGGTGTGCTCTTTCACCCCTTCTTACGTTACAAAGACTGAAAATGTCAACGGCAGTCACTACCTAACAATGCAAGTGGATTACATAGAAGGAGCACGCAGACGCTAATTGTAACTTCATCCCTTCGTTCTATTGACTGGTAAGAGTCACATGACAGCAGAACCCCTTTTCTTTTTAAAATTTTAAAGAAACCTTCTAGAAGTAGCAACCGACGGCCCTTAAAACATAAACGTTCATGTTTGATTAATAAAGTCATTTTATTATTATAAGAGAACGGAAAAACGTCCCTTTGTAATGAGCAAGTAACATAATTCCGTTTAAAACAAATAAAATAATAAAAAAAGAAAATTCTTGATGTTTTAAAATATTTTCAAACGTACCTGAAATGTAATATTTTGAAGCATATTTTTGTGTATTAAACGCCTGGTTGCACGATCTGGCAACCCCGCACCCTGACCAACCCTTCCCGCTGTCGTTATTTCATCTCGTGGGCAATTTTTCCACAACCTGCAACCATGATTCGTTCATTCGCTAAGTTGCACGATGTCATTTGAATAATACCCTGTATATTTGTCCATTAAAATAGAAGCATATTTAATGGAATTTTATTAACGGCAGTCGGTCTCTTCATATCGCTGTCGCTGTTTCAAAACATTTGCAATTTTTGAGATTGCGTTCTTTTTAATTATTCATCGAATTAACAAACTGACGACCATTAATTGATACCGCGACGTTTAAAAATAGATCTTTTTAGTTTTTATCGCTCATCAAAGGTTCCATGTAATTGCAAATGTTTTCGCACAATTAAATTTAAATTTGCGATTGTTGCGAAGTATTTTCGTGTTTTGTTTTTTACTTACGACTGACTGACGACCATTAATTTACGTTAAAATAAGACAGCCTATACGCATCGTAGATACGTAAAGTCTAACGTAACCGACTTATGATCATATTTCATTTAAGTTAGTTTTGCCATTTGTACGAATTTAATGTGGGTTTAACCACTGCCCGTAATCATTCGAACGCACTGCGCAGTTCCGTCATCATTGTGTTGACCAATGGAAATGTAAAGATTATGCGCTTATGTAATGCTGCGCGGTGATAATGGTCCTTTTTTTAATTTTGGAAATGGAAACTAGAACACATTTTATATATAGATGTACAAAATTTCATTTTTTTTTGTGATACTTTCAAGGCCTCGTCAAATAGGTTTTGTGTGCTTCCTAATTACCCCTATACTTCGAAAAATGCTCCAGAAACAGAACACTGTTGTGAAGACTATTTTGATTTAAGTTAAGCTTTCCAGAGTGCTTTACTAATCATATTTATCTGCTTAATCTTAATTTAGAAAATATATATTATTTGGGGAGCTTTTTTTTCTACTATTTACAAATCTTCCGGATCCCTCCTGCATCGGTTGTCGATAAATCGAACTTGCTGACACATCATGACAATTATTCTGTTGACTTCTTCAGAGCTTAACTGAAACTGCTTTTGGTTAGAAAATTTATTTTTATTTTTTCTATTTTCATTTAATTCATAACGTAAAAATTATTACCTTAACATTAACCGATTTATTTATCAATGGGATATTTAATTTCGTATTTTATGAACTAAGTAATGGCATCATTTTAGGGAAAACAAAATATGGATAGCTACATATACCTAACTGCAATGAAAAAATGGATACTTGAAGTTAAAACCTGGAGCGCTACCTCGATTTTTTGTTTGTCTTAAACGAAAACTGCTAGATTGTTTTACAAAAACGCTCTTCCTTAACGGGCCTTGATAATCATGTGAAACTATGTACTTATAAGTAGGTATGGTCTGTTCATAGATATAAGAAAGTGACCAATTTCTTTTGAATGGGATTATCCAAGGGTGGTCATTAACATACAATGCAAGAAGATTTTTACCTAAAGTTTCGGAATTTAAATTCAGGTAAAATTGTGGTCCGTAATAGAAAATAATTTTATACCTACCTGTGTTTAATATTCTTTGGTTTGGTATACTACTTAGTTTAAGTTTGTTAGTACTCATTCTAATTTTGTGTGTAATACAGCGTGTGTTGAATCGTGTACGAATTATGCAAACTATGTGCGAGTCTAGTGTATTTCAGGAGGTGTTCCCGCCCAAATGTAGAAAAGACTGAGACTATGGAAGTTATAAACAATGTTTATTTGACTCTCATTGAACGTGGTGCTGGCAAGCAAGCATCTTTAGAAGAAATGGCCACATTAACGAAAATTCCAATATCAACTGTATGGAAAATTGTGAATAATCCCATTTCAGCGAGGAAAAAAAGAAGCGATGCTGACATTTTCTCGAGTGTAGGTGAAAGTGATCAAGATATAATACGGCTTAAAATTTACCAGTTATACGACGAACAAAGCGTGCCTACATTAGATATCTTAATTAGAACGCTTGAAGAAGATGAAACCGGTGTTAAATGTGGCAGAACTACCTTATGGAAGTGTATTCAACACATGGGTTTTAGATTTAAAAAAATTGACAAAAGGCAAGTTCCCCTTCCTCATGTGACACAAAAGCAACAATCCAAAACTACATATATAATAACGTCATTTATTTTTACGAAGATTATACCAAAAATCAATTAATTGGGGTTCTACAAAGCTTGAACCTACAAAAGAAATATGCAAATTATGCAAAAACTCTAGGGCGTACAGTCTTAAGGCTTCCACTTGACCACTGAACATGTTGCCACCAACTGAAATCTGCTCTGCCATTCGTCGTAACAATGTTTTTCCCCTTGTTAACTCCCAATGTCCTCAAACTTATAGAAAAGTTTTTAACATCCCTCCACAAAGTTGGGCAAATTCTGTTAGACATATAGAAAAAGAACAATCGTATATCCATATTGCAAATAATATAGAACAAATAATAATTTGAACAGGCGATGATAGCGATAGTGATACTAATATATTATGTGAATAATTTTAATTAATTTAAGTAGGTAATAAAAATAATTTGTAATTTTATTTTTGATTTAAACAAATACATACATAAATAAATAAATATTGTTTAGTATCTTTCCTAACCAAACCCCAGATTATTAAATTCCAAGCAATGTACGGACCTGTTCGGCCATATTTCATTCTTACAGCTTGACCGGGTCTTTCCTTAATTCGTACCTTACCTTCAATTTGTTATATACATTGAACGACTAAAATATGGAAGAAATTTGTTTGCAAATCGAATATTTGATTTTGAGAAAAATGCTCGCACACTTCCATTATATTTTTTGTATTCGAATTCTGTTTCAAATTTTATTAATTCATTAGTTTTCCTTATTTCGTATCTAATTATAAATTTTAAATCATCTAAATTTTGTGGTTTTTCATTATGCGTCGGTTTTTGTTGAGTCAAACCTGACGTTTCGCCAATCATCCTGTTGGCTTCTTCAGGGCGTAACTGAAACTGGCTCGCATGTTACTCTGTACCTGCTTATATATTGTTTGAACAAACTTCGGGAACAGCTATGGGTTCTCCACTATCACCAGTCATCGCGAATATAGTATATAAAGAAAGCTCTCGAGACCTTCCATCTAAAACCAAAACTATGGAAGAGTTACGTCGATGACACTTTTGTTAATTGGCTTCATGGCGAAGCATCCATAGTAGATTTTCTTAGACATTTGATCTCTATACAACCTAACATACGATTTACCATTGAAATAGAAACTAATAATAACCTCCCAATCAGACCTAACATTAGGTCATTGTGTTTACAGAAAGTCTACGCACACAGACCAATACCTTAATGCGTCATCCGGCCCAAAAATCACCGGTTATCAACTCTCTTGTTTACAAAGCCTTAAAACTATCTGAGTCCGAGTCACTGAACCTAGAATTAAAACACCTTACCTCTGCTGTTCTTTCTAATAATTTCCACATTAAAGATATTAAGCGTTCATCACAAAATACACTTCACCACAACCAACCAATAGCAATGAGGCCGATTGCTTTCGGCTTGCCACTGTTGTCCTTCCTTACATTCAAAACATCACTGACCATATATCAAAAGTTCTAAAGAAATATAACTTCCAACCGATTTACCACTTGTCCAAAAATCTTTCAACATCATCGATTCGTCATAGAGAAAATTCCATTTGAGATGCCAGGAGGTTACAGCATTCCATGCATATGAAGTCAAAAATACATTGTAAAGACCGGTCAAAAAATATCTACTAAGTTGAAAGAGCATGAAAGAGCCTTACGACTAAGACAAATGAACTCCGCAGTTGCCGAACATAATCACGAAACCGGACATAAAATTTTATTCAAGAAAACTAAAATTCTTGCATGTAATCAATTCTACTAACGAAAAATCCTAGAGTCTATAGAAATCTATAAGCAACCTAACAATCATAACCGCAACGAGACGGCGTTTATGCAGTATATAAGCAGGTACAGAATAGAATGCGAGTCAGTTTCAGTTAAGCTCTGAAAAAGCCAATAGGATGATCGGCGCAACGTCAGCAAGTTCGACTCAACAATAACCAATGCAGGAGGAATCCAGAAGTTTTGTGAAATATATTCACGCATTTGTCGAACAAAATGGGGCGGAGCATGTCAGGATTTTAGAACAGGGCAGCGGGACGAACACAGGCCTCAAAATTAATGCAGGACATGTCAATTTCTCCAAAACGGGCAAGTATATATAGAAAGGCGTTCATGAAGATGGAAGAAAGTAAATGTCGTCTAATATCAGGTGAAAATGCTCTAGCTTTATTGGTGGACGCCAAGTTGTCAAGACACCAGTATTGCTTAGTTAGAAGGTGTGACCCCAAAAAATTTCCTTCTTATAAAGTTGTGCAAGCAGAAAAGAAAAAATGCTATCTAAATCAGGAGCACATAAAAGTAACTGAGGTATCAGCAGAAGTTCAGTTACAAGCTTTGCTCAACCACACTGCAGAACGCCTATTGATGACTATACAAGGTAATATCAATTTACTCAATGACGAACAACTAAAAAAGCTTTGTTTAATTACGAATTGGGGTTTCGATGGAAGCTCAGGTCATAGTTCTTATAAGCAGGCGTTTCATGGATCTGCATCGAACGATTCAGCTGTTTTTATAACATCACTTGTTCCTCTTCGTCTTATATGCGCTCTAGATAGTAAGAACCTATTAGTGATCTGGCAGAATCCTTGTCCATCATCCACACGATACTGTAGACCTGTGACAATTGAATTCATTAAGGAATCAACGCAAGTGTCTTTAGCTGAAAAAAGTAGAGTGGATAAAGATATAGATACACTAAGCAGCACTGATTTATCTCTCGGGGGCAAATCAATTTCAGTCGCTCATAGGCTTACTTTAGCAATGATCGATGTCAAAGTAACGACAACAAGGATTCAAAAGCTGTTTAGAGAAAAAACCGATTTAATCATTGATAGACCTAAACCCGGTTTTGGCAACTCGAATGACGGGAATACCGCTAGACGCTTTTTCAAAAACCCTGAGCTCTCTGCCGAAATTACAAATATTGATATCAACTTGATCAGGCTCATACATACAATATTAACAGTAGTTTCTAGTGGTCAACAAATAAATGTCGACAAGTTCCGAGAATTCGCACATGATACTGCAAGACTTTTTGCGCAGAAGTACCCCTGGTATCACATGCCCCCCACAGTCCACAAATTCCTCATTCATGGGCCCGAAATATTAGCCCATGCTTTACTACCCATTGGCCAATTAACCGAAGAGGCTCAAGAAGCGCTAAACAAGGATTTTAAAAGATATAGAGAACACTATTCCCGAAAATGTAGCCCTAAAAAATCCAATGAGGATATTTTCAATTTACTTTTATTGAGCTCAGATCCTGTCATAACAAGCAAAAAGAAGATATTGACAAAAAAATATCAACGTTTGCCAAGGGAGGCTCTGGATTTACTAGTATCTACACCCCCACCTGATAATGAAGATCTTGACAACGAAGAACCATTGGACTCAGACTAATAGTGATGACATCTACCCGTCTTCCAGCAATGATAGTGATGATAGTGATGATTATGATGACTAGTAATTATTATATTCATGATTTTAATGATAATAGTGTTGATTATGGTGACTAATAATAATTATTATATTCATGATTTCAATATTAACAGTTTATTTTGAGCCACATTATTATGATACAAAGTTTACGAAAAAATATACCCATTTTTTTTTAAATATGTACACTATTATTATAGATTTTGGAATAACATTTCTTTTTATAGGCAACTCTTTTATATGAAATTAGTCATTTTTTAAATATTTACTACGTTTGAGAATTTATGCCAAGTTTTGAGCTCTCCTGTTCCAGTGTGCGTCGTGCCCCACTCTGCCCTATTTATAATGTTATATATAATAATTATAATTATTTATTAAAATTACTTAATAGTCCTAATAATAAATAATAAGTTCATCAAAAAAACGTTACTGATTAATAATTATTTTCTATCTATTAAAAAATTTGTCATTGGTATTTATAAGATTTTAGAATGCTCTATCTTTAGGCTAAATCCATAGAATTATCCAAAAAATAACACTTTCAATAAATTAATTATGACTCGGTTATAATAATATTGTTATTGGTATGTTTAAGCAGTCCATTTTACCCCCGGTATTACGCAAAGGGCTAATAACAAAATAACATAATAAATAAATATATTTATAGCTATTAGACGAAAAAACGAAAAAAAAGGAACGATTCAGAAGGAATAACAAAGTATGTACAAAAAGATAATGATTTACGAATGCAGAAAGTGCAAGACAGCATCAAACCGCAGAAAGAGCTACTCAACGCTATTCTGCAAACAGAAAATGAGCAGCTGCAGACAGCAATTGCAACACGCAAGAAAGACAATACCACATTGAATAAAATTCATATAATTTTATTTGTTTTATCTCGCTACACTGACATAACTATAAAAAATGATTTTGAATAAATCAATTTCTAAAACGCTAGTTGGTCAAATTGAATATTGTTTTGAAAGTTTTCATCATGTATTTCAATTGGTTAAAAAAAATAGTCTTTAGGTTTTAGACCTAAATTATACAGTTTTTCTGTACTACAGATTATTGCTTGGTTAGTTAGCAGGAAAATCTTCTCTTAGAAACACAAAATACACATGCACAATACTTCTTATTCTCCTTTAGGATCTGTTGTAGCGTTTTTCATGCACATTACCCGAAAAAACAAATAATTATTGATAAAAGTATATTACAACAATACATGCGTACTTGTCTGGACGCATTACTTGAGTTAAAAATATTGAAGAGTTTGTTATCGACCCACCCATTTTTCTCCTCTTTAACAGAACACTTGTAAAGAACTTGTGTCAAAGATGACATTATCGTGGCTGGATCCATGGTGTCTGACAACATTATCTGGTATTTCCATATGCGGGCCTACTGCGACCTACGTGTTGGTTTATAAAATAAATAATTATTATATTTGAGAAACTTACTTTTACATTTAAAGAAAAGTCACCCTTTCGATTCCTATGAACTTGTGGATGATCGCCTCCTAGAGTAATAATTTTAACATGATGATTCTCCAGGGAATCCCGCTATTGCCTGCAAGGACCTAACATTTTGATGTTTTGGCCTTCAGGCAGACATCTATAAATATTTTTTATTATAAGCAATACTGATTGCTGACTTATTCCACGTAAATCTCCACTTACAAACTAAAAATTTAATATATATTATAATAGTATATATTTTATAAAAAAAAACAATATAGCACCCGAACATTTTCTGTTATGTAATACCACAAACAAGTTAATAATTAGATTAAGGCCGGTATAGGTAAGCCTCTATTGTTTACACGATTAAAACGATCAACAATCAGAGGTAATAAAATTTTGAAAACCGATATCTGTGTCGAAATTCTTTTTCATTATAAACATCAACTGGATTTTCTGCATCACGTGTATATCTTTGGCGTATTGCAATGTTATTAAATTGGTTTAGATTATGTCTGCCACATTTCATTTCAAAAATCGCTAGAATTGTCAGCGACGCGCTTGCTCAAGCTTTGCAATTATAGATGATGGCGTATCTGCAGGATAGATGGCAGAAAGTTAAAATTAAAGTAGGTGGGTAAGTAGGAGCCGCTCTCTTCGGGTGAGATATGGTGTGCCGCAGGGCACGATTCTGAGGTCAATCTTGTTTACACTATGAGTGGAACATATTCGATTTTACCTAAGCAAGGTATTGATGCGGCATTGATTGTCGTTAAAAACACTTGGAAAAGAAGTTTTGGCAAATGCTGAAGAATTACTAAGTCTCGTAAGTGACGGTCTGTCACTTAATTTAAACAAAACCCAAGTCAATACTTATTCCGTGAGGAAAACTGGTGCTCCAGAATTGCAAAGAATAAAAATTCATAATTTTGAACGCTCAAGCTATAATATAAATTGTAAAAAAAAACGTTAACATATTTAGGGGTACTTTTTGATGAGAACCTTAAATGGGACGACCATGTTTATTATATCACTGTGAAAATTTCTTAGTTATTCTATAATCTTTATATACTGCGTCAAAGTTTGCCACAGAGTTCCCTTATTAGAATATATAAATCTTAGCCAGAAACGCGTTTTAAAAATTATATTATTCAAAAACAAAGTATATCGCTCTAAAGAATTGTTTATTGAAGCGAAAGTGGTAAGTATTGACAACATCTTAAAACAGTCATCAGATTATTAAGTCTTAGCAAAAATTCGTAAAGAAACAATCAATAATTATTTTTTAACCTCTCTTGCCCTAATAACATTTCTTACTCGATTAGTCATTGATCTAACCAAGTTTGTTATTGTTTCATGTGGAATGTTAAGCCACTCTTCCTCTACGGGAACAATAAGCTCTGGGGTCGAGGTTGTGGTTTAGCTCATTTCATAAATGTTCGATCGGAATGAGGTCGGGGCCGCATACTGGCTACTCCATAACTCGAAAACTGACTTCTGTAATGTAATCTTATACGGTGTACGGCCTAGCATTGTCATGCATAAAAATAAATGGTACTATGGTACAACGTGAGCTGATAAAATATCCTCGTTGTACCTAGCACTTGTTAAACCTCTTGCATTTGACGTCCATAGAAATTGTGCCCCATATCATGCAGAAACGACCTCCATAAGGGCTCCGCTCTTCATTGCAGCATTCTGCAAATCACTCTCCTGATCTTCGGTACACTTTTCGTCGGTCATCTGAGAACAGAACAGACCTCTACTGGTACAATGTCCAATTCAGATGATCTCGTGCAAAGCGTAGGTGTGCTTGTCGGTAAGCTGGAGTAAGTTTTGGTTCAATTACAGTTGTTTTTGGGGTCAGGTTATTTTCCTTCAGTCTTCTTTTCACTGTCCATTGACGACTAATAGCCACTCTTTGAACTTCATGGATCTGTTGTTGCACTTGAACTGTATTAAGGTGACGATTTCTTATTATTGTTGACACAATAAAGCGGTCATTACGAGCCGTTGAAGTTCGCCTTCTGCCGGTTCCAGGGCGCATAGCAAAGGAACCAGTCTCATCATACCGTTGGCATCCTGTGTCATATCCAGTTGTCGAGCAATAGCTGGCTGTCGAAGTCCACTTTCGATTAAAGCGATAACTTGAGCGGCTTTCTGCGGTGTAGTATGCGTCAAGCTAACACAATTAATCGCAATCTAAATGGTTAAAAACAAATAATGTGATAATTCCAGTTGCAAATGCGATTAATTTAAGTCTATCACAAGTTTGTTATTTTCACTATAACTACTGCATGAACACGTTTCATGAACTGTAGCTACGCGTATAAAATATCAGCACTCTTGACAAATTTAAACTCATACTAAAGCATATTAAATTGTCTTCCAAATACCATGTTTATTTTTTGGTTCAGATGAATAATTTCTATAAAAAAAAATACTAAAGTAAAAAATTAACAGTGGGCCGACAGCTATCACCAGTCATCGCGAATATATTTTTCTACTCCCTTCTGTAAAATACCTAATTATGCACCGATCTAGCGTCCGTAAAGTCTCACTTTACCACGTGGGTTTCTTGTCCCACGGATCCCAGCTCCTTCGTACATTTGCGGGGTTGGGGAGCAATAGGATGTTTTCGGAAATTTTACGGCACGGTTTGAATTTTTGAGGTTCATGTCAGTGAATATATCCGTGGTGCTTTGCAAAAATGTACCCAAAAACTAACGATCGTAGAAAAAGTATAGTATGCAACACGTTTGGTAAACTTGGTCACTCGCTTATTAAACACTCGCTCCGACCATGCCAATAAACTCGTGACTCAAATGACCTTACCGCACTTGTTGCATAATATATTATGACCAAAGCCTTTGACAAGATAGCCGTGGACACTTTTCATCTAAAACCAAAATTATGGAAACGCTCCATTGTTGATACTTCGGTTATTTAGCCTCATGGTCAAGATTCCCTACGAGATTTTCTTGACCATTTAAACTCTATAAAGCCTAACACACGTTTTACCATTGAATAAGAATCTAATAATAATCTTCCATTCTTGGCTATTCTTATCAATAGAAAATCAGACCTAACATTGGGTCATTCTGATTACAGAAAACCTATACAAAGATATGCGCAAGCATCTTTAGAAGAATCGGCCACATCGACGAAAATTCCAACATCAACTGTATGGAAAATTATGAATAATCCCATTTCAGTGAGGAAAAAAAGAAGCGATGCTGACATTTTCTCGAATGTAGATGAAAGTGATCAAGATATTATACGGCGTGAAATTTACTAGTTATACGAGGAACAAAGCATGCCTACATTAGATTTTTTAAACGAAAAAGATGAAACCGGTTTTAAAAGTGGCAGAACTACCTCAACACATGGGTTTTAGATTTAAAAAAATTGACAAAAGGCAAGTTTTAATAGAATCTTTTAAAATTCGGAAATGGCAACTAGAATATATAGAAAAAATTAGGACTTACAGAGAACAACAAAGGCCAATTATTTATTTATTAGGGTTGGGTCGATTCAACTGATAAGTGTAAAACAAACGCGCCATCAAAAAGAGGTAAAAGAATAACTATTTTGCATGCTGGCTCTAAAGAAGGTTGGATTCCAAATGGGCTTTCTCTGTCTGCGAAAAATATTAAAGATTCTTCTCTGGATTACCATGAAGACACCACCGCTCATTTATTTGAAAGTTGGTTTAAAAACAAACTAGTTCCAAACATTCCTCCTAATAGCGTAATTGTAATGGACAATGCAAGTTATCACAGTAGACAGTAGACTAAAACCCCTTCCTCATGTGACACAAAAGCAACAATCCAAAACTACATGTATAATAACGACATTTATTTTCACGAAGATTATACCAAAAAGCAATTAACTGAGGTTCTACAAAGCTTAAACCTACATAAGGAATACGTCTGTGATAATTACGCAAAAAATCTAGGGAATACAGTTTTAGGGCTTCCACCTTACCACTGTATATTTAATCCCATTGAACACTAACCAAGTGAAATCTGCCATTCGTCGTAACAATGTTTTTCCCAGTGTTAACTCCAATGTCCTCAAACTTAAGAAACCGAAGTTTTTAACATCCCTCCACAAAGTTGGGCAGATTCTGTTAAACATATAGGAAAAGCAGAACAATCGTATATCCATATTGCAAATAATATAGAACAAATAATAATTAGAACAGGCGATGATAGCGATAGTGATAATGATATATTATGTGAATAATTTCAAGTAATTTAAGTAGGCAATAAAAATAATTTGTAATTTTATTTTAGATTTAAACATAAATACATACATAAATCAATAAATATTGGTTAGTATCTTTCCTAACAAAACCCCAAATAATTAAATTCTAAGCAAAGTACGGACCTGTTCGGCCATATTTCATTCTTACAGCTTGCCCGGGTCTTTCCTTAATTCGTATCAGTTAGTCACTTTCATATATCTATGAACATACTTTACCTTAATGCATTGTGACATCACCATCAAATAGTATTCGTACAGAGTAGAATGCGAGGCAGTTTCAGTTAAGCTCTGAAAAAGCCAACAGAGGGATTGGCGAAACATCAAGTTTGATTTATAAAAAACCAACGTAGGAGATTGATGTAAATGGTATGACAGTTTCTTTGAAAAAAGGTGGTTAAACCTTCGGAATTTAAGCAATGTTTTAGGTTTGATTAGCAATTCGTTATATTCACACAAACCACCACAAACCACAAACATCCAACTAAAGAGCAAAGCAAGTTACAAGTGGGTTCAGAAGTGTTGCCTAAAAATGAGTTGCTATGGTAATCATATAAGATGGGGAATATAATTGTGTACGATTATAATGCACCGATATTAAACTATTTATAATTACTTTATAAATACTGAAATTAAACAAACTTGACACAGGTTTAGAGATAACGCAAACCACATCCGATGCCCTCGAGCGTCCTTTCGATGGATTATTAATATTAAGCACAAATGCAACAACAAAACATTAAAACACGTCTTGAATTTGTTTCCATACACCTGAAATATCCAAAAGCACCTTTTCACTTTCAAAAAACCACTTTTTTCACATAAACTTATGCAAATACGGACGTAGTACAAGAGGCATGTGAAATGAGTGTAAAAACTTTTGTTCATTGTGACGTCAACATTGTCTCGGCCAGTCATGATTAAAATGGAATCGATGCCATCTCTCTTCATTATATACCTATTATTTTGATGGTGCTAGTGCCTCCTTAAAATAGTGCAAAACCTACTTCCAACCTTAAATGACAACCTTCCAGGGCAAGTACCGGCTAGGCTGGTACTATACCTGCTGTCATGGTCCGGGTTCCTCGTGTCGTTCATGATGAGGAACGACATCAACATGGCCATCGTCGCAATGGTGGAGGAACCGCCCAAGGTCGACACCAACCTCACCCACGAGTACTGTTTCGTCATTGAAGAAGTCAGCAACAACACGGCTCCTGTGGTAAGTGGTTCCATGGGTTCTGTCGTAACGGATGTCCAAAGTTCAGGTCAAGGTCGAACTGGTCGTACTCAAGGAGGTTTCGAGAGAATAAAAAAAGGAAGCCGCGCTAGTTTTTTAAATTTGAAAAATGGTGTGATTAGATTGTCAATGGCGATTGTAGTTTCTGTAGTAAAATTGCCAATATAGTCCGGTCAAACCAGACATTTCAATTAGGAAAGATTTCGATCGAGGTGGCGGCGACCTTGAATGAACCAATAGAAACGAAGTGCCAAAAGTTCCCATCGATCCTACGCCTGCTAGAAAAGCTAAACTCCAGTCTGAGCAGTTGTGCAGTTACGTCACGCATAGTGACGTCATCAAAAATAATGTCTTGACGCAGTTTTTGACACGGATTTTAAAACTGACAAAACAAAAAAAACAAAACAAACAAAAAAATTCAGAGACAAAACTTATATTATTCTATTATATTAATCAAGTAATAATTTGTTTTGAACATAATTCCTTTTAAAATAAGTACTTAATAGATTAAATATAGGGAAAAAGAAAATCGTTGATGTTTTAAAGTGACTAAACTAATTATACAAATCAATGTCAAAATATTTTCAAACGTGCCTAAAATGTTATATTTCGATTAGTTAAATTGTAGAAAAATTTTATTACAAGACGATTTGTTTGCATTTTTCAGCGTCAGGAATTTTTATTTTTTGGCTAGTATTTTCGTGTCTAATTTGACCCGATTTCTTCAATCAAATGAATAATACGGAGTGGTTCATTTTTTAACGCACAAACTGAAAAGAGTTATTGATCTTATAATTTTAAGGAAAAAAGTGTATATAAACACGAGGCCGATCTTGCCAGCGGAAACTCTGGGGTCAAATTTTATTGATTTTTTTTTATTTATTGAAATATCTCTCTTAAATATATTAATTTACGCATAAAGGTTTTTTGTAATATCCTCTGACATTTTGCAGTTTTTTTTTCCTTTTCAATTTTTTCGAGAAACGCACCATGTCAGATGCGTACTACAAAACAGGATAAAGAGGCCTCTGCCTCCGAAAACGTATCACCCAGTCTTTATTAGACCATTTAAATTGATGATCTTAAATTTTAAATTGATATCTGTACGAGTAAGCAAGATATTTTTATTTATAGAAAAAAAGTAAACCTTGACCCATGCTTCTATTAACTTTTTTTGGTTAGATTGATGAGTCTTGTGCCGTAAAACCCGAATGACCCCGTAAACCGCAATTTGCTTCTGTATCGACCGGTCTAGTGTCCACGTGGCTCCCTATCGAGAACCCGACGAACCGGAACCATTATTCAAATAAAAAAAAAAGAAAATTCGCGAATAACAACAAAGACGAGGAAATTTTTCAAACGGATCGCCACAATAACGACTTGTGGAAAATAATCACCGGGTATTACAGTAAAGTTTTTTTTTCCTAATGATATTTTGCACGGAACGTCACTCAATTGTGAGCGTTGTTGTTATTATTGCAATTAAAAGGATATCATGTTGCGTCACCTTTCTTTGACATTCAGCAGGATTTCAGGGTCTCGCGGATTCGCGTATCGTCGGGTTCGTTCTGGAGGTATATTATTAGGTTCGTTCCAATCGCGTACGGAAACAGTTGTTGGGGAACGAATCTTCTAATTTACCACGAGACTCTGGTGGGTGTCTTTGATAATAATTTTCAAGCAGATTGCATAGATATGTTGCGGTTAAAGTGTTAATTTGCCTGGTTTATAAACATGTTGCATAATATACAAACTATCCAAATGGTTTTTTTGATGATAAATCGCATTTTAAAGGAATTTTTAACGAATCTAGTTTTCAAGCTAAGATTTACCACCCAAAAATAAACCGCAAGAAAAGTATGATGTTCTTGGCTAGTTTACAAACTATCCACAGTAACTGGATAAAATATGAACTTAGTTAATATTTCTAGTAATACATAATAACAATCTCGTGGGTTGGTATTTAAACTAACCTATTCCCTTCGGTTAGTTCACTAGAAAAGTGACGTTATATGTAGTGTTGGTTCAACAAAGACAATTTGAAAGCCCACTTTCGGAAGTTTACGAGCAAAAGTTGCAAAACGCGTGCATTGATTGCAGCGAACTTTTGCAATGTAAAAAGCGAATAAACGATACTGCAGTAGTCCTCTAACCGTAGAAACTATAGAGATTATTATGTGATAAATACGTATGGTTTACATAGATTTTTATGTAATGTAACATAAAAGATCTGAAAAAATTATATAGAATACGCGAAACTAGACCTTTGAGGGAAGTACATCTGATTTACAGAGAATCTTTGATGATATTAGAGAAAAGATCGAAAAAAAAATATAGAGAATGCGCGAAACGGATTTTACTGATTTTACATATTACATGACAGATTGGGCAAAAAATATATAGAATACGCGAAGTTGGACATACATATGTGATAAATATTTATGATTGACAGAAAATCTTACATAATATTACATAAAAGATTAGAAAAAATTATAGAGAATACGCGAACTGGACCATTGTGATAAATACTTACTATAGAATATTACATAAGAGACCTGGAAAAATTGTAGAGAATATGCGAAACTCTACCTGTGTGATAATTACTTATGATTCACAAAGAATCTTACGTAATATATCCTAAAAGTTAGTAAAAAATTGTAGAGAATATGCGAAATTGGATCTATATGATAAATAAGTATGATTTACGCAGAATTTTATGTAATATTACATAAAAGGTCAGGAAAAATTGTAGAGAATGCGCGAAACTGAACATATGTTATAGATAGATTTGGTTCATAAAAAATCTTACGTAATATTATCTAAAACTATTTGATGAATAGGTGTGATTTATAGAGAATCTTGCGTAATATTATCTAAAAGGTATGAAAAAATACTAGAGAATACGCGAAACTGGAACTATGTGTGATTTATAGAGAAATTTAAGTATTATTACATAATAGGTCGGAAAAAATTGTAGAGAATACGAGAAAATCTATGTGATAAATAGATATGATTCATAGAGAATCCTACGTAATATTATCTAGAAGGTAGTTAAAAATTGTAGAGAATACACTACACAGGATCTATGTGATAAATACGTATGATTTATGTAGAATTTTACGTAATATTAGCTAAAAGGTAGGAAAAAATTATTGAGAATACGCAAAACTATGTGATAAATACTTATGATTTTTAGTATTATTACATAAACGGTTGGGAAAAAATGTAGACAATACGCGAAACTGGGCCTATGTGATTAATAGGTATGACTTATAGAGAATCTTGCGTAATATTATCTAAAAGGTATGAAAAACTAGTAGAGAATACGCGAAATTGAAACTATGTGATAAATACCTATGATTGATATTATATAAAACTGGACCAATGTGATAAATACGTATGATTTTTAGTATTATTACATAAACGGTTGGGAAAAATTGTAGAGAATACGCGAAACTGGACATTTGATAAATACCCATGGTTTACAGAGAATCTTACGTAAAAGCTCTATAAAAGAACTACCAGGGAATCGGCATGGTTTAGGTTTATGTATTTCACATATAAGTATCATAAAAGTATAAAACACTTAGTAAGGACAAAATTTTGAGAAAATAGGCAAGTAGTAGATTTAAAATTTCAAAATTAGGTATTCATCAGTAGATGCTAGTCGTCATTTTTGTTTGTTTTTTTTTTACTTATATTGAAGTAGTAGCAGTAATGTGATATGGAACTATCAATAAACTTTATTTTTGACCAAGAATTATTTTACCATCCTGAACCGAATTGATTAAAGAGTAGCGTTAGTTTTGGTTAGTTAGTTTCAAAGCAAATTAAAAACTGTGGTTAATTTGTATACTCTTGTTGTTTGTATTTTGGCGGTAAACTAGCATACAAATTAACCACTACTCGAAGTTATTATAATTAAAAAAATAGATACCATCAAGAAAACTAGACATTTAAATAGTTTGTATACTGTACAACTAGTTTCCAAATATCCATATCTATACATATTATTTGGTAGAGTTAACCATAAGTTATAAATATCTAAATGATAAATTTACTTGGTTTGGGTTGAAAGTTTCTTCTAAATTGGCCGTCTAGTTCTTTCAGGTGTACCTCAGGGTTCATATTCCGACCCTGTTCCATTCGATTAATTTATTTTTGACATTGATTTATTTGTTAGATTTGCGACACTTTTGCAGTTTCAAAAAAAGCAATTTCAAGTGATTAAATCTGATATATGGTGAACAACGAAAATATCGAACAAATTCAATTAAAAATCAGGTATTGGATTTAAAAAAAAATGCTCGCACATGTTCATCATAATTATTTCTTGGGCCAAATCACATAAATTATTTTATTAGGTGTTGGAAATGCTCACAATTAACTTCTTGACAATATGCTAATCGGTTTAAAAACCCTTCATTAATTTTCCTTATTTCGTGTTTTATTCTGATTTTTAATTTAACTAAATTTTGTTAGTTTTTTCACTTCCAGTGGGGTAATGTGTATTAGATACAATTATGTTTATTTACAACACCATTTAAACAAAAGGTGGCTCTCTTACTAAACGGTATCTGAGCATAAAAAAAGAATTTAAGTTCACAAAACTGTAGTCTGCGGTCGGGATCCTCTTTGTTTAGCTCTTGTAGTAATGTGATTTTGTACCAATTGTCTTTTTCTTCCTTTATCACACGCTAAGGTTAACATTATTATTTGAAGCCACTTCAGAAAATGCACGATGGGGATTATCTTGAACTTCTAGTAAAATTAGTTTAATAGTTAATTTCACCTGCAGAGTTTTTGAATTACAAATTTTATTTACTGATAGAAAGAAACTTACGTGTTCATTTCAAAATTAATTTGTTTTTTATTTTTTGGCTCATAAAAATTAAGAGGTGAAATTTGATATAAAATTTGAAATACCTAATTTTTAAATGAATTTGTTACATAGTTTAGCCGTTCATTGTATATAAATACTCGTTGAAATGCAAAATACACGTAATGAATGCGCCAAAAACCAATCCTAGATTATACTCTGAAAATAATGATGTTGAGGCAATTACGGCTTTAACGCCCTCTATTTAAGCTAGGATTGCTTCTTTGGCAATTCATTACGGATCAACTTAAATATACAAGATAAGAAAAAGAAACGCAATAAAACTAGTAGTCATAGTACCAAGAATGAAGGATTGACACAAGTATTGTGTAGTTGAGGGTATTAACAATAATAATAATAGTTTCTAACAATACCAGCACGATTTTTTTTCACCATCGCATAGTATAATATCAGAGACATTAATTTTTTAAAAAATTTTCTTTATATTTTTAGAATTAAATTCACACAATTATTTAGAAAGAAGTCCCTTTATTATCATTTTATTGTAATTTTGGGTGATAGATATCTTAATGGCTTCAATTTTGGCTACAAATTTTACTACTATTTAAATAACATGCTAATTAAAAGCAAATATAAAAAAATCTAGTATAAAATGTTGACTTTACTAAATATTTTTGTTATATTATTGCCTAATACTGATAAATGGTTATTTGAAACTTTTACACAAATTAGTAGTCTTTTTATCTCAAAAAATATAATTTTTACAAAAAATTCGTAAGGAACATTTTTTGTGTGTATTTTTGACGTTGTTCAATTTGGTATTTTTTAGTTTTTTAATTTGACCAACTATGTGGCCCATGTCAATCGGGACACCCTGTATAATTAGGCTCAACTTGCGCTTAGCTGAGATCAGGTATATAAGAAATATTTATTTTTTTAATATTATTATTTTATAGCAGTACATATTTACAGGAAGTTTTTCTGTGGAAATGCTTTTTAATAATTTGCATTAGTTTGGTTAGGCTTCATTGGATTGGATGTCTTTTCGCAAATTTATTTTTTATACGGATATTTAGAATGTCAAATTAGTTACAACTGTACAACTGAAATGATTTTGAAATAAAAATGTAGTACATTTCCACAAAAAAAAAATCGTTTTTATGGTGGGGAAGATAATTGGTTTCAGCTAAAAAAAATTCCTTACAATTCTGAATAAAATATATATGATTAGCTGATGATTCCCTTACTCCAAGAAAAAAAATGTATTCTCTTAAGTAAGCGCCAAAAATGGAGAAATACGAAATATGTCCGAAATTTTCCAGAAGAACATATACGTTTTGCTGCAGGAAATCAATTTAAATCTAAAGATGCTCAGTTTGTCGTAGACTTTTTAGGAGAACATCCGGAACATGCTAAAAATATAAAAGGATTTTGTGAAAGCTTAGAGAAGCCCAAACAACAGTGTATTAGTAAGGAAGAAGCATTAAATATTCTTGTCACCGCAAAATTAACAAAATATCAATATAATTTTATTCGATATGTAACTGCAGAAATTGGCCGTGAATGCTTTTCAAGTTATTATCAGATTCAAAACAAAAAATAAATAAATAAATATTTTTTTTTAATAGCCTAATAGCTAAATTTGTCAGCCATCTTATTTGTTTATGAAATGTCGGCTTTTTCAAAAATGACTAAAGTTATAAATATTTGAGTAAAGAGCAATTGTCAAAGACTCAATTTTGTTGAACACCCTGTCTAGTTTTGTACTGTTTTATAAAAAAATATGTTTTTAAAATATATAACTGTGCATAAAACGCATTTCTAGCTTTTCCACATTAAAAGCTTTAGAGTTTTATACACAGTTATATTGTACATGTAAATTTAAAAAAAAAATAGTAACTTTACATGATTTAAACCTCTCCCTCTGTTCCCAAAAGGTCGTTCCACTGTGCGCCGGTTCTGAGTATACCATCTGTGCTGCTTTACAACTCTAACCTTTTCTGAGAACGGATTAGGTTTAGTTTCGCTTCCATAAAAAAAAAAACATTACAAACAGTCCCAAAATTTACCCCACGGTAACGGTGTCTCCAGGACTACGGAGGCACCCTTCAATGGTCGGGCAGCATCCAGAGCTACGTGCTCGCCTCCTTCTACTGGGCTTACATCGTATCCCAGGTGGTGGGCGGTCTGGCCACCCAGAAACTGGGCACCAAACGGGTATTCGGCTACGCTCAGCTGGCCACCGCTTCCTGCAGCCTCTGTATTCCCTGGGCCGCCGAGACCCATTACGGGCTCGTCATTGCCTTGAGGTTCGTCCAAGGATTCGCGTCGGTAAGTCCCTGAAAGTGTTCTTTTTTTTTTAAATTGGTGTAAAGTGCGTTTCATATGTTTCCGTTGATTTCTTGGGCGCGATAATATTTGTCGTTTGCCTTCTCTGTTGCTTATGAAGAATATTTTCGCTACCTCGCTGGAACTGCCATAAAAAATAATTATGGACAACAAATTTAAGGGTTATATATTATATAGAAAGACGAGTTTGGTGAATAGACGCAATGTGACTGCGGCGTTACTACAGGCAGTATTGGGAAAAAAATTATTAAGCAAACGGGCCAAGAGTATCTAGAATAGCCACCAGAGGACGCAATAGCCATCTTGAAGTTTAAAACCCGTTTTCTACCAAATTTTCTTATATTGACGATACTTACAGTGAACACTGTTTTAAAGCTAAGACAAATTCAAATCTTTTTTGTTAGATGCCTTTTACTCTAGTAATATAGTACAACGCTCTTAATATACGAGTTTCATCGTAAGGTTCTCTAGCAGTAAGCTCTCTAAGGGGTGAATACTACTTACTGATTCAGGATTCATAATAAAAATTCCTTTTATAAATCTCTCCAGAACGCTATTGGAAGGGAGTGGATTTACAAAAATGAGATTCAAAGCTTGACGTGTGGGCGTTAAGGTTGCGTAGCTGGATCCACCTTCAAATTCTATTTCTAAGATATCCAGGACACTGTCTATATCTGGGTGGAAAAGTTTACTTAAGTCACCCTTGCGAAATTTCCACCATTTTGAGTAGGTGCTATTGTATTGCTTGAGTGTGTTGTCGCTAATAGAGGCCCAGCGTTGTTTCGATTATCTTCTTTTTCAAGTTTCTGCTGACAAAATAAGTTGCTTTAATAAACTTGAAGTCGTCAAAAATGCCTTTCCTAGGCTATCAAACGTGTTATGAGTGAGAGGATCGCGATGACGTTTTCTGATATAATGTCAAAAAAAGTAATAACTCAGTGAAAACCGCGTCTCAATATCTTTATCCTATTCTAAACTATGAATGAAAGAATTGAAAACTGAAAAAAAGTTAAATTTTATTTATTTATTGAAATAAAAGTTCGTTGTTTATTTCAGTTTTTTTTTACAATACCATAGACATTCTTACTACGCTGTGATATGTGTCCACATTAATCTCCATTTAAGCTTTAGAAAAGAAAGAACAGTTTGGACTTGGATATTAGTAAAATATCCGTACCCCGAAATCTAAAAGACCATTACGTACACCGTTAACGTATTGAATTACATTGGACTCTTTTAGAAACTGATTTTAATAGAAGATTTGACTAATATAATTGGCTAAATTCTAAGGTGGGTGAGAATCTCAATTTTTCCGATCTCAAATGAACTAAAAATGTTTCGACAGCATAATTTTAAACACCAAATGTCGAACTGGTGTCCAGACTTTGAATCTTCGATGTAACATTGTTTGACAGATCGTTTTCCGTTTCCGTGTCAGCAAATGGTATTTTAGAAAAAATTATACATCTTTTCTTTATAATCAATCTATCATTCAAAAATAATTACCCCAAGTAGAGTTCTGTTAACACGATATTGTACAGTATTCTTTTTTTTGTGTTCATATCAATGTTTTGATATATTCTCTTCAATTGAGATATAAGTGGTTATGATCTTCTCTAAAATTGTTTTCCAGTTTCTTTTTGCGCTGTGCTCTTGGTTTACTGTAAATATAAATACGAAGTGTAAATTATTATTATTATTATTTTTATCTGATGGACCGATAAAACTCCTTTTTCGGCAAATGGAGAAATCAGTTTGCATAATAGGCATTATTGGTCGCCGTTGGTTCCTTATTCGATGCGTGATGTGAATCATGAAAATCGGTGGAGTGTGATATTTTGGATGATCGAATTATATGACTTAATGGAAAAGTATTTGGGCAAATTTATTTTGAATTTTAGGTTAAGATAAAGATGCGGTTTTCACTGGGTCGTTGGGCTCTTGTTTAACCATCTAATCATGTAAGAAAATTCATATCGTTGCATTTAATTTTTTTTCGGAAAATTCTTTTTTTTGGCATTATGTCAGAAAACGCCATCCGGTGGCAATCATCTCACTAATAGCATTTTGATAGCCTAGAAAAAGCTCTTTTTAACGATTCCAAGTTTATTAACATCTATTTGGTATAATTAATATAACAAAATTTTGCAAAAAACGGATTTTTAAATTGAGGATCGCAGTTACGCCCTCTGGTGGCCATTTCAGACCCTTTAAAATAATTTCCAGCATTTTCTGTGGGCCGATTTACTTTTTTTTTGAAATTTTTAGGAACATCCGATTCTCGAATGCCGTTGAACTTATTGGGACACCCGGTACTTATTCCAATAGATATGCAAACAATTGAAAGATTAAGTATTTTAAGATCAAGTAAAAAAAGCTTATAAAGAATAATATAAAAATAGATAAATTCGTAAATTTTCGTCATCATTCCTTTTTCTATTTCAATCCCATGTTCGACGCACTTACTCCATTTTTAGACGTCCCTCATTTCAAGAGTGGTGCTATGCCTTGCTACAAACCTCTCTATTCTCTCAATTCTATGGATTTTAATTTAAAGTCATATGGCGGAAGGCGACAACAAATTTTGTACAAAGAGGTTTATTCCAATTTACAATCTCCAGTAGGTCCTTTTTCAGCATAACTTTCTGAAATAACTTGTTATTTGAAGTAAGCCATTCTTTTCCGATGTGTTCCGATGGACCATCCTTCGATGAAAACGTGCTATCCCCGCTCTTTTCAAAATTTTTATATGTCCTTCATTTAGCCAAGTTTCGTCCAGATGACCGATATTCCTGTTTTTCCTTCGAAACTTCGTCTTTCTCCATTAAAATTGATTTGATTTGAAATTGATAGGCCGCTGTAGGTCAACTACTTTTCCGTCTACTTCTGTCGGGACCTTTGACAATCATCATAGGTACAATACTACGCCTATGCATTAAGATGCATTATATGGACAGTCGGCCGTGGTTAAATGTATCCAGATTTTCGATCCAACTTAAAATTATTAAACTTTTCATTAAATTCAAATATTTAATTATTTTTACGTAGGTAGCTTGTTAACGGAAAATTATACAAAATTCACTACATCAATGAAATTGAATTAAAAAAGTGCCCCAAAATAAATAAAGATTATCGACAATCGGCGTCGAAAATTGAGGTTGAATAAAGAGTGTTTGCTTATATTCCATCATATTTGACGCTTCTTCTTCATGTTTACTATTTGCAAGATTCCCATTCGAAACAACAACAACAACAGGGCGTCGCATGTAAACAAAGTAATAATAAAATGCAATTTTTGATTTTTACAAAGTTAGAGTGAATTGTATAAAGACTCAAAATACTTTCCTAAAGAGGTATTACAGTACCCCCTTTCCGCTTAAAAGTTTTGAGGTTGCGTCAAACTTTTGACGTTAGGTTAGTTTGACGTAACTGTCACTTAGTGCAAAAATCCTCAAACAATGTCCCATTAAAATGTTAAGAAAGTTAAAAATTATTGCTCAAATATAATGCATATACAATATAGTCTGTACGATTTGTGATTGCATGTCGGCAATAAAATGCCAGACAATAAAATAAATTGTTCATCTTGCTTCCACTTATACTTCAACAGATGTTCTGCCCACTTGCACTGAGCCCACACCAATTCTATTTCATTAAATATACAATGGTAAAGAGACAATCTTAAAACTTCATCACCCATTTCAGCAACTTTTTGTCTGTAGCACACGGCAAGTTTGACAATTTTTGACAATTTTTAACAACTTCTATTTTGGGGTAATTAATCTGCTTACAGCGCAGCCAACTGATAATTTCTTCTCTTTTTGTCTATGCATTTGATACACTTTCACTACTTCTAGAATGATATCTTGCATTATTCATAATAATTAAAGACGCCCTTTCGAGTTTCCGTAGCAGTTTTTCAAAGACGCGACTCTGTTTTGTAGAGCATACTACGTTAATTATACGTTGATTGGTGCTTTCTCAGTCGAGTGTATCACACCGGAGCATAATAGAGAAGGGTGGAACACTGGCAGGTAAATCGGTGGGCTCTACCATTCTTAGTACACGAGTGGAAACATTTTATGACCGACTCTGCCATCGCAAATCGTACCGGCCATATATAAAAATTTAATAATAAGAGTAAATTTTCGTGGGAACTTCATAGCATGTTCTTCGCTTAAAAATTTTTTGGCATACATAGAAATTGAAAGATATTAAAAATATAGTCGCTATATAAGGCCTCTACTCTCATATATCGTTGAACTGTTATGGGAACGCACTCTCCGAATAGATATCAATATATACGGACCACGCTGTACACTCAATTTTGATCGCACCAATGAAATCGCGGAACATTTTTGAAACGCACTTTAACTAGCCGCCGGTAGTGGTCGTTGCGGAAACGACGAATACTTGGATCGAATGTTTATAGATGTCGCCCGAGCCGCAGGAGCACGCACGTAAGGCAGCCTCAAAGTTGCTCTATCACGATTATTTTTTAGGGTCTTACTTGGCCTGCCATGTACGCTTTAGTGGGCCACTGGATACCAGTGCCGGAACGCAGCCGATTCATGTCTAGTTTCCAAGGTATTATTTGTTTGAAAGATGTAGGAAGAGTTTCTATTCGTTTGGATTTCCGTTGCCTTTATTTTAAGTTATATCTCGACGTTTCAGATGACATATCCAAATAACAAAATTCGTAAGACTACGAGATTAAATGTAGTCCTGACTGTGACTGCTGGATAACTAGTGGTATCCACAATCTGTTTACCTCAACTGATGGATTGCTGAAAGCTTCTTTTTTTCCCTGAATAAAAGCTGCTTCCTTGAATTTCATCTTGTACCAGGGTTGCTCTCTACGAGCTATTGTTGCGTATGGGCAGAAAGACATGAGAAACTGTAGGTCTACGGAGACTTGCATTAAAGAATAGAGGAATAATATTGCTAACTTTTCGCCAATCATGCTGTTATCTGTGCAGTTTTAGTTAAGCTCTGAAGAAGCCAACAGGATGATTGGTGAAATGTTAGCAAGTTCAACTCAACAACAAGCAACGCAGGAGGAATCCAGAAGTTTTGTCAATAGTATTACAGTAGCCTGTGGAAGTTTCTTTGAAAAATTAATATATCCGTTGGGAAGAAGAAGAGGAAATTCAAGGAAGCAGTTTTTTTATCTAAGGAAACGACGAGGCCTTCAGCAATCCATCAATGGAAGTGAACAGACTATGGATACCATTAGCTACAGGTTATAAGGACCACCAACGAAGACCTCACACACCAGTCACTCGTTTTTAAATGATTTAAAATAAAGGCAATTGCGGTCCCCACAAATAGTTTTTCCAATGTTCTACGCTGATCAGTTTCGAAATCCGTAAACACAATAAATAGATAACTTGAACCTCACTCCTCTTAAGGGGGTGACGTCACTCGGCGATCCATTTTCGAAAGCTGGTATCGACGCTCTCTTTCAACTTCTTTTAATGCGTTTAACACTGTTCTCTTCTTGTTTAGGTGGTAATAATTTTAAACAGATGGCCTTATATAATCGGTAATTGAGGTCCTATTTTTCGTTTGTCCCATAGCTTCTTCAGAAAATTAAATTTTATTGTATTAAATATTTGCAATGCAAGAAATACAAAAGGCTAGCGTTCGTTGAATTCTCTTTCTCTCTCACTTTGCTCCCAGATAGAAAATGGAGTAACAGTTATAAGCCCTGTTTAATTAAAACCTACCCTTTATATTCTTGGTTTTGCTTAGGACCAAGTTTTCCAATACGAAGATGATTCTTGGGATAATGTTAAAATCAAACTGGAAAATGACTTCATTAAACACTTTTTTGTATAACACTCTAGATATACCTACAATGAACAAGGAAAACCAATAACGTCGACAGAAAAAATCAAATACTTAGGAATAACAATAGATACACAATTAAAATTAAAGGCCACTCAGAAATTCCTCTTTTGTACAACCGTTTTTGGAGTCGAAATGTTACGGTCAGGCAATTATTTTTTGAAACAACGGTTTTAAATATTTTCAAAAACAAGACCCAACTACAAAATAGAGAGAAATACAAGAAATAGATAAAAGGGAAAACAAGTAAATGTTAACATATAGGCGAAAGATCTGACGCATTTCTTAAGGCCCATTTTTATCATTTTCTACATGTGGATTTGAGGCTATCTCAAAAAATTTATTCTATCTGTAAGCCTCGCAACAATAAACAATTTAATAAATATAAATGCATAAAGAACAAGAAGTAAATTTGAGAAAAAAGTATGTATACAAGAATAAATAATGTAAAAAGGATAGAATGTCGAATATGAAAAGAGTAATAATTACATGTAAGATTTGCTTGTCTTCAATATCAAATTTAAAGTGACACTTGTGTTTAAAATTTTTGTATTGTGCAAGTTAGACTTTGTATTTCATATAAATTGTTTATGTAAATATTTATTAACGCCACTTTCTGCAATATGTGGCAGGGGAAATTTAAGGGTTTTAGGGAGAATTTTCATTTGTTTATGTTGTGGATGTATAAAATGTAATATATTATTTTCATTTTAAATTTATCGTTGTCTACAGAATACGCATATTATTATATTATGTATTATTATTATTATATTAATATTTTATTTACAAAATAATATAAAAATACAAACAAAATAACAAACAATGAATGAAACAGCTGAAATACCTTGTGACTAATGCAAACAACCCTTTTCTTTCTATCAATAACAATCTTTGTTTGTTTGAATGATTTTTCTAATATTAGATTGTCCTTTATCATCTTGATGCTGCGCGCCCAAACGCTGAATCCAGTTTTTTATCTTTGGGGAATCGATGAAATGATATTTCTCCTAGATTTCAATGCCTATTTCTGCTCTTATTCTAAACAGTCACTGCACCTCGCATTACAGGCAAAAACTATGAGTATTTATTTCATATCGTGTTTATTTTATTACTTATCCCACTTGGTTTTTTAGAAAATTTAATTGTTACATAATTTAATCTTCTTCTATTGTCTATTCTCTATGGATGTTAGCTATCACATTCCAGTTCACTGTATTAGGTTCTTAATCCATGAAGTCTTCTACGTTCAGGATCGTCTGTCGTCTCCTTCTTACCATGTAAAGTTAGTTGTATTTATAACTTCCATATCATTTAATGTCGACTTAAAATTAAAAACGTCATTGACGCAAATAAAGATAGGACTCTTTTTTGCTTTGGTGATTTCTAATTTCTCCAGAAGATCACGTTTTTTACGTTTCTGGACACTCATGTAAAGCAATCACATTTTTATTCGAAGAAAAGTTATGTCCCGTGGACAAAAGATGAGTAGCGAAAGCAGATTTGGCGTCTTGTCACCTCAATGTCCTTGTCCTTTTTCACCAAACTATTGTTCGTGAACTCTGATGGAGATCTTCCTGCCAGACTCTTCGATATAAATTGTATTAAAATCCTCAAATTTCAAAGAATATACGCCTGATCTAGAAAAATAATTGGATCCCTAACTTTTATTATAAATAGTCTTAATGTATTGTTTGTTTTAAACGCTAAAGATAAATTCCTTGCTCTTGAACAATTTAGGTAGGTGTAACGAAATATTACCGAAATGGACAAGCATTGGATCTTACGTTCTGGTGGTTTTGATTTCCTTATATATTACGATAACTGGCAAATTTATAAAATAATTTGTTTATTGAAACCGTTATTGAATGCAATTTGACTAATCGTCGTCAATCTCTCTTAAATGCTTTCTTTGAAAGTGGAATGTTAAAAGAGAGTTGCAGAAAAATTGTATCACATTTTCAGTAGATGTGACCTTTCTATAAATCTCAAATTCAATTCTTTTATTTTTCCTAGCTAATAGAAGATCAAGAAACGGTAAGGTACGCCCGATTTCTTTTTTCAAAGAATTGGTTATTTGGAAAAGCGAACATGCCGAATTTTGGATTATTTCAAAATTTTGCTTTTAACGAAAATTTACAATGTAAACATCTCAGCTCACACGAGAACGAAACGAATCGGCATATCGCTATGATCGTGGCAAACACCTGATTCTATTTTCGCGCAAAATTATTATGTTCACCTTGAAATTTTTTCTTTGAAGCTTCATCTGGAAAACCATAATTTTCCCATAGCGCCAATTTATTTACATATTATAAAACTTTGTAAATTTAAAATTATAATAAATAATAACGTAAATGTCTAACATTTATTTACTTTCTTTAAACAGAGACATGTTTTTTATACGCTAGTGAGAAAAATGCCAATAAAAAACTTGTCCACATTTTACTGTATAAATATTTTGTTCAGCCAGTTACTATGGTCGGTACGATTTTTGATGGCATAGTCGGCAATAAAATGCCAGACAGAATAAAATAGATCGTTCATCTTGCTTCCACTTATACTTCAACAGATGTTGTTCTGCCGTAAATGTCTATGTGTGACCATATTTTACTGTGCGTTTTGAAAAAGTAGAGAATATAGCAATGCCGCGCCAATATCGTCGATAAGCGGTATTATTAATAGTGAAGAACTGAAGAAAACGAATAAACCGTATAGACAAGGAAAAAATATTGTCTTTATCAAAGCGAAGTTGTTTCTACCTTGGATAAGCTAAAAAAGAAACTGGAAGAAGATGAAACCAATATAAATATATGCTCTCTATAGAGTTGGTTATGACAAGGGATTTAATTACTGCAAAATATACAAAGGCAAGTAGTCATGGAATCACACACTTTTTTATTTAATTACCGTCAAGAAATTAAAAGATATAGATTAGACAACAGACCTTGATGGAACCTAGTTCGATACACATGACACTGTATCCAAAGGATGGATTTATGCCACCCATAGCTGTCAGACGAAAGCGCCTTCAAATAAAGGAAAACGTATCACCATAATACACGCTGAGTCAAATTACTTGCAGTTGTTTGCAAAGAATATTAAGGAATTTAGCTTGGATTGTCATGAGGATACAAGTGTCGAAATTTTTGAAATTTGGTTTCAAAACAATCTTTTAAAACCAACAACGCAAAGTATCGCGCAACTTTTGAAAGTCCTAAATTCATACGCAATTAAAAAACAGTATGTATACGATAATTTGGCTGAACAGGTTGGGCGTAGCGTTTTGCGTCTTTCTCCATATCATAGCATGTTTAACGCCATAGAGCATTTGTGAACGAAGTAGAATAAAAGGTCAGAGCAGAAATTGTTGCTCCTGCTTTAAATCTCAGTATCATATATGTGATGAAAAATGTTTTTAATAGCATACCAATTGATAGCTGCAAAAATTCAGTACAGCACATTATAAAAATTGAGGACCCTTATATTTCTATACAAAACAAGAGAAACAGAAACAGAATTAGATTTATAGATTTAGAATAAAAATGTAATTATGTATTCCTAACTATGAATTTATTGTATATATTTAATGTCATTGTTTTTTCTTAGTGGAATTTAATAAACAAAAAATATATTATTACCAAAGTCTTTGCGAGACCGGCGCAAATGTTCTGTCCTTTAACACCTACCCGACTCGAGTTTTATTGCCGTCGGCAGGTAACTTCCATAATTGCGGACAAAAGCCAGCACGATGAAGATTGGGACAGACTATACACCCATACTCAGAAATGGATTCATGTATGTTCTAGGTAATAATAGATTAGGATGTTGTTCCTGAAAAAATCATGTTAATTTGTTAAATAAACTATTGTCCATCCAATACAAATTAAAACAATAAAAGAATAGCAAAATTATTATACAATATAAAATAAAATTTGCCAAGAGTAAATATGCAAGTAAACCATATTTCTCTGTATCTTTTTATTGTATTTTGTGTATTCCAAACAAATACTAACTCCAGTATCATCGTGCCTTGCCTCACAATATTTTTGCTAAAAAATATTTTGCACTGAATCCATACCAATTCTATGGCATTAAATATACAGTGGTGAATTATTTCGTCTGTAGCATACGCCAAGTTTGTTTTGTAATTTTAGACCATTTTCTAAGTCTGGAATGATATCGTACATTATCCATAACAATTAATGGCGGCTTTTCGAATTTCAACAGCAGTTTTTCAAAAATGTGAGTCTGTTTTCTAGTGGTGCTATCTCTGTCGAGTGTACGGCATAGGGACGTAATAGACAAAGGTGGATCACTGAGAGGTAATTGGGTTGGTTATGCCATTCTTAGTATAGGAGTGGAACCAGGTAAAATACTGAGCGACCTTCTCTCTTGGTTTTATGATCGACTATGCCTTCGCAAATCGTACCGACTATAGGTAAAAAAATTTTCTCTCACCAGTAGCGACGGAATATGAAAAGTGTAATTTAAATTTGCCACAGAGTTGATCTTTTTTCAAATTAATTATTTTTCTGCTAGCTGTATCGGTTAAAAATTCACCCAGTTTGTATATAACCTTTAAAATTGAAATTTATGTAATTTTCTTCAAATCGTGCATGTTATCCTACCAAAAGAGTACAATCCAGTGATTATTTCTGCACGCAGAAAATTTTGATCTCGTAATATTGTCCAGTGTCAACTCGATTTCATTGATTTCGCGAAAGTAACAAATACAAAAAAACACAATAGCCACCGCACATAATTTTCAGCAGACAGCAGTGTTGCCAATACTTAATACATAAAAATAAAAATAAAAAATACATAAGGCTCTGCTCTATTATATTGTTGTAATGTATTTAATACTTTATTAAACGGGATCTTTCCTGTATCTCGTGACAGTACGAGTACATCACTATCTCTTTACTTCCTCTCTTTTCGTTTTCGCATTCGTAAGAGGTTTCTCTCTCTACCAGTCTTAATTCTATGGTCAAAGATAACACATAAACACCATTTGCAAACGGACAGGCTTTTTTACTGTAAGCAGCGCCACCATCAGAGAATCAATTCGCGAACTGTGTTTACGGATCTCGGATCGCGACCTCTTTCGGTCGTCTGCGCAGGCGCCGTTTTCAAAACCCGCCGCTTTCAGGTTTTAGTATAGGTATAGGCATCACGTATCCTCTGTGCGGCTTCCTGATCGCCCACCTCGGTTGGCAGTCGGTGTTCTACACCACCGGCTCCATAGGCGTCATCTGGTGCGTCATATGGTACCTGCTGGCGTTCGATAGCCCCGAGACCCACCCCAGGATCAGTTTGCGCGAGCAACAGTACATCAGGGAGAATACCGTCAACACGTACGAGAATTCGAGGTTTGCATACCAAATGGGCGCGCCTGGGTTTTATTATACGGTCACTTTTGGATCGTTTCAGGCAACAGGCGGTCCCGTGGAAGTCTATTTTGATGTCCATGCCCGCGTGGTCCATCGGTATCACCACGTTCGGCCGCATTTGGGTCCATTACACGTTTATCATCTCTGGACCGACGTATATGAAGAAAATCCTGGGCTTTAGCATCGAAAAGGTAGTTTTTTTTTTCAATAAATATCTAATATGATAGTTTATTATTCGTTTTAGAGAGAAATGCGAAATAGAAAAGTTATAGATGTCGGGTTGTTATGGTCTATACCGAGCGTTTTCATTTTTTCATCAGGTGTTTAATAATACCCTATATTTTTGACACCGCTTCTGACAGTTGTTATTTTATTATGCAAACAATTTTATAAAGGGGTACAGTCATTTATGCTATACTGGCTTTGAAGTTAGTTCGAATCATTTATACAAGGTGAGTCAAAGTGGGAAATATTAATTTTCGTGAAAAAATAAGTGGAACACCCTGTGTATTATTAATGCTATAACCTATAGAAAAACAATTATTACTATTGGAGCTTAGAGTTACATTTGCCATCGCCAAAAATGATTAGATATCAGTATGGGACCTTATACACAAAATATGTTTACACTTTCACACAGAATATCTAAATGTAATAATGTACGGGGGGGCAGAGCGTTGAAAATATTTTAAAAAAGTAATAAACTCTTAATTAACGGTTACCCAAGTCTAACCGTTTGCGACATATTTTATTATTATTATTATTATTTTGATTGACAAAAAAAAAACCGCATTAAACGAATACGAGAAAAAATTAAATATTTTAGGATCGTTTAGGTTATTTAATATGCCTTTGTAAAAAAGATCTCATTTTGTTTATTTTTTATGAATTTTACTATCAATAAAATCTTGACTTGCTTTTACTATTAGTATTTTACAAATTATTTATTTTTTTAAAATTTTGCATAGACAGGAAATAATTTTTTGTTCTATTTAAATAACAGGTGGATATTTCCAAACTCATAATTCTGTTTTTTTTTGCCATCTTCCGTCGTCATAACATTTTTATAATGAAAAAAGTTTGGTTAGAAATATACATCTTTTTGAAATATGGGGTCCCTGCTTTTTTTCCCGCTTTTTCACACGCAATCTGTATAATGAAGTATTTATTTACTCTGATATAGTGGATCGAACTGTCAGTAAAAATGAACCTATTTATTTTGTTTTATAGTTTATAGGTAGGCCTCTACTATAAGCGAAAGTTGTTCCTCTTTAACTTGGTCATCTAAAAATTCAATTGAAAGAACACGGAAAAGGTTTCACATAATGAAACACACACACGTAGATACGAAATAAAGTTGATCGTAGAAACGCAGGAAAACAAAGCCAAAATTGCATATTTAAAGTGCAGACTATAAAGTATTACCAGCAAATCATCCTTGTAGATAACAGAATGACAAATTTAACAATCATATGTACCACTTTTATTTTACGTTCGGGGTTCATGGTAATAATAAAGACCTATTTTTGTAAATCATACGGAAAAGCTTGAATTGTTTAAATTTCGTCCGGTTAGCAAGAAGAGAGAAAGAGAGCCTGTATAAAAGATGCATGGTGTTGTACATTTTCATGTTATAAATTATGCGGATGGGGAGTTATGGAGGATAATAGCCAGGAAAGCATGTTTTTGGACATATTTTCTATTCTTCCGCGCATTTCCTGGAGAAATCATAATATTTATAACAATAATTTACGAAAAGTACATGTTTCGATGTTATGCAACAGTCATTATTTTTTTTATGAAAGCAAAATGTTCATGAAATCACTTTTTTTTTCTGATATGTGTTTATACAGGTTGTCCCAAGCGGAATTTCGTCGATCGGTTATCGAAAATTTTGAATTAATCTAATGTTGGTCGGAACAATCCGGCTAATACATATATATTTTTTTCAATTCATTTTAACTGTTATAACACCCTGTTTTTCGCTTGCCTAGTAGTGATTGTTTCGCCTATTCATGATTACTTTTTTGCTAAATTTTGATTCGTCAGTACAGACAGTACAGGCTTTCGGTATTCAGTGATTTATACATACATATAGTCGAAAAATGTTATTTTATGTTTTCTTAATATTCTGTGGATTGACGCTCTTGCAATACCCAAGTACGTCTTTACTGTTGAAGTCGAACATGAAAATAAGCCAGAATACTGATCCCTTTTTCTTCGTTATCAACTATGGGCTTTGTTAAAGTACGGGTTATTCCAAATTCGTGGGGACTATTGGGATTTCGGAAACCGTAAGAGATGCACTTTCGCATTGCACCTTTGGTTTCCCTACTAGTTGACATTAAGTTTTTAATATGAGGTTCGGTTTTGTATGCCCATCATAAACATCAATTTTCATTCTGTCATTCTGAAAAAATACATGTATCACGCCCCAGAATTAACAATAAAGCCAAAGGTTATTATATCCAACCGTGTTGACGTATTGAGTTTTAATTACATTTTACTTTAGTAACTCATTATTACAGATTTTTTAAAATCAATATAAAAATATATTTTACTGCCGCAAATCAACAAGGAAACAACTGAGAACCTGAAAGGACTAGAAATTAATACTGAAAATAGTAAAATCTCTTTGATCTCCTAAAGAAGTTAATAATACAGCATAATAATAATAATAAGCATTCGCAATTTTAATAATGCACGTTGAATGAATCGAATATCTCTTATTTCTCGAAATAAATTAAATTTTTGAAGTACAGTCATAAGAAGTAATCCAGTGGATTCATATCTGGACTTCTGGAAGGTGGTCATTTCCATTTATCCTCTTATTTGTAAATAATGTATGTAAAGTTGTTGATATCTTTCGGACGTTAATATGTTATTGAATCCGATAATTTTATTATTCCACATTAGGTATTTTAGAAAAGAGAGTACAAAATGGTATACTATGCAACAAGAGCGGTAAACGGCATTTGACTCACGAGTTTATTTGACACGAGCGGAGCGCAGCAGAGCGAGTATTTAATAAACGAGTGACTTAAAAAGTTTACCGAATGTGTTGCATACTATATTTTTTTCTACGACCGTTAGTTTTTTGGTACATTTTCGCAAAAGAACAAGATTACATTCATTGATATGACCGTCAGAATTGACAAACGTCAAAATTCAAAGCGTGGGAAATATCTTCGAAAACATCCGATTGCTCCCAAACCCGTGCGGTAAAACCCCGGAAATGTCCGAAGTAGCTCGGATTCGTAGGAAACGAAATTGACGTGGTAAAGTGAATCTTCCCGCACGCTAGATCGGGGTTTAATTAGGTATTTTACAGACGGGAGTAGAAAAACATCTTTTTTACTACACAAACTATGACATAAATATTTCATAACCACCTTGTTTTTTGCGTAAATTTTGCTTTGTTTTCAATTTTCAGAATGACGAGCTCTTTTGAAAAAAAAAAATAAGGCAAACAAAATGGAAACGTCTTATTTAATAGTTATGGCAACTTGTAGAAAGTGTCATTTGTTGTCAATAATTTTTTCCATCAAAGCCAGGAAAAAATTTAAAAGAATTGCAAATTTTCGGGTTTTCCGGATATTTTCGCAATAGGAATTTTCTTCATTTTGAAACCGTTTCAAATTAAGCACCAAAATACGCAACTTTGCATCTATTTAACAGACTTCGTATTTGTTACGGTTTCCAAGATACCTCGAATTTGAGACATTCCGTATATCGGCTTTTAGGTGTAGGTAAAGTTATAGCAAATTGATGCAGAATTGGGATTCAGTGCGCATTTGAAAAAAATTTTTTTGGCTTTAATAATCTAACCGGTTGTCAAATTTTCAAAAATGTTGCTCTCCTGCTTTAATTTAATGCAGAAGCTTTTATCGCTAATCAAAAATGATAAAAGGTGCACAAAATTTTCAAAAAGTCAAGGTATATAAGAAACAATTGTAAATAACCAAACGAAACTCATCAGAAAATTTCTATTGAAATCTGAAAATAAAATAATATACAGGGCATTCCATCTAAAAGAAGGATGTTAATGGCGCCATCCGGTACAACCAGAAGCGGCGTTCTTGAATAACTTCAAGTAGCCTCAAAAACTTGGAACCGACGGGCTACGGCTGGAGGTGTTTGCTGCTCATAGTTTTCCCATAACAGATGGAAACACTCTGTATAATAAACTAGGGACACTCTGTATAATCTGTGCAGGGGTGCGGGGGGTGATTTTCGTTTTTTTTTTTCAGAATGGGTTGTTATCAGGCGCCCCGTTCGTCTGTAGCTACGTGGCGTCTGTGTTTTTCTGTTACATTGCCGATAAGCTGGTCACCAAAGAGTACTTATCGTTGACCAACGTCCGAAAGCTGATGACCGCCTTGTGTGAGTAGCGAGAGAGTCTGGTAAAAATAGGCTAGACGACTATTTAATCGGCCGTTTAGTTTTAATTGCTGCAAATTTATATCAACCGTTATTTTAATAGACCCTGAATTATTGTGTGAAAAAAAAAATTCCCCGTCTGTCTGCTTTTAATTGATTTTATTGATATGATTAATAGCTTCAATTTGTTGTTTACGGAAAGGAAGAAATCAATGCCGAAGTGTTTTGCTTTTTTTTTAATATTTATTTAAACCTGTTATTTATTTATTTCAGAAACGGTTCCAATAATTGTTTGTCGTCACCATTGTAAAATTTATATTAAAGTTCGTATTGTATTTTTTCGAAAACTCAAAAATATCAGAACTACAGGGCGTTAAAAAACTTGTTTTTCGAAAAAAAAATGACGAGAGTCTAAATTTTTGTTTAAATTTTTGGGTGCTGTCCAACCTCGAATCACAAACGGATTTGAAAAATAAAGACTTGCCTTAAGCGATTGGAGATGTCTGTAAGAATAAATTGTCAACGAATTCTTATTCAGGGCTACATAAAACCTAACTGTACTAATTTCCATAAAGTTCGAATGCAGGATACTCGAAATATCTCGGGCCTCTCACTTTATTACTCCTATAGAATCTTTGTTTATGGTTCAATTTTGATATTTTTTTTTGTTGGATAGATTTCACTGAAACATGTTAACGATTTTCTTAAAGTTGAATATAATAATTTTTTTAATTAAAAAGGATATTTACGGAGAAGTGAATATTCGACTGTCAAATTCACTCGCTAATTTATATTTTAATTTTGTTTACATTATACCTAGATGATACTAAAAAATAAATGTTCCTTCAAAAGTCTTTCATATAATTAGTTTTAAAGTTTGTACAATTTGAATAACCGTTATTTACAGGGTTAAGAATATATTTTTTTAACGTTACTTTTAGGTAGTCCTGATTACGAATCTGTTGTCATTTTCAGTTTTAAAAAAATCTCTAAAAGTACTTCTCGATTTTCCGCTTTCAAAAAACTGTGTCAGGTAGCCATAACTTTAGTCGATACTATACAAAAAAAATCGTTTGATTTCTCTTTAGTAAGATCTATCCAGCAAAAAGGAATTATTAAAATTGGCCCATAACCAAACATTCTAGAGGAGTAATGCTTAAGCGAACTTCATGGAAATTAGTATAGTTAGGTTTTATGTAGTCCTGGATAAGAATTCGTTGACAAGTTATTCTTAAAGAAATTCCTAATAGCCCTTCTCGATATTTGACATTAAAAATTAGTCCCAGTACAACGCACCCTATATTGAAACATTATAAAAATTCGTATAGTTTTTCTTTTTCTAAAAGATTCTATGAGACTGCGTACCTTATAATTAAAATGCATCGCTAAAATTAATCCGCTCGAAAATGTGCAATTATCTGCCCAGCGGAACCCAGGCAGAATTCAGCTTTTTACTCCTGCCCTTAATGCCCCTTTCTTCGCAGCCCAAGTGGTACCAGGAGTGTTGGTGCTGCTGATCAGTTACCTGGGTTGCGACGTCGAGCTGGTACTCGTCGTGTGGTTCACCGCAGTCACCCTAATCACGGCATCCTACGCTGGTAATTTCCATAACCCATCGGTACAATTCGGCCATAGCCTTTACGCGGGGTCATTTTCAGGCGCGATGGCCAACGTGGTCGACATAGCTCCCAATTTTGCCGGACCAGTATTAGCGTTTGCTCAAACCATTCATATGTCGGCGAGTTTTCTGAGCCCGCTCGCCAATTTCCAGATGCTCGACGAACAGGATCACCTCATGTCCTCGTGGCGGATGGTGTTCTACGTGTCCTGCTTTGTCGCCTGCATTACTTACGTATTTTTCCAGATATGGGGCACCGGAGAGGTAAGGCGTCCTAGACCGCTGCATCGCTGGAAAATCTTTGAAATTAGCACCCAAGTCAACTTAAAAGTCAATTTGTACAGAGAGTTTTAAGAAAAAACCCAAAGTTTGTTACATTCTGTAGGAGTACCCTCAAAGCTGTCAGGTGTAGTACAAAATTATTTAAAAGAAGGAAATATTGAGACTTTTGAGTTGAGTCATTTAAATTTTCGCATTGAAATGAAGTCTATCATAAAAAACAATAGTATATAATAATTTTCCAATATTTTATCAATATCTTTAGTACCGGGCGGTCAATTAAGAAGGGCACTCGGCCCTATCTCGAAAAGTAGATGCCAAGAGAAAATGGTGCTTTTAAGTTTCTAGAATTGTCGCCAGGGGACGTAATCATGAATTTGAAATCTCGTTTTTTGAGAAATAATCTTCTGTTACAGATAACTAAAATGGACACCGTTTTCAAGTGGGGATAAATTCGTGTCTTTTCCTGAAATAATTTTTGGAACGCATTTTTGAAACATTTTTTTTTGCGCCTAATCTATTCGTTGTATCGCAACCCAACCAATTTAACAACCGAATGGCATTTTAAGATATTTTTTTTTTAATGTGGACAGTTAAACCGTCAACCAAGACATAGTGAATTATCTTCTTGTTATAGTGGCATGACAGTTTAACGTTGGTTGGTCTGGATGTTTGTTTATTCATTTTTGGTCTGTAACATGTAACCATTTTCATTTGCATTTTCCGTGTTATAGTTATAGCTACAGAGAACTTTTTTCATTTTTACGAATGCTGTTCTTGCCTTTTCTATTTCTTTTTCTATTCGTTGTTGATATGTTTACTAATGTTCAGATATTTAATTTTATTAACATTTAGTTTAAGTATATACTGATCGCACCAATTAGTAATCTGATTCATCAACATCTGCATATCCTCGTTGGTATTCGGCGTATCTGATGAACAGTTTTTCTATGTATGATCGCTCCTGTCATGCTGTCGCTCATGGCCTCCTTTAAAATTTCTTCGGAATACGGATTGCACAACAAAGGTGAACCCTGACACATCCCCTCGTGATCTGTATGTATATCGTGGCTGAAATGCCGTCCAATTTTTATTACTGCCTTGTTGAAGCAGTTTGTCTTGTTACACTTGTTACACTCTATCAAAATCTTTATTAAAATCAATACTGGACAGATACACATCATATTTTACATCCCAAAACCTCTGCGTCAGCGCTAACGACTCGGACTTCTACTAAGTGGTTCGAATTTAGTTCAGGCTTCTCCGAAAATCAAGAACCCTTTATTTCGAATCATTTCAAATCTTAAAATACGATGTGTGCTCAAAAATTAAGGCGATTTTTAAGTTTTATCAAGAATTATTTATTTATTTATTTATCAAAATTAATGTTGTTCCCTTCAAAGTAATTCCCTAGATATAATACACTTATGGCAACTTATTTTCCAATCCTCAAATCACGTTCTCGTATAGCCTTAAGTTCTTTCAGCGATTTTTTCTTTATGTCTTCAATCGTTTCAAACCACCTTTCTTTCATGGTTTTAGAAACGAAAAGTCACAGGGGACCATATTCGGTGAATATGGTGGCTGAAGTATGATTGTGGTTTTGTTTTTGGCCAAATAGTTAGATACAAGCCACTATCAATGAACTTTTGCATTATAGTGATGCCAAATCGATGAATTGTCTCTTTATTGACCGTTCGATCCTGTGGTAAGAACTCTTTATGTGCTACGCCACAATAATCAAAGAAAAGAGAAAACAAAACCTTGACATTTTTTCGGTCTTACCTTGGCTTGTTTCAACGTCATAACCATATACCCATCATTCGTCACCAGTTATAACTTTTTTGAGCATATCAGGATTATCATGGACGTGGTGTAACAGTTCTTGAGTGATGCCTTCTAGGTCGTTCCGAACAGTTTCGAAACAAATTTTTCTGCTACACGTTTCATGCCCAAAACTTCGAAAAAAATCGGCTAACGCTTCTGTCTCACAAAAAGTGAAAGTGCAAACTGGCTGAAACTGTGAACATATATTAGGGACATGTGTACCAACAAAAAAAATATCGGAGAAGAAGTCATCATAATTTTAGTTTAAATCTTGCCAAATTGCCAGCTTCCACTACTGCTTTTAATTTTTCGCGTTCTACAACAATCTCCAAAATATTTTCCAACTCTTTGATATATTTATTGCAATTGCACCTTCCTCGTGACACTCTGCATCATAGTGATCATTTGTTTGTTATTCTTTCTCTTGAGTTCCTTTATAACTCTTTTTTGAAATTTTGGGTGCTAGGTTAAGAGATTTTCGTACAGCACGATCCAACTTCCCTCACGTGCCTCCAATTTTTCCAGATCCAACCTTGGAACTACGCGCCCGGCCAAGTAGTGGACCTCAAAGAGGAGGAGGAGCTGATCGCTGGCGAGAAGGACGCCGCCAAAAATGGCGGCAATCCCGGCGGCGGCGGCGACGCTAGCGCCAGTAGCGTGGCTTAACTTAAGGCCCTTTTACTTTAATGCCAGAGTAACTATATATATCTATATATTGTGTATACATTTCCAGATATGGTATTTTTATATAGTCGAAGACGCTGACCGTTTAATGGCCGTCTTGTGATATGAAAATCGCGGGGGTTCGAATCAAAATTTATTTTACCGCGTTAGGGCGTGTCAAAATATATACTTAAGCTAAGTTTTGTTGTTCATATGTCGGCTAGTTCCGCGATAAAGGTATTTTATTCGATTCCTAACTTATATGTAATACGTTGCCAAGTTGTTTACCGTTAGGAAACTTGTTCCCGAAAATTCCGCGCGTTCACTGCATTTCCGCGGGTTAGTTTTCGGTGGTTAAATGGACGTCGCACAGCCAAAATAGGTACTTCACAGCGACAGAAATATTTCATTATTTGACTTATAATTTATATGCAAAGCATATTACACTACAAGATTGACCCACCGATTCCTAACTTCAATATGATATTCATACATAAAATTATAAAAATAAAAACGCATTGTGAAAATGTCTTCTTCTACTTCTTTCAATATGGTTCCCCATATGGTAGGTTATGGTGTGTTTGTCAAAGTAAAACCTCTTTTGCTGAGGATGTTTAGCATTCTTTTTACATACTCGGCTGTCTTCCTCTGAAACTTATTCTTTTTCTTTTTGGTATTCTGTATCCTATTCAACGTTGCCATGCTGACTCCAATCCATTGCATAATGAGTTGGAGCATCTGATATTTGGTGTTTCGTAGAATATTCCCGTACAACTACAATTTCCTATATATATGATATTCGCTTGTTTGTCAGTTTAAAATTTCTATGTTTTGGACTCTGTCAATCTTTAAGATTCGCAGAGTACGTCTAGTGACCCGCATTTTGAAGTCTTCAAGTTTTCTCTGCACATGGTGGTTCCATACATGAGCACACTGAAGAAATCTAAGAATCTAAAAATAGAGGGATAGGTCTAAATCACGGTTACACAGGGCTCTTTTCATTTTGGCACCCCGATCTAGTTCTATTAATGACATTATTTCTTGTGTATTGTATTGAATACGCTCTATGAGTTTTCCACTATATTCTAGTCGCTTGCTTACTACCAGCCACCTTTCGTTCTTCATGTTTATCTTAAGTCTATCTCTCTACTCTTGTCTGCTATGCAGTTTTGAAAGATCTGCAAGTCTCCTAGCGTATGCGAGAGGAGTACAGTGTCATCTGCGCATCTAAAATTGTTGATTACTGTACCAACTGGTACTGTTCTTTGCCATTTATGGCAATCTGTCGTCGTTCGTTCTGTTTACTTATGTCTTCCACAATTTTCTTATTCTAACTTATTTCGTCGCAGATTCCACTTTGTTCTCTAACATCTTCTTTTCTCTCTCTAACACTGGTGCCAATGATTTCATTTCTACTGTACCCATCATTACCCTGAGCTTTGTGATATCTGATCTGGTCTCTGCTGCATTGATTCTTATAGGTCTACCTGCTCTTTTATATTGCTTTCCGTGTTTAGACATTGGTTAAGGTTGGCATCCGGAAAGACGAGAAGCTTTTGTCTATTTCTTCAAGTAACACTTTTGTAAATATTTTAAGTATGGTATTTAGTAGTGTGGTGAGTTTTTTTACTTTTTTTTAAATATGGGTATTGATGAGTGCCGCTTACCTTTCGTTTGTTATCCAATTGGGCCGTGAGCTTTTGCATTTTTTGATGGACGTTAAAATATTTCTTATTACTTCCTTGTTTACGTGTTATTTCCCGTCTAAAAGTGTTTGTTCCTTCTCTTCTTGTGCAATATCTGGATTTTCAAAATTTCTTTTCCGCTCTTCTTTCATAATTTTTTTTAAAATAATTTACGATTCGCATTTTGGTGTTTACTTTATTCCGTTCTGCTATGTAAAAGCCCTAGTTTACTTGATTGGCGTTCAGGCAGTATGTTGTGTGCTTTTTGTTTTTGTTGCAAGAGATCTTTAACGTCACGAGTGAACTTCCGAAAATTCGACTTTTAAAGAGTCTATACTTGCCAGCGAATTAGTGAAAATACTCTTAAAAGCCAGGCCGAGAGTTGAAACTTGATTTGAGAATAAAACTTGGAGGTGTGGAATTCTTCAAACATGCTCATAGCGTCTTAATTCTAAAGAAAAACAACCAAACACCCAAGCAAAAGATAAAACAATGAAAAAAATAGATTTATTTTACATTTTTGGGGTAGGGTAAAGGAAAAGATATATTGGTGGTATAGTAAGTAAGTACTAAGTAGTCTATCGAAAATTTCTCAACTTATCACAAAATTGACGAGAGTTATGTAGCCGTCTTTAGTGTAATTTCTACCAGAAGCTTGAGAGCTTCTTCTGGAATTGAGAGTTCCATGGCAAGTTTAGTCATCATGAACCTGCTTCATTTTTCCTGTTTTTTGGTTCTTTTTGCAGCCTTTTATTAAATTGGATTCAATAATTCAATTTGTTTCAGAACAAATTCAAAACAATAGGTTATCACAAAATCATTTTTTGGTCATCCCTGTTTCGATGTTGTTGGCGCACACACGTTGCGATATAAGTATGGAATGTGTACGTCTCCTTCAATCCAAAAAGTACAATTTTTCACGAACCTTTCTTCAATCTGATGGCTGTGTCCCCATCTTGTTATTTAGACACTTTTACCGCGTCACTAGAGAGTTTATCTACTATACTAAACATGTCCTTCTTACCAACCTAATGTTCTGTGTACGAGGAACATTATTTGGTCTTTAAAACTATAAACAGTTCAACAATAAGTGCATATATATTTTAAAAGGATAATGTTACATAATTTTTGTTCTGTTTATTATCCAAAGATTAAACTAACCAAAAAAAGTGGTACTAACTTTTTTGCAATTCTTACCTACAAACTTTTAACAAGTCATATATTCCAAATTCGGTTTGAAACCTAGCTTAGCAATCGCAAAGACAGTTGATTGCTCAAAATAAATTAGTGATAATTATATAAATTTCAAATCTTGCAAATACGAATTATAACTGTCAAATATTCGGACGTGACTTCTTTACTTTTTGGCTACGTCTGGTAACGTGACTAGGTTAGCAAGATATGTATGCAGTTTTACGATTACTGATAATAGTAATGCAAAATTCTTTTTGTGCGTGATTTCAATCCAAGGAATATAGTTTGGGCGCTCTAAGGTACCTATTTTGCGTCGTCGTGGAAAAGAAGATTATCTAAAAATGACAATCGAAAATGACACTTATTGAACGAATCTCGCAGCGGTATAGTAGGTACGTAATTAGGTACACATTTGTGGTGCAGCCTTACATAGATGTGTGCTCCGTTCATCTTTGAAAATACACATTCCGACACTTATCTAGCCTTAGGTGGGGGAGGGGCCCGTTGATAACAAAAAATTGGTAGCCCAAGGTAATCGTGACCTCTTATTGGCGTTCGTAGTTACGTGTACATTTGCGATTATTTTAGGGTACACTGTGATAGCGTTACTGTTAACGACTGTGTGATTGTTTAGCGCAGACCAAGGATACGGTTTTTTTTATATGTATATTTTATTTGCCGCGCCGCATTTTTTGGACGCGGCTTGTAGTTTTATTTTCGGTTATTTTTAGGATGTAAGTGAGTTAAAAACAATAATCGAACCCCGAAACTTATAGGAAAATCCTTTGGAACGAGAAATAATAATTATAACATTTTCATATCCATATGCTATAAATCATCTCCTTATGTTGCGTTATACTCCGAGAACCCGTCCCCAAAGGCCCATCACTGCTCAAGTCTCCAATTCCGAACAGCGATCATGATTTCGATGTTTGGTCAAACAAGTGTTTTCAGCAACTTTCTTTTGTTTGGGGCGAAAAGTTGAAAAGTTTGCTCACGAATAGGTTGCCTCGGTCAAGACAGCGTCTGGTGACGTCATTGATTCTCTTTTGAATTAATTGTAGGTAAAAAAGTCACTGATTTAAATTCGCCTTATTACTAGTTGAATTTTTTATGCTATAAATGAATTTATAAACATAGAACAAAGAAGGAACTGAAATTATCCGTTTCGAACCAAGGATTTCCTGCACTTGCGCCTAAAGTCCCCTGTTCAGAGCGGCACAGATGGCATTTTAAGAGGTGATTTAAGCGTCATTTTAGACTAACGCGCCAGGAGGGAATTTTGAATTATAACCGGGTTTACAGTTATTAATATTCCAATGTGGTTTTGCTATAAGGTGGGTTCGATATATTTTTTAAATGATTCCTTTTTATGCTCTGAATATTTTTCGATTGTTCCTTTTAAGTTTGTATTGGTGCACACGCTCACAAAGACCGCACAAGTTCACCTTCCGCCTTCAGTTTCTTGACAGGAGGCGTTTTTGTCTTGGCAAGTGCATTTCGCTTTACGTTCTAAGAATTAAAGTTTGTATCTGTAATACCACACACACACCTTACCTCATTATGTGTTAAAAATTAAATAATTATTGTTGAAGACAATATATACTTATATATTTACGATAGTCCTGTTACTTGCGTTACCAAACTGTTTTCCTAGACCATTCCTAGAATTTGTACATGCTGGGTGCCAAGACATTTGCATCTATCAAATCATTGTTTTCCGTCTTATCCAAAAATTTCAGGGGCTCCTGTAAGTTGGGAACACTCCGTTTAGACTATAACATCTATCAAGAACTTCTTAGTTTTCTTGTATCTATATGAAGAATTAAACACATTTTTGGTAATAACGGAATCACTTGATTTCATAGCAAGTACACTTCCAAAGAATCAAATTTTACCGGAAAAGAGAAGCAGTTTTTAACAAATATTAAGCAGATAATCCTGGATGCTCTGGTAGTTGCAAAAACATACATAGATGCATGTAATCGCATTAACAGTATTGCTACCTAATTTATCATATCTATTAATAAAATTAAAATTTATATTTGTAAAAGAGGAAAATATATGCTTTTTCCCAAGTGTTTTGCAATAGACTTGAGCTACGTTAAAAGATCAAGATTGCTTTCGAAAAATCGTCACTGGGCGGGGCAAGTTCGTAGCGCGTAGCGCGAAGCAGGTTTTTATTATAAAAGCAAAGAACTTCGCGGTTTCGTGTGGTAAAGAAACACATTGTTTTTCTATCGTGCTCCTGCGGACCACTATGGAACTTTCGCAAAATCGATTTAATTTAATTGTGCATGCATCCTGTATAAAATGTCCTTCACATCTCGTCGAACTTCAAAGCAGCAAACATCGGTAAATTTTAAAATTTAATTTAAAATATATTTTTTTAAATATACTGTTCCAATAAAATTATCCCATTTTTAACAGTTTTTCATTTATCGCCAATAATTTACCCACAAAATGGAAATTTTTAGGATATTTTAGATTTTTTGCCCATAAACGACACACCCTGTATATTATTCAAACGATATTCGAAGTAGAGGTTATAGCCTTGGATCTTCTACGTTTCCAGGACCAAGAATTGTTTGAAAATAGTAAATGGTTCGTAGCATCATGACAGTCCCGGAAATAACGATTTCAATATGTATTTTTTCAAATGTCCCGAACAGCGTACGTGAGCCGAAAACCGCAAATACAAAAATTGTAGCTCTTGATGCGGCCTGTGACACCCTTTGAACCCATTAACCATATTTTTTACGATTTTTGATTTGCGGCTAATAATTTACTCTTTAAAAGAACAATTTTCTAAGTCTTTTTGGTGATTGCCTATAATTTGAAAACCTTGTATATAATCGAAAAAATGCCCGAAATAAATGTTATTGCACTGGACCTTCTGCGTCTGCCGGTTAAATAATTTTGCCAATTGGATGAACGATTTTGAAGGAAAACATATATTTCTGGAAGCTAAAATTACCAAAAAAAAAAAATCCAAATATTTAAAAAAAGTAAATTTGATTGCACCCAATTCTACAGTTTAAATATGGACACGGACTTTTACTTCTCTGCTAAATATGAAGTTGATATCTGCAAATTTAGGACACTTAGCACATTTCTCATTTAGCATGGAATATCGGGAACGCCCTGTACAATATAAAAGAAAGTGAGATCTGAATCACAGTCTTTCAGTTATAACCAATTTTCAATAATCGGGGGACCAATTTTTCAGTTTTTTTGAGTTTGCGGGGCACCGTGTATATTTTTGAAAAACTGTCACGAATAAAAGTTTATAGGATATAAGAGTTTATAGAGTATCTTCTGCTTCTTCTGGTTTAAGAATTTTTTTCGTCTCGTCTCAGTTTTTGAAAAAGCATGTTTTTTATAGACCCTTACACGCGCGATTTTATATTTTTTTAGAATACGGGCCAAAGTCGATCGCTTCAAATTTATCTCTCTTCATAACAAGGAATAGGAGGGTTTTGACCTACATCTTTGCTATGACCTTCTTAAACTTTTGTCTGTCCTTAGGCTTATCTCGCCAGTTTTTGATACCCATCTCCCTTAAATTTTCAATGACATTTTCCAGTCACCTTTTTTGCGGACCGCCTCTTCTTCTTCTTCCTCCATCCACTCGCTCCAATATCCTTTTTGCCCATCTACATTCATCCGCACGACATGCCCTAACCAGCGTAGCCTTTGCTTCTTTAGTTCTCGTGTTATACTAATTGTTCAAAAAACAGTCGAAAATCGCGAAAAAAAGATGGATACCGTCGTCGGATCAGGGCCATTTCTTCTAAGCTTATGAGCTTCATGGAAGGTTAAAGAGGAGGCAAATTTCAATTTTGTAGCTCCAACGGTTCGAAAATTATTCAGGAAAACCCAAAAGACGAGAATGGAAAACGGAGAACAGACAAAACAATTTTTTTTTTCGACGGTGATCATTTCTGTACTAACAGCGATCCCGTAGGACCTACCGTTACCGAGACATAAAATTTTTATACGAGCGCAGATACTTTCCAAAATTCGATTTCATCGATTTTCGAAAGTAACGGGAAGTATTATATAAAGTATTTTTTTAAATATAATTACTTATTAAAGGTATTGACCAAGATATAGTATTCATTTAGTATAAACTTGGTATAATTTATTTGTAATATATTTTAAGAAATTTATAAACATAAATATTTAGACTGCCTTAAATGGACTCTACAGTCAAGTTATTTGAACATATTATATGGTGCCATCTCGCGGCGTGTAGCTGAATTCGAAAAATAGAGGCGCATTCAACGCTGTAACTGTAATAGTTTACCAAGGTAACCTCTAGATGGCGAAACCCGTGCCAAAATCAAAAAAAGGGCTTCGGTGCTGGCAAACCGGGTTTTCCGATATCATGAATTTTAGTTTTTCGAAAAAAGCGTTCTCGTTGAAATGAGAAAAAAAATAGGTGTGTACTGTTTTCGAAAGAACAGTGGAACGTTTTTATTATAGATAATTATAGAATATCTGTTATAGATTAGATAATAAAATATTAGAACTAAAAATATATTTGAATTTTTGTGGCAGCCATTACACACTATATAGTATTGTTACAAGAGAGAAATAAATTGATTTTGGCATACGCGGTAAAGGAGGAAGAAGATGGAAACAAAGCTCAAATAGCAACCATATAATACGGTAGCGTAGATCAAAAATAGGATAAGGAAAAGTGTTATAAGGTAGTGGAAAATTCTATCAGAGGCTGTAACCGAGTCAACTTGGCCAGCTGCGAGGTCCGTGGTGACTAACTTATTTTCAGCCCTTAAAGGGTGGTACACAAAAAATCAAAAACAACGGAGGAGTGATAAACAATTCAGCTAAATAGAATTTTAAAGCACGCGTTTCTATGAAGATATTTTCTAGCTACAAATACAAGCCGGGTAGAATGTAACGAGAATTTGTTAATATGACGGGTTAAAAGAGGAAGATGGAAAGGAAGGCGTGACAGAGTGGGTGAGAAAAATTATAAACGAGTGACCTTTGTTGCCTTAATTGAATAAGCGTTGACAGATAACACGACAAAGTAATGTAGGTTAAAAGTTGGAGAAGTTGAAGAAGGAGAAAATATCATAAGATGGTGGAAGATGCTGTGGCAGGTATTGAACATGGCTAGTTAACATCCGCATGCTTTAGACAGCATTCCCAAGTCATAGTTAATGGCATTGTTACGAAGAAGTGAATATTATATGTATTTTATCAAGAGAAGAAAAAAAATCCTTTTGCGTGTTAAATGGCTAACTGATCTTGGCAGTTGCGGCCCAGCGAAGTAACAGAAGAAGAAGATGGAAAGAAAGTTCAAACGAGCGAGACAGGATATAAACGTGTGACCTTTGTTTCCCTACTACATGGGCAACGAAACTTATTTCTCAGCAACGGTAGGTCTTCGGGGCCACCAGGGGTGCAGAAATGATTAGGGTCGAAAAAAAAATTTCTTTTCAATGTTTATCCTTTCTCCGATTTCTGACGACGCTTCATAAAAACGCGAATACTTTTTGAACGGTTTGGATGGTTCGAGATGAAATGTTGCTCCTTTTAAATAGCCCACAAGACATAATAGTCTATAAGAAAGCGAAGTGATCGGATAGTGGCCTCTTTTTTTTTGCTATTTTCGTCTGGTTTTTCGTACATCGCTATGAAACACGATAAATGTCCGAAGTTTAAAGCTATCGACTTGAAATTTAAGACACGTATAGGCGTTAGTCTACTAACGGAACCTGTTGAAACTGAGGGGTTGGGGGAAGTATTTTTAAAAAATTAAAAACCGCGTTTGCAGCGGTTTGAGATTTTTTTTTAAGCGATACATACCATCGAAAAAATTCTTGAACGAAAAGATGCGCGAGATCTGGGTTAAACATTTTAATTCCTGGTGTACAGGGTGCGTCGGTAAATTGCAAAAAAAAGGGTTAATCTTTTAATTAAATAACTGGAAGGCGATGTATAAGATGTCAGATTTTTTTTGCCGTAGTAGGTGTCTTAAAGTTGTAGGTATCGACTTCAGATTTGACGAGGAAATTCGAAGTCGATACTCACATTTAAACTTTAGTAGTTTACTCAAACGTCGCGAAGTATTTTTTTAAAAATGTATTATAATTTTTTTGGGTTATTTTGGCTTTCGGAAAAAAAAATATTTTCTCGAAAACTGCTTACCGGACCGGTAAATTTCTCGAACCTGGAAGAAATCCGATGCTATAACTTTTATTTTAAGCGTTTTTTCCATAAAATACAAGGTGTTGGAAGAGATCCGATCCTATAACTTTTATTTTAAGCATTTTTTCCATAAAATACAGGGTGTTTCAGTTATGGACAAAAATCAAATAAACCCTGAAAATTGTTCATTTCGGAATTAAATTATTAGCCGTATATCCAAACTCGTGAAAAATATATCTATTTGGTTTATGCAGTCCTATGGGTTGCCTTGAGAGCTACAATATTTGTATTGAATCACATACGCTGCTCAAGATATGTGAAGAGATTCATATGAAAATCGCTATTTCCCGCGCTCAATCTAGATGCGATGACGTCATTGACTATTACGGCGTACTACATACATAACATATATATTTTTCTTAAAAGCCATTTAC